AAACTTATAATTTATAATTTAGTAAAATAAATATTATTTAATGCTAAAATTTCAATCAGCTTAGATTGAAATATTTTTAGTTTTCGCCTCCACCAGTCATTGTCCTTTTCTACTGGTTGAAATGACTTTTGAAAGAGCTGCGATACTGTGTGAGTGGTTCCAAAATAGCTTTCGTACCGTCCTCCTCAAAGCTACTTTCATCCTCATCAGCAAGCAGGGAAAAGCATTTGCGCGCTGCCGCTCGACATAAATATCTCAGATTACGTCTCGTTTGACCCAATGTTGGCGAGACTAAAAATTTTTTAAAACGTGCCTATCTTAGAACTTTAAGAGAAAATTTAAAAGAGCAAAAAAATTGGTGAAATATTCTAACCAGTTAAGTTTTGATCATCAAAAATCTTTTTGGGCAATTAATTAAATATAGCTGAAATATAAATTTTTATAATTTAAATTTTGAAATAACTTTTTCAATCAATTTTTGTCAGTCCATTTTTTGAAGCATCTGAAGAAAATTCCATGTGATTTTTTTTCGCGTTTTAGAACTTTTGCATTTGGGTTGCGTCAGATTGAAATACGATCGCCCGCACACACAGGCTAATTTTCTATTCACTCGCAGCGTAAAAGAGACCAGTTTTACATTATGATGCTGCACTGCAACGCAAGCACCGTGTGTGAACTAGTTTCAAAGAAATTTTATGCTGCCCTGCTAAATGGAATTGTGACAAAGACAAGCTGCAAGAGAATAACGTTGCCAAGTTCCTCAACAGCATAGTACTTTTTGTTATTAAAAATTGGGTTTTAAAATCTGATCAATAAATATTCAAATCTCATTAATTCTAAAAAAAAACCTTTGCTCTTGCCATAGCAATTCTAATGTTGCCACAGTTGTAATAAATGCTCAGCAAAATCTGTTGCTGCAAATTAAATTTTTTGAATCAAATAGATCACTATAAAATCATAACAAAGACACTATATCAGCACAGCAACTTACTGCTCACAATAAAAATAAATTTTAAAAAAACTAACAATAAAAATAAAATAAATAGCATTTTTTATACATTAAAAAGGTTATTTAATTAATTTTGTCATGATATTTAATGGATCAGGTTGTATTTATATTTTTGTTATAATAATATTAATATGGCATAAAAAATTTCAATTAATTCATATTTTCGAAATAATTGTTCTGATAGAGAATTGATTTTTTGTTGAAAGTTGAAAGTTCAGATCTTAAATCTTCAATATCTCTTGCACATTTCCATAAATATTAATATGCTTGAAATATGTATCTAAAAACCGTTTAATTTATTGCTTGGGTCTCACAGACGAAATTCGAGGCAACAAAAGAGGGTCCAGCTGCCGGCTAGCAATATGCTCTCCGCAGCCAAGGTAAATCGGCAGTGACTCAGCGGCCTTGAGAGGTGACCTAGTGAAGAGAGTCCTGGCCGCCTGGCCGTCAGCGTGGGCCGTATGGTCAAGCCAAGGGCCCTGCACGCGACCCCTTTGCCCCAATCGACCCCTCCCCTCAACCTAAATCACTTGCCGACCCGAAAAATCCGCAATGGTTCGTTTGAGGGCGCGGCCAACCCTTTGGCAGGGCGAAAGAAGACCATATGGGTGCTGGTTGCGTAAGTCGTGGCTATACGCGCCGAGTCTGCAAAGTATTCAAGCTATCTCGCGGTTTCCACGGAGCGATACTGCAGAACAACAACAACAGGAGGACCTTCGGAAGGACAGCCGCTCGGATAAATTGCATGTCTCTAGCCTGTGCGTGTTTTGACCAAATAGAGAAAGAAATAGAAGAGCTTCGAGTGTTATAAAAATATTGTCCATGCCTCTTTTCTTGCAGCGATGCGAAATTTATGCAGGGCGAGTAAGCGCACCTTGGCTTGGAATAAATCCGTAATTATTACAAGAACGAGTCATGCACCTTGAATTTTAATTAAGCAGACTTTAATGTTGGTAAACCGAGTTGTGAATAATAAAAAAAAAAATGATTTTTTTTAGCTGAAGTATAATTTCATTGTTTTCAAAGAAGACAAAAGTTGGAATTAAATTATTTTGTCTCAAAACTTTCAATTTAAAAATAAAAAACGATTGTATTAATTTTTATTAATAATTACACTAGACTGGTGAAAAACAAAAACTTTTATTACCTTTTTCTAAATTTTATCCACAAAGTTTATTCTGACACTAATTGTAAGCTACAACTTAAGAATAAGTTTTTTAATACATTTTTCACTAAAATGTTAAATTTTATTTCTTCCTTTTTTTATAATGTTTGCACATTTTCGCTTAATTTTTTTAGTAACTTTCTATTTGTTCCCGTCATGATAAATGTGATTGAAGTAATTGCGACAAGTACTATTTTTCATACCACACATATTTTTGAGCACCTTGGTATTCAAAAGTGGAGCTATAAATTAAACGCGCGTTTGCATGGTAATGAATGATCCACAAGCCATCAAGGCTGTGCGGGCACCTCAACTTCTTTTATTAAACTCTTGACGTGAAGTAGGCTTTAATTTATAATAAAGTGAATTCCACACAGCACTTGACCATTTCCACCTCAAGCCGGACAAGTCCAGACCCGATGACTCACCTGGCACCAAAACGTTCCAGTGACCATGGTGCGGTACTTTTCAATGGTAATTAATCGAGCGGTAATAAATTGTACATTTTAATCGTACTCAAAAATTAACTTCGTCAAATGCAAAGAAAGAAAGAGCGGCCTAATTTGTCCCGACCTTACTCAACGTCAGAGGAAAGTTCCTGCCGGATTGATTTCGGCTGCCCATTCATTGTCATATAATGCAAATCAGTCCGCGCCGTGTGTCAATCAAAGCAGCACCGAAAACGTGCTACCTGCCACTTATAACATAACGCCAAGCTGACAGCTCTTTAAACGAGCGGTTCTTAATACAAATAAATCATAAAAATATATGAATAATTTAAATTTCGAGATAATTTTTCTTTCACTCTGTTGCTGTGAATTGTGAATAATTAACCAAAAATTGATATACTTTAATATACTCTGCGTTTTCGGATAAAGAAAAAATCTTCACTGCTTTAACAGAGGGTTTTTGTATTACGCAACAGAAACGGGCAGCTGATGCTAAAAGGTGTTATTTACAAAGTGCACGCGAATAAATGTCACTTGACTTATGCCTTATAGGAGAGAAAGTGAACAAAACAAAACATATGGTCGATTCCTTGCGCCGATTGACCAAATAAGGCGCAGTCTCGCACAGATGAATCACGTGTGCAGACCCCTCGACACAATCTTGCTTTCGTGCGGTACACGGCGCCGGGGGATTTATTTATATGATTTGATGTAATAAAAATTTTCATATTGAAATGCGCATCGCACGTAATGCTATCCCCCTTTGGTCTAATCTCGTGGTTACAACAATCCATTGTTGAGTAAGTCACGGTGCAGACTCTTTTGTGAGTGCGTCGTCGGTCAGGATTGAAAAGCAGCGACGACAGAGCGAATGAAAGATGCTTTTCGTTCAACTGTCTCTTTTCAAGGCACTTTTCAATCAAAAGCCATGATCAACTTTAAAAACATCTGCGATCCTTTCAGAATTTCGTGATTAATCAGAAGGTTTGGATTAATTTTTTAGTCCTGGTAAAAATGACGAGATGAATCGTTTTATTTATGAAGACAAACAAGACGTGCTCTCAAATTAAGCTTCCTGGCCTTCCCAAAAATAAAAATGTGAACGGACCATAATCGGATCAGGAGGATTTTCATCCAACAAAAGAAACTTGGCGCCTTACCTCCTACCAGCATAATTTAACATTTTATTGCAATGCTCTACTCAAATTTTGTTTAGTTTTGAAATAAAGTTACAGTTTAAAAAATTTAACAAAAAAATTGAATAAATTTAAAAGATTTGAAGCTAGTTTTAGCTACACTTTCACGACATACTGAAAGCAGGCAGCTTCCATTACCCTACATAATATTTGCTGTTTTGTGGTTGATCACACTTCACATTGAACAGCTCAATATTTCTTGCCGATTATATAACAGAAGTGATATTTATTCTAGAATGAATTTCACCGCATGGGAACATGTAAAAATATTATATTTATCTAGTCTGCATGAGCAGTACTAATTTAGCTGCATAAAAAACGCTTGAAAATTATTAACTCCAATCTATTTTTGGTAAAAAAAGCATAATACTAAAATTTTAGCTTGATCCCAAAGACTGCTGTCTTGTATTTTTTCCTCTCACCAGACTACTCAGAAAAGGCATAAGTCGCAAAAAATTGAACGAGTTAAGAGCAAGGTGAAGTTTTATGGTGCCGTTGACCATTCGTCTCAGGATGTTGGCACAAGGCGATTTGCTGGAAACTGCGCGTCAATTTTCGATTTCGCAAAAAGCCTCGGATTTGAATTAATTTTGATATATCTTTGAATCGAATAATAAGGAAAAAGTAGAAGTTGCAAAAAAGGAAATCTACTTATATAAGCGGCGCAAAACTAACCTTGCCTATCTCAAACGTTACACCTTGTAGAATAAATGCCTGCCAGACACTTCATTAGTTCCATTTATGGGCACGTTACCTTTACTCTTTTGCAGGATCCTTTCGTGCAATAAAGAAATTTTGCCGACCTTGTCACAAAAAATGCGCGCCCTTGTATAGAAATTGAATGTTTGAACAAATAATAAATATAAACTATTTGCCAACGTTACTTGCAATAAATCTATTAATACTTTTATATTTTGTAAATTTATTAACTCTCAATTATTATCCTGTGGTGGAATTGAAAATAAATATTTACTTCAATTGATTATCAGTAGAATGTCGAATACATTCCAGGCATTGTTAATGAACCCTGACCAGGAGGAAACGCAGCTATTCCAGACCCCGCCCGCAGCTAAAATGGAATTAGATACACCCTTTATTGTTGTCTTTGAATATTTACCACTTGCTGACAGTCAAATCAGACAAGCAAAATACCGTTGTCATGAAATAAATTTGCAAAAATAATGATGACAAATTTTAGTTCGTTAAACATCCGTGTTTATTATTGTTGTTTTATTTTTCAATGCTCATTTATCTCACTTTTTCACTTATAATATCTCGGATATTACAATTATTAATATCAATGCTTCAGCATCAAGCTAGAAGTGTACAAAAGTCTAAAAAGAAATGCTACAAGGAGCGGACAAAAAAATCCACTTCCAAGATCTACTCTAAGTAATAAGCGTTTTTACAAATTTCTTTTCAATGCTTGTGTATTTACATTTACTTGGTGAAGATGAAGAGTCTAACAAATTATCACCTATCACAATGTTAGGTAGAGAATGTATAATTTTGAAAATGTGTGGTGCATAAAAATTAAAAAGAAGAAAAAAAACAGTTACAAGTCGTTCGCACACTTGGTTTTCTCATTTCCTCCTCCTCTTGCCCATTTTCCGATCAGGCAATGGCTTTGGTTCATCACTTGTCTCCTCGCCACTGTCTGACACCAAATCTCACATGACCCTCCTCTGATATTCAGGTGGCGCGGCACCGTAATCTTGGAGGCTGAACAAAGTCGATTTGTTCTTGTACAGATACCTTTAGGATTTATTGCCCGATTAATTCGCGTTTAAAAAATAAAAAATGGTACTCACTTTAAGAAGTCTTGAATGTAGTTTAGCAAAAGCTGGATGCTTTTCTCATCCAGAGGGGTGTAGGCAAGCACAGCTCCCAGTTTTACTACATAATCGTTTTAATATTATTTTGATTTTAACAAAAATAATTTAATTACCAAATAATCTCAGGAGATGGGCAGCTCCAAAAAGTTCACTCATTGTTTTATCAGGGTTTTTCTTAATCAACTGTAATTTTTAAAATTATAGCAAAACTTAAATTTAATTCTGAATGTGTCGTACCTCAGCATACTGTGGTCTTTCAAATTTGTATAATAATTGAGATCCGAGCATTACATTGAAATACTCCCTAATGCCATTTGTAACTTCATTAACTGCATCCTCCCTAAAATAAACCAGTTGTAAAATATATACAGATAAAAGTTTTTTTCTCACTTTTCAGGGTTATTTGTTTTGCTAGCAACCTTGAAAGCAATATAATTTTTTATGATTTCCTCCACAGAAACTTTGGCTGGCAAGTTCACCAACTAAAAAAAGGAAATCATATTTTAGTTTATTATATACTTAATTTATCAATAACAAACCTTTCCCTGGCGATTAATCATGTCCCAATCGTCAACAAGCCAGGGTTTTAACTCATCAGGGATTTTTACTTTGATCTCAACTTTTGTAAGAAATTGCTCCTCCTAATAACGTAAAAATTAGAATGCTCATCAATGCTTCAAATATTATTAAAAACGTACGGATTCAACAGAAGGGTCAAATCTGCTTTTCTTCTTTGGCACGTCAGAAGAAGAGTCTTGAGACGACGAGGGAGTTGGGGTTGCCACAGCAAGAGCTCTTTTGCTGGATAAAGTTGGGGGTGCTTTTACGATCTCAACAGTAGGCGTAGATGATCTGCTATCGGAGTCTTTAGATGGTTCCGACTTCCTTTTCATTCCCTTTGGCGATTTCTTTTTTGTTTTTCTGCAATGAAAATGTTTAATTCTTTTGAGATTGCACCTTTTCTCACAAAACATACTGATTGGCCGCGTCCTGGGCCTTTTTCAGTTCCTTTTGCTTCATAATGTTGAATTCGTTGATTTTCAACACTCGTTCTTCTGGAACCCACTCATCCCAACTGAAATTTAATCAAGAATAAGACATTTATGATTTTTTATGAATGAAATAAGCTGTGTACCTTTTATTCCAGCCTGCGTAGTGTATTTGGTACCTAACAACCTTGTCCTTAAACTCCACTTTCAAGCATTTTGCCTCGTAAATTAACGGTCCGTGAAAACAAAGAACTTTTTCGCCTGCAAAAAAACACAAAAGTGAGTGCTTGTATTTACAAAACAAACAATTACAGAGGTGTCAACATGTCATTAACGTTGACTCACAATGAGGCGTGCTCGAGAAACTCGACCGATTGCGCATTTTTAAGCGCTCGAACTCACCTTCTGCGAATCTCGTCTTGACCATGGCGATTTAAAGTCCCGAATTTTCACTCTGGGTGAACTTGACAAGCACAATTAAGCGCTAAAAATCGGGAAAAGCACCACTTTGTCGGCGAAAGCGACAAAAATATAGTGAGATCTTGTTGTTATGCATTCCAAGCGTTCTGATTGGCTGTATCTCGTCAAGCCAATCAGAGCAAAGTCAAAGGGCGCCAAAGCATAAGTGGCGCCAAAAAGCAGGTCGTCGTGTTTGCAGCGGCAGCATCGACTATCTGGATTCTCTCCTTAGTCTGTGAATCTATTTTCGCAAATCACGTGTGTACCCCCGGGAGTTCGTGTGTGTTCTCGAACTTGTAATTTAATTTGTTCAATAGCACACGAGACGAGAGCATTTTACGGCAGGTTAATCGCGTCTGAGAGCGACATCGTGTCTGTCAGAATGCCTCTGACAAATTAGATTAATATTCAAATTCACATTAAACGTTGTTTTGAATGTAAGGAAGCGTTTAATTCTCCGTGCTGTTTTGCAAATTCACGCCTGTAGAATTGCGCGGAAAACAGTCATTATTCGCATACGTCATAATTATTTGCAAACACGCGCGCTTGTAATTTTGTTTGCATAACCGGTAGCATGCTGACAACACGGTGGTAAATTACAAAGCAAAAGAGTAAATTTTGCCGCCATCTCACATTTGCTGCAAATATTTTGAAAAGTTTTGCCAAGCGACGGGCACACGCGATCGGAAAGTATACTTTGCACGCAGTACACCCTCTTTCATTGCCAATGTACTGTACCCAGTCGGCAATAACAAAAGCCAGAAATAAACCGCATATCCCGCGGAATTTCTCTACGCTTGTTTTGAAATAGTCCTGCTGAGCAGCTCCGTCACAAAACATTGAATAAAATATATTCACGCATAAGATGAAAATAAACCACACGCGGAGAGAGTAAACAGCACGCGCGACAAAATTTAAAATCAAGACGAAAAGTGGAATTGAGAGCAAATATCTTGCGGGGGGTGAAGTAATGAGACCAAAGATATTCAGGTCAATTATAGAAAGTGTAAATTTTAAAGTCGCCGGTTAAAAAATTTGATCGAAGGAAAATTCCACTAATGAATAATTCAATTTTTTTTCTTCAGAAACCAGTTGCGAGAAGATGAAAAAAAAATACACCGCGCCCATTTGTTATGGTAAGTGCTATTTTTCAGGGCTTGGGCGAGCAGAGGATTAGTGGCCACATAAATCGTGAGGTGCCTCTCTTCTCGTCCGTTTCGCCAGCACCGTGCGCACCACTGCGATGACGCCGCGCCACGCGAAGACCGCCACCAATGTAACTCGCCCGAGGAGGAAACATAATGCTTTTATCGTGGAGGCTGACCAAGCCTGTAGCTCATTTGCAACTAATCCACCAAAGACGACACACACACCCGATACAAACCTTCTGTCGACGAGACCTACAAACCAGGTAATGTGTTTTCCTCCTGCATTGTTGCTTGCTATTTAATTACAAACACGCGCTCAACACTCAATATGTTTTCATCTTTGAAGCTGCTTCAAAGGTGCGTTTCATATTGATATTTTTATTGCATATGTATCGCATGTCAACAAGATTGATCGTGTAATTTAGAAACAATTGTAAACATGATTGATTTAATTCATCACAAAGTTTTTATTACCTATGACAACTGGGTGCAAAAATTGAGTTTTTTTTAATTTCTTATTTTAATTAAAATTAACACTATAATAAAAGTAAATTAATCCTAAATTTAATTTATATGGCATAATATCGATAATATTTTTTATAAAATTAATTATCATAATATATATAAAATTTGCCTATTATAGCAATTTTGCAGGAAATATAAAAAGTGACTTCTTTTTTGTATGTGCACAATTTTATCACATATCTCTGCGCTCTGTGGTTTGTGACATAACATCCGATAATAACTGCACCACTTGCATTATTATTATTTGCACAAAGTATAAGTTTCTGATTTCTAATGCAACCTTCTTTTGTCTGAGGACTGTTGAGCTTCGCTTTTATATTTATTAAAAAATTGCTAATATTTGGTAAAAGTTTATGGCGCTTAATTATAAAATTAACCGATTTTTTATTTGGGAAATGAATGAACAGTGTGAACAGTGTCCTCGCGTTTTTTATTTGTTCTGTAAAAGGTCAATGTCAAAGGACAATTTTTATCACATTATCATATAAAAAAACCGGTCTCGCCTTATTGCACACATGGCCAATTAAAACGATTGATAATATTATAAAAATCAGCTCATGTCATTTAAACTTTGCTCTTTTCGTCAAGCAAATGAAAAATCCCTCAAAAAATAAAATCTTTGCTAGATTGAGTTGCTGACATGGTGGTGGCCCAGTACAAAGTGACCTCTGACCCACAAGCCTCTTCGGAAGGGTTGGACGACATGCAAGTTACATCAACTGTCAGTGCAACTTTGTAAGTAAAAAATAATTGTGATTTAAAAATAATTGGTTTTAATATCAATCTAGGAGTGTTGAGGATGACGCATGCACGGTGCCCATGAAAAAGGATGGAAAGTTCACAGACACAAGCGACACCGAGTGCGGAGAGCCCATCGTCCAAATCCCTCACTCGATTAAAAACCCCACATCGTGAGTACAAAATTATTTATCTTTTATTTTAATAATATCGGTTAATTAAAATATGATAATAGTTGGTGTGAAACTCTGCTGCACTTGTTGCGTGGAAACGTCGGCTCGGGGGTGTTTGCGATGGGTGACGCTTTTCATCACGCTGGTCTCCTCGTCGCCCCAGTGTTGACCCTCTTGCTCGCGGTTGCTTGCGTCCACAGCCAACACATTCTGGTTTGAAAATAATTTTATCTAAAAGCAACACAATTTAATAATGAGATAATTCTAGCTGAAATGTGCAAGAGCTGTTTCAAGTAAATCGCCAACCAGCAAACCACCAGATTTTGCTGACACAGTGCACGAATGTTTTGAGGCGGGTCCACCAATTATCAGAAAAAGAGCAGGATTAGCAAAGTAATATTTCAATCTAAATTCTAATTAGAATATTTCAATTTATAAAAATTAATCTTCTAGAACGCTCGTAAATTTGTTTCTCTGCATCACCCAGCTCGGGTTCTGCTGCGTTTACTTTGTGTTCATTGCCAACAACATGAAACAAGTGGGTCTTTTAGAAATAATTACGCACATTAAATTTCTTAACCGCGTCTTTAAATACTTTCTTCGGACATCAAAATAGGTGATGGACGAGTACATCAGTCCGTTGGACGTGAGGGTATATATGGCGCTCGCGCTGCCACCCATTCTTTTCTCCTCATGGATCAGGAGCCTCAAGTACTTGGCGCCTGTGTCTGGTGTGGCAAATTTTCTCATGGCCATTGGTTTGGCTGTGACAATTTACTTTAGTTCGCAAGACCTCCCTTCCGTCGCAGAAAGAAAGGCTTTTGCAGGATGGACGGATTTGCCGCTTTTCTTTGGAACTGCAATTTATGCATTTGAAGGAATTGGCTTGGTAAGCGAATAACACACTGCGCATTTGAAATTAAGTGCGTTCAATTTACGAGATAGTTAAAACGTTACCCGCAGCAATTTTACTTATCCGTGTATATTTATTTAAGTGTGAAAAGAAAACAGCAGCATTTTTATGTATTGATAGATATTGTTACAAGGAAATCGAACCAAATAATAATGCCTCTTTACCTATTGTACAAAGTCTTAGATAAGAATATATAGGCATTGGAAAATTCCTATGACACACCGACACACCTATAGTGCTATAGTAAATGAGGATGATGTTGTTTGTGTTTGCCGCGATAATTAATTCAGGAAAGGAGCTCTAATTATAGCAGCTCCTTTCAAAAATTTCCACTGAGTCGGTTAAATATAACACTTATTTTGTTCTCCCCCAGGTTTTGCCTTTGCAGAACGAAATGAAGAAACCTAAAAAATTTGCAGCACCTGCCGGTGTGCTGAACATTGGAATGACCATGGTTACAATTCTATTCACTGCGATCGGATTCCTTGGCTACCTTAAATACGGTGAAGGAGTTGCGGGCAGTGTTACCCTCAACCTCCCGCAAGATAACATGTAATAAAAATTAAATTGGGGAAAAAGTGTTATTCTAAAATATGTTTTTTTTTTTAGTTTAGCCCAGGCTGTAAAACTGGCTGTGTCTGTCGCGATGATCCTGACGTACGCCCTGCAGTTTTACGTCCCCATTGAAATTCTGTGGCCTTCGGTGAGGCTCATGGTGTTTCCACAAGACGCAGACGAGCCTGCAAAAGCAGCAAAGCCCCGCGCATTTGCAGAGATTTTCTTCCGAACGGCACTTGTCCTCTTTACATGTAAGAATTATTATGCTAAAGTATGTTACACTTAACACTAGGACACGCTTTCAAATTCAGTCACGCTAGCTGAGTTGGTGCCACAGTTGGGCCTGGCGATTTCACTGGTTGGCGCGGTGAGCAGTTCTGCGTTGGCCCTCATGTTCCCACCGATTTGCGAGCTTGTTCTGGCATTTGCGAATCGTGACAAGAAAAAAGTTTCTGTGGGATTTATCATAAAAGACTCGGCGTTGATAATACTCGGCGTTTTGGGAACAGTGACCGGAACATACTGTAGTTTAAGAGACATTGTCCTTGCTATCACGCAGCCCGGACACATTTCCGGAGGCCACTGAGTGGGTCCAGCCACTTTTTGTGATTCCCACATTCCACCTCGCGGTCGACTCGACGATGTACAAATCATTTAATCGTACATATGTACGGTGATGGTTTTTGTAATAAAGCGCTTATTCATTGTGTTCCAAAGTTCAAAAGTCGAGACTCTCTCATCAAAATTTTAATAACCATTTCTTCCAAAATCACTCTTACCTTGGGTTATACTGATAGGAAAATTAAGGTAAGATGAGCCAAATTTCAAGAAAAAGAGATTTTTGGTCTATCAATGTCCAAATGAATAATTTATTTGTGACTGAAGCAAAATGAATTGTTAATTAATTTGATCGCTCTTTCTTAACGCATCAGTGGCTCTTACAAAAGGAATGAAAATGAGAATGCACAAGTGAGTGTTCGTGGAGCAGAAACCAACTGAGAAAACTAGAACTAGGGCTTTTAAACTGAAAATCACAGTCCGTGAGGCGTCACCTCTAGAAAGTCTGCTCCTCGGTCTTCTCCGAGTCTGAAGACAGCGATTCTTTCAATAGCTCGTAGCACGATGTTGGAATCAACGTTCCTGAAATTTTAACATTCTTGCAAAATTTGCTTTTTAGCACGCAAGATATAATTACTGACCGACAATTTTGAGTCCCTCGGCAGTGCGCAGGCGGATGACCTGCATTTTGGCGTTTGCCCTGTTGGTGAGCACGCCCTCAACCCGACTCCAAACAGCCAGTACAGATCCCGAAAGCACGTGGTATGTGCGCCTTCGGAGGCCAACCTCGCACTCTCCTCCAATTACGGCAGTGCGACAGTTGCCTCGCCAATATGCGTGGGAACAGATTTTCTCCGACGCTTGGTACTGCTGCTTCCATGATTCTTCTGCCTCTTCAGGAGAAGCCTTCTTGTACTTCTTCAGCAGCTCGCCCCTTGATTCTTGGCGCAGCTAAAAATCAGATACATTTTTTAAAAAAAAATTCGAATTTATAGGTTACAAAAATTACCTGCAGGCCCGTATTAGGTCGGTAAATTGTGAAAAGACTATCCTTTTTGTCTTTCTTATCTTTTTGTTTAGCCTGGTCTGCAATGGCTAAGATGGCAGTGTGTTTGTCATTGCGTACCTGATGGCTCAGGTAAAACCCTTCGTCCTGCAAATGCAATGGATTAAATTTTCATAATTAATTATAAAATTTATATTTACCTTATGAATGAGCAGCGCAGCTTTTTCCTGCACTTCCTCCCAAGACATGCCACGCTCGACGGAGACTGTGTGAAGCTCGGTGACAGCCTTTCCGGTAGCATGCGGCCTAAGGAAGGTGACAACTCGGACACGTTTGACGTGCTCTCCTCCAGCGCCCAAGTCCAAAATGCCAAGATCGTAACGGCCGGTTTTCTTGGCCTGCTGGACAATGGCAGCAAGTGTGTCTGTGAAGTACTGGAACAGACGGTTCTGAAGCTCGACGGGCATTCCGAGGATGCGGTTGAGGAACTTGCTCATGTTGTTGTAGTCCTTGTCCAGCGCCAGCATGCCTGGAGTGGCGTCTGAGCCTGTGATCAGGCCCACGCCGACCAGAGCGTCGGCAACGTCTTTGAAGAAATCACCATTGTAGTCTGATGGAGGCGGTACCAGTGGGGCTTCATAGCCCATGATAGCCTTCATGGTAGCCTCCAGGGCTGTCCGGCCGTACTTGTTGTCAATGTTGAAGCGGGACAGATCTCGGGACTCGGTGGCTCGACGATCACCGTGAGTCAGGGCGCCAAGACTCTCCAAACGTTTGGCCACAATTGACGCAAAGCGCCGCTCACCGGCAAGATCAGAGATCAGGAACACATACTCAGGTGCGTTGACCTTTAACACAGAAAAAATTTAGAATTTAAAAAAAATTGAAATATAAATTTCTTCCATTCCAGAAATTTATAAAAAAATGACACCTTACATTAAATTAATAATTATATTTTAATTGAATTGATGCATTTTTACTATGTAAGTGTGAAAAAAACATTACAAATTAAACTGCTGATATTTCAAAATATCTGTCTGAATTTGAAAAAAAGTATCACAATTCACCTGGTTACTGCGGTGGGTTCGTCCAAACTGCTGGATTGCGCGGTCAGCACTCCAGGGCAGCTCAAGTGTAATGTGAACTCGACGCCTTTGATTCTTTGCGCGTCTGTCGCTCTGAAGGGAAATACCACTGCTGGCTGCCTCAGAGATAATGGCCACATCTTTTTCGCCATCCATAAAACGCTGTTTCTCTGTTAAATTGAGCGTCTCCAGAGGCACATCAGCCTCTGACCTTGACTCATACTATACAATTTGATAAGAAACATTTCATAACAATTTTTATTTGCATCAAACCTGAATGGTGCCGTCCTCATTTTGAACAACTCGGCCTTTACGACCCGTCATCTCAGCCACGTTTTCTGGTCCTCCTAACTCGTCAATGAGCTGGTCAAGTGTGTTGGGGGGCAGTTTTTCTCCAAGACGCTCAATAGCCGCCAGCAGCTCATCTTTCATAGCACATGCACGCTCTATGGCATCTCTTGGCGGTGCCCATGGCTTGGCCTTATAATTATAATATAATTTTACAATTTTAGCTTTGCTAGTGAATTTCTACCTGGGTTGCTGATGGGTTAGCAGCTGCAGCAGACTGAGCTGCCTTCACTTTGGATGCAAGATGTTTGGCCACTTTGTCCTTGGGCTTCACGGCTTTGCGCTTCTTGACCCAGGGATCAGCGTCAGAGTCACTATCTTCGTCAAATGGATTGAAATCGTCAGAGTTAGATTCTTCTTCAGAGTGCTCTTCGCTCTCTGAATTCTCAGAAGATGTCATTTGGAACTCAGAGCCACTGCTGCGTACGTCACTGCCAGAATCAGAATCCATGCGAACTCTCTTGTTAGCTTTAGCGGCAGCTCGGCGGACTATTTCAAACAGAGGAGGAATTAAAACTTTTCCATCTAGATTAAAAAAAAAATAATAATAATAATTACGTGGCTTGCGTTTGTTGCCAGAGCTGGAACCAGCCTGTAGGTCATCAGGGTCTTCAACTGTTGCACCCCCGCCATTTGCTTCCTTAGGCGGGGCCTCTATTCCAAGCAGGCGCTGTATCCTATTCCTGTCCGGAGCTGGGAAATGTTTCTCAACTAATGTCTGCATCACACCCCTTTAAAATTGTTTGTTATTACGAGTGTCTAATTCTTAAAAAAATATTAACTTACTTTGCAGTGGAAACAAAATCAGAGAGTTCTCCATCATCTTTATCCAACTGCTCAAGGGTTCTTGCTTCTCCTGTACTTTGTAATCCGATAACTACACATTTTCCGTACTTGACGGCCTCTCTGAAAAATTTTTAAAATTAAAAAAAACTTTGTATTTCTAGCTATTGCTTCAAAATTACCTGGCAATCTGAACAGCATGCTTCACCTTGGCAGCAATACAGAGATACTTGAAGAAGCGCTGATGGGAAGACCAGAACTGACCCCACATTGTCTTCTTCATTCGCTGCTCTGCGTCCACCAGTTCAGCAGCGTCTTGGAACTTTCGCATTGCTTCAACCCAAAGTTTCACCGACTGGTCATACACCTGCATGAGCTCGTCAGTCAGTTTGACTTCATCGACCTTGAATGTGACACCGTGGAAGGAGAGCTGACGTGCTATGTACATGCCTGACAATTTTTCAGGGTTAATGGAATTCATAATTAACCAGTTAATTGTTACCTCTGAGCTTCATGTCCATGGCAACTATTTCCATTGCACCAACGCCTCTCTTTTCCACAGCATTTATGAAGTCGTTGAACTCTCTGAACGGACTGCCTTCACCCCACATGCCCAGGCGTACCATGTATGCCATGTTGCGGGGCTCCGATGCTCCTGTGGCTGATGCATAGACAACTCGGGCCTTTGGCAGGCGCTTCTGTATCTCGAGTACCGTCAAGCCTGTTTTGGTGGGCTTGGAAGAGCCTACAGGACAAAGGTTTTTGGCACGATGACATTCATCAAAAATGATCTAATCAAATGGGTCAAGGAATTAATCCATAAAATGCAAGCAGAAAAATGTCAAGCAATTGTTTGAAAAGGATACGCATCCATCAAAATCCTCGCCACACCACTGAATAAGTTGTTTCAGACGAGATTTGTATTTCCCACCTGTCTGGTTGGATTCACCAATTAGCGCAGAATAAGTGGAAAAAATAACACCCTTTTTGACGTTGTTATTTACTGGCGAAGAGATCTTGGCATATTTGAGTTTGTTGAGTGCATAAACATCAATCTTAGATGCACCAATGTCACGCAAATCTCGCTCGGAGTCGTACCTAAATTAGAGCAAAGATAGATAAAATAATAATAAAAATTTCTATTAGTACTTTAGATCGTTGGAAACTGAGATCCAGAGGGCTTTCTTTCTTCCTCGAAGATAATTTTCAAAGATGATTCCAGCGATAGTTCTTCCCTTACCAACTCCAGCACCATCACCAATTAGGAAACCTGCCCTTGAACCATCGGGCAGAAAGTGAGAATGCTGTTGAGAGGAATAAACAATGGCCTCTAGCTGCAGAGCCGAAAGAGACCCTGTCCTGATGGTTTCATCAGGGAGTTGCAACTCGTACCATACATCAGTAGGTGCTACTGATGACAAAGATGCTGTCTCGACTACAGGATCTGGGTGCTTTTTTCCTACTTTCACTGTAAAGCAAGGCAAGAAATTATTTTAATTTTTAAAAATTACCAAGAAAATTACATTTGGTTGGCATGTAATCTGCGTAGGTTTCAGCAACACCCATTTCTTCTTCCTCCTCGGCAGCTTCCTCTTCGTCCAGGGGCTCCTTGAGCTCCTGTTTTGGCCAGGCCTTTGGTCCCAGGGCCCCCCAGCCACCCATATTCATGAGCTGCTGCATCACTGAGCCATTAGGCAAATTTGACGCGGAGGCCATCAAGAATGGGTTAAACAGTGATTGACCTAGCGAGGCAAACTCCATGGCTGGAGTATAAAAAGGTCAGATTGCAATAGAATTATAGAAAAATATTATATTACGAAACAACTGAGCTGGGTTGAGACCTCCGAACATGCTTTGTGGGCCAAAGAGGCTTTGCGGATTTATTTGACCACCAAAGGGCATTTGTGGTGCCATGGGTAAAGCGCCGCCTGGTCCTGGCGGCATCTTTAGCATCTCATATGCTCCTGCAGCATGGTCTTTAGTCACCAAGCCTAACTTGGTACTTGCTGATCCACCATCGCCTTCTGGGGGCACTTCTGTTTTCAGGGCCTCTAGGTCTTTGCCGCCTCCTGGGGAAGTAGAAAATGCGTAAATTTTTAGTTCTTCGAGACGAAAACAAAATGACTTTTCAACTTCCATCAAGATGTGTAATTTCTACAAAAGTATTATTTGTGCAATTTAATACAAACAGACCTGGAACTTCAATCTTGTCTGGATCTTCATCAAAGTCGCTGTCTGATGAAGACTCTGATTCCATCTTGTAGGTGCTCTTTCGGGCCAACTGCAAAATTTCATTCATTACCAATTGTAACAACACTCATGCACCACCGTTTCCGCATAACGCTAAGGGCCCCCCGATTTTATTGATCGGCCGCCATTTCATGGCCAGCCCCCCTCATCGACCCCCATCAAAATACCTCAGGAAGTCATCAGGGCACTTAAATGTCACGACCTTTTAAGCCTTTCCCTGGAGTTCAGCCCGCAACCCCTGAACACCGGTTGAAAAAATTCCGCTACTGGCCATTCGAAAGAAAAAAATATAAAAAATATTCGGAAAATTATAAATCAAAAGAAATTGTCCAAAACGGAATTGAGTTTACTGGCCGAATTTTTAGACTTAGATTTTATTAGTATTAATGATGGAATATCTCAATCTGAGCCTTTTGTTGAGTCAAATGGATTCAAGCAAGGAATGAATTCGAGTCCCCTCCTCTTTAACATATATATCTATGATATTGTGAAAATATTTCAAACAATCGAAGGAGTAGACTTTTATTTCTATGCAGATGACATGGTGTTTATTAGTAACGATGTTAAGAAAATTGAAGCAGTCATGAACAAATTTGTAGAATATGCTAAAGAAAACTATTTGAAACCTAACTATTCAAAAACAAAAATGATGAAATTCACAACAGGAGGAAAGGGGAAATATGCAAAGGACGATAAAATAGTGATTGACGGCCATGAAATAGAATATGTAAAAAACTTCCCATACTTAGGAATTTACTTCCAAAGATCAGGTAGAGATTTCACTGAACATATTGCACGGAGAAAGGAAAATGCGCTAACTGCGATGAATATGTATGGAGATTTGAGAAAATTGTCTATTGATTGTGCGAAAAAATTGTTTAATTTGAAATTTGCCCCGATGGCCTCTTACGGTATTGAAATTATTTGGCAACATCTCAGGGAAAAAGATTTTGAAGAACTAGAAAAAGTGAAATCTCGATATTTTAAGATAGTAATGGGAGTTTCAAAATACAACAAAAACACCTATGTGTACAAATTAGTCGATGAGAAATTGTTTGTTACCGATTTGAAAGAAAAATACGATCTCCCGGAGACGGGTAATTATGTCAAGTTCCTTGAGAGCTATAATTCTGAACATGAAAATAGGTTTAATGTGAAATTCAATGACACGCCGGCAATGAGAAATGATGTATGGAAACAACCCTTGTTTGATAAAAGACATGTGTTTTGTCGCTTTGCCATGCACGGCTTTCATAATCAAATCTGTAGCAATAGTTCCGAGCGCCAACAGTGTTTCGAGGAAAGTGATTCATGCGTGTGTTTGCTATGCGGTGAGAAATGCACCCAATATCATCTGGCTGAGTGCAACCACCGAGTGCTTAGCATTAATGACTATTCTAAAAATAAGTGAAAAACTTTGGAAACCCTGTCGCGCAAACTGATAAAATAAATTGTGAATCTTAATTTTAACCTTCTAAGATGTAAGTTGAAAGTTGTACTCAATTGAGTTTTCAATAAAGACCATATATATTCGGAATTAGTAGACAAAAAGTTCATACTTTTTAAAAATTCGGAATAAAAATACAGTACCCAGACATATCCAACAATTTCGGAAGCCGGAAAATTTGCGGGGGCAACCCCCGAGGCTAATTCAACTTAGGTTATGAAGCAAATTTTTTCGAGAAGCTAACGCAACCCTTTTGGAGCTTACTTTTTCGTAAATTACCCGCTCTAGTCGCAGTTTTTGTGACTAGAGACAGTTGTTTAACTGGAAAAACTCACCGTGCGCTTGGGACGAGGCATTTTGGGCCGAATTCGATCCCAAGAAGCCGAAAATTGGCTGACCAAAGTTCCGAGCAAAGTGTTTTTTATTTATTTAGCACGCACGCCTGCCATCTTGCGGCCTTGTAGCCGGTGGGACCAATCAGCGCACGGCCCCTGAAGCTATTTAAAAATGAGCGGCGTTACCTTTAGACCAATCAGCGGTCGTCTTTGCATAGCATTAAAAAAAGTGCGGAAAATCCTCTCCTCCCAAGCAGACGCACTGGCAGCTTGCAAAATTGCATAATGCGCGCACGGCACGGCATGATTGACAGGATGTAGACTCATGACTCACACGTATTACATACTCTCAAAGCACAGGAAAAGCTAGATGCTTCAATTATCGTCTGTTAAAATCAATAAAATTGCAGTGAAACACCTTATTTCATACATTTATTTTTCATTATATATTCCATATATTCAATGAAATTTTAAAACTAAAAATTTGGTAATTATACAGATTCAGTATTTTTTTCTATTCTGAAATCCTTGGTTTATGTTTAAATTAATTTTCATTTATTTCAAATTGCCATTATATTTATATGGCAAATTTATTTTAGTGGTTCAAGCAGGCAAAAGCATTCATGCCACCAAAATTTTTATATTTTTCATTTCACGAAACAGTCAGTCTTTGAGGGTTCAGACCCAGTCTGTCTATGACCTTTCTGGGCATGCAGAAGGTGGGGTCAACAACTTCGAGGGTCGGCTCGCCTAACAGAGACAATGCTGCCAGTCCAAACAAAGTGTGGAACGGATCGGGCATGTTGCCTGGCCGGTCAGCAAAACCTCCTTCACTGTCTTGGCACGCAGAAATGAAGGTGCACAGTTTCTCTTTGTCAACCCAATGCAAGCGGCCAAGCATGCACAGCGACGCCAAGACCCACCAAGAGTAACAAACGTCCGGCAGTTTTTCTGGCCTACCATTCAATCCACCTGACGGGAGTTGTCGTTCACACAGCCACCAGCCAAGGGTGTCTGCGTCCACCAAGTCGAGGCGCCCTGGCAATTTATTTTAAATGAAATTTCAATTCTGTCAAAAGTTTTAAATTTCTTACCAACAACTGAAAAGTATCCAACACAGCAGTAAATAAGACCAGCGTGGCTTTCAGAGCCAGGCCTTGATCCAAATCCTCCATCAAAATTCATACAAGACGCAACAAAATTTGTTGCTTTTTCCAAATCGATTTCATGCAAACGCCCCTGAAAACACCAAAAGGAATTTTAATAAACTGCGCAAAAGAATAAAGAGGAAAATACTTACGATTAATGACAGGCTTGCAACTGCACAAAATGAAAACCTAGTGTCTTCCTCACCCCATTTATCCCCGACAAAACTGCCACTGGGTTGTTGCAACGATTTGATATAGCCAACCACTTTGTCTGCCTCCTGATCACTTAGTTTCTCATCGTAGATACTAAGTATCTATTTTAATTAAAAATAATGAGATTTTCTTCTCTTTAAAAAAAAAAGAAAACAAAAATTACTTGGAGAGCACTAAGTGTGTACAGGAGATGAGGATCGTGGCCAGGGCTAGAGCTGATACCTCCGCTTACTGGGTCCTGACAGGAACGCACAAATTCCAAAATTTCCTCCTTCTTCATTCTGTCCAGATCAGCCATCAAAGCCATCGCAGTCAGGCCCCAGTAAATGCCGGACATTCGTAAGTATTCGGTCATGCAATATTCCTGAAATGATTTTAAGATCCAATTTAGGGCTTTATTTTTTTTTTATAAATAATCAAACTAGATAAACATACATATTCCTCTTTGTTCTCCCCATAAGCTGCAATGTAATCCGAGTGAATCTTCAGCGTTAGCGGCTTTGCCTTAACACTGTCAAGGTTCACATCTTTAATAAGCGCGGCCTGAAATGAAATTCAAAGAAGAGTTAGATTATGACTGTAGTCTAAATCGTTATAAGATATTTGAGATTTAGTTAGCTATAAAAAGTTTAACCCTTCACTTATGTTCTGATAATAAACTTTGTATACATATACTTTGAAAAAGCAAAAGATTTAATAAAATAGAATTGTTTGATAATGGTTTTAAGGATGACCTACCATTATTGATATGTTTTTCTACTTGCTATATTAATTATTTCCCTTCACGTTGCACCTTGTTGATTTAAAAATTCTTCCAGGGCAAATTAAATGCTGAAATTTTTTTACAAAAATTAATTTTCGTTGTAAACGCAGGCCTAAAATTAAGATAATTAAAATTATGATGCGAGATTTCTGAGACTCGACTCTCGATCGAGCCACTCGAGGCAAGTTGAAACACAAAATACAAATGGGCGTGACTTTGTTGTTCTTCAGCAGCTGGCAGCGGTCTGGCATGGCATTGTGTCTGGCGGCAAAAACAGGCGACCGAATTTCCGCAGGTAAATTTTTGATAATTTTTCACTTACAATTTTGAGGTTCATGCACTCCAAATTCTGGTGAATTAATTAATCATTACACCTTTCCTATATGTAATATGGGTTTATATTTGGTCAAAAAAATATATATTTTTAAGGAAAAATGAAGCGCACTAGAAACATTGCTTTTGGGAACGATGACGATTCCGAAGACTTGGATGATCCATCAACTCATGACAGCAACCCAGGAACTTCCAGAGTTGAAAAAAGTATGCCAGAGTCGATGAAGAAGCTGTCAATAAAGATCAAGAAAGAAAATCTTAAACTAAGCTGCCGTTGGACTGAATGTGAATTTAGCATTGAAAGAAACCCATCAGAATTCATTCAGCACGTTGGACATCACATTGCCAACCTGAAAATTGTTTTTGATGATGAATTAAAGTCAAGTATAAATGGATTCATTTTTTAAATAATCCCTCTAACCATTTTATGTGTTTCTCAGACGTTTATAAATGCAGCTGGGGAAATTGTGTGGAAGAAATGAGAAGTGAAATTGAGGCCAAAGTCCACCTTTATTACCACGGAAGCCTGACAATTTCAATTGAAAATGGAGCAGCTATTCTGTCCCAAGAAGGATTTCCTGTAAGATTTAAAAAAATAAAATGCAAAAATTATAATGTAAATTCCGTAGCAATGCAAGAGACTCTCCTCAAATAAAGACTGCATCCCTCCTGATCTTGATTGCTCCGAGAAACTGAAATGCCTTTGGAACAAGTGCCACGAAGAGTTTCTTGACTCTTATGCCTTTTACAATCACGTCAAGTGCCACACAGCTGGGGCCATAAAAGGGAAAAAAGATGCTAATCCCTGCAGCTGGGAGTGTATGTTTTGTTTTAATAAATAGACAAAAATGTATACGTAATTTTCAGTATGCAAAAGAGCATTTAGAAGTCGGGCAGAATTAGATCGTCACATGCGATCTCACACCAAAGAAAAGGAGATTTTGTGCCCTACCTGTGGCACCAGCTTCACTGCCCTGACTGCATTATTTAACCACTGCATTAGGCAAAATGAAGGTTAGGTGCTTTTCATTATTGTACTGTATTTATTTTATTTAGTTTTTCACAGAAAAACCTCATGTGTGCCCCCACTGCAAAAGAGGGTATCCATCACAAAGTCTCCTGCAGAAGCACATCTTCAACCACATGAACAAATACAAGTGTCCTTTTTGTGAATACCTGAGCTCCTACCCCTCAAGAATTGCTGAACACATTATATTTCGTCACTTGCCTGACAGGTGCTTCAAGTGTGAATTCTGCACTTTCTCGTGAGTGTTGTTTTTGTACTTTTATAAAACAAAATAATAATCAAATGAGAAAATTTAGTGCCAAAACAAAAGCAAGTCTACGTCGACACCTGGATATTCATTTTACTTATGCTGTGAACCACTGCAAAATTGACGATTGTGAATTTTCATGTAGATCTTCACATGCCATGAAAACTCACAAGGCAAAGGTAAGTGTGCACAAACTTTCACCTCGCAATTATAAGCAAACTCTCCTTTCCAGAAACACAACATTGGAGTTATAATTAAGTATGGTTGCCATATTTGTGACAAGAAATTCAATAGGAAAAAGACTCTAATCAAACATGCCGAAAGTTTGCACGAACTCAAATTAGCTGACGACACAAAGTAAATATTTATTTATCTTTGCTAATTCAAATGTTGCACATTTTCAATACTTTTTTAGAGTTGTGATGAAAGAAGACAATACCTACTTCCTAGACCTGCACAAAGACCCTCCTTTCCAGTGCGAAGAGGAAAGCAACCACTCTGAAAATCCGCTCTACATCGCCTACGACCAGGTCGACGAAGAGGGCAATGTGACCTCAAAGGTTCTTGTGGGCGCCCAGCCCATGTCCTACATGCCCCAGGTGCTCACCCTGCCAAATGAGCAGGAAGGCGCCTTCAAACCGGAGCTGGCCACTCTAAAAGCAGTGCCCATCACCAACAACTACCCTCCCATGTTCATCTTCCAAAGCAGTCTGGACGCACTGCAGTCTAACAACGGGAGCGCCAACGCTTTTGAAATCATCACCCAAAATCCAGCCAATGCAGAGTAAACACAAAAGTGGTGAGTACAAACCCTTTTTAATTTGGTGTTTGGTGCGTAGATTATAAAACGGAAACATTTTAAGTATGGATTTTTCGGTTATAAGGAAACTCTGGTTCGTATTTTTCTTATATTTATTACTATCAGAGAGCAGCATAAATAGAGCACATCAAACCATAAATGCAGTGAGAGATTTTAAAATCGCGTTTTTTTTTCGAAAATGAAAAAATCTATTATGCTTAATGTAGTTGAGAATTTGTTGAGAGAAAATGAAATCAATTTTAATGAGATGGATTATGATTTCAAGTTACGTAGATCCAAACTGGCGAACAATTTTCGCCCATTCGGCAGGGTAGTTGCGCTGGATGTGAGAAACGACCATCTGAATTTGCCTCTTCTCCTGAGGAGTGCATTGGAAGCAAATGTTCTTGATAACAAGAGGAGCGAGAGCTGAAATAATAAAAATAAATAAGCGTTAGGTAACAAAAATTGATGAAGTAAATAAATTTTGAGACATTTATAAAAACGTGGTAATTTATTTACAATTTTCCGTTGTAAATTGTAAATCGCTTTAAATTTGAAAATCCATTTCAATACCTTTGAGTTTGCGGCCAACGGGGTCGCAGGGGACCTCTCCAAGGGTGCATTTAATTTGGCGGAGCATGTATCTTTTGTCCTTGATGGCGTTCTGAAGTGTTTGGTCGCTGAGGGAGGTGGGCGCAACTCCAGCAGGTGCGGAATCTGTTTCTTCGGCCGTCAGCCCCAGAACAAGCACCATCATGATGATTGAAAGACGCATCGCTAGTTTTGTGTACTGAAATCACACAATAGCGCCTAATTAGTTAAAGAGTAAACGCGGTTGATATTAAATTATTTTTTGACTATACATTTGTTATTAAAAAAGATTTTTATTTATTTATTTATTTATATTATTATTTTTATTATTTATATTAATATGATCATGAATTTCCATTTTCAGTATATAAATGAAAGTTGAAATCTATTACACAAATGCATCGTTCTGTAGCTTTTGAAGCGAGTAAAATGAGATTTACCTTTCATTACTTTTCTCTTAACCAATCAAAGTTTATATGTAGTTTTTCCTCATGCGGTTACATGGTACAAAACTGAATAGCATAATTCTAGAGCTACTTCTTCAAGGCAAACTTATAATGACTTGCACAAACAACAATAATAATCGTGTAAGGGCGTCGTGGTGTTTTGCAATCGTACATCTTAATAGTCGCCAGATTATAATACAACTATTTTAACATCTCGAAAGGTTGAACTCTCAATAGCAAGCCGAGAGCTTTGAAGTTGACGCGATTTCTTCTGCGCCGAATTATCAGAGCGTGCATTAAAAAAAAATATCAATAACTGTCGGCGCTTCCAAACTATTATTTCACATTCGGAACTGAAAAAAATTAATTCATGCACACGTAACTACTGAAGATGAGCCAAACGGCGGCCCTACCTGCATTGTGAATCGTTTGCTGTTGAGGACGTGCGCGTGTGCTGCAAGCAAAGTGCACCAAAGGACTAGCCGAAGGTGTTCACAGGTACGAGACTTTGTAGGTCGCGCGGCGAGCAGAGAAAGTGAGCCGATCGAGGGGGAAAGTAAATATACGCGCGTATACTCTTGTGTGACGCTGGATGGCCGGTGTCTCTCAGTCGGATGCGGCGCTCCTGACGCGCGCGATTGTGAAAGGCGCCTCGGTTATCCCGGCGTCTCCACTTCCGCCAACCGGCCCGGACCACTCGATAAAATGCCTGTCTCGAGATAGAGATGTTCTCCTGACCAGCGTCAGGGCCAGCCCGAGGGCCGACGCGACCTTCGAATTAGTCTCTGCGCTGAATTACTTAATATACTGTTTGCTTCCTATAAACGCGCCAAAAACTCATAAATCAAAAAATTTGCCATTGGAAGGAGTTTTTGGATTTGTATAGATGATGTTAAACCCGTTTGCTTAGTATAATATATACGCCCCTCCAATAGAAGCAAAATATTTACTATTATGCAAATTCTACCCGCATCAGATTTATATTTACCTTATGTTATATTACATTATGTTTCAAACATAGCTTTTTGGTTCTCACTGCGAAGGTCAAAATCGGATAAAAAAAAATTATATAAATAAAAAAATATAAATAAAAAAATTGGTGCTTCTCAGATACTTGAAATGAAAATTTTTTTTAACACGAGTTTTCCAGACCAATAAGAGTGCATCAAAACTTTTTGAAAGGAATTATATGTTGAAAATCCATTTTCAATTGAATTTTTTTTTACCAACAACAGAATGCGTAAAAAAGAAACAATTCTGTTAAGCTTACAGAAACAGAAATTGAAATAGTTATTTGTTTAGCAACCAAATAATTTAAAATCATAACTTATTATTTTAGTTTCAACATTTTTATATATTGAAATTCACATTTCAAGAATAATTAAATTTTTTTTATTTTTCTTATGAAGCCGTCAGACGTACTGGTGTCAACAATCGTATCGTTTGTGAAATTGCGAGCTGTGAAATCGGCAACTCTCGGGATTTCCAATTGATCCGGTTAGCGTTTCATGCTTGCATTATTTTGTGTCATGGTTGATGGTGAAAAACTACGCCTGTGAAATTTATTTTGCTCCTGGCAACTGTAATTGGCGTTTCCTCATTGTCGCTTTTTGATAATGACAGTGACTTTCTGGTTCCTGATCACAGACAGGACTTTTTTACTAATTCTCTAAAATTTCTGCATACATACAGATTATTAAATTTATATTTATCACCTAAAATAAACAAAGAACCTACTGTCATTGCCCTGAAAATGCATGCATATTTAACATCAAGATTTAACCATAGGATATTCTTAATTAGCTTCATAGCGTTCATACAGCGTTACAAACTTATTTATTTCACATTCAAGGGTCACCTTGAAACACTTAACGCACGATCAAAAGTAAATCTATAAAAAGCGTTAACGGTAAACTGTGATTAATTCCTAATTCCCCGCTAATATTAAGTCAATAAAACAAGTTAAGATAGATTTCATTTAAGGTTTTGGTCTGAACTCTGAATTTGTGTTTATTTGTGCAGTAATTTTTCTTCAATAAAAAAAAGATAGTCTAACTAATTGTAAGTTTGAAGCACAAAATTAATTGCTTATTGTTTTCTGGAGGTAATACTTTTCAAATGCGTATTTACTCAAAATTCCAGACAAAAATTACTCTTTTCAAATTATTATGAAAAAAATACAAACCTGGGTCTGAAGAAATTCTGACGAGGGGGTAGAGCGCGTGTAGCAACAAGCTCGGCTGATGCACCACTGCGGTGCATCAGTCTCGTGGAATGCATTTCGTGATGGGGAGGGTCTAACACACCTTTATCAAATTGCTTTGACCCCACTTACGTCCACACAGGTAAATTTCGGCCCTAACCGGATCAGGCAAAGGAGTGAGTTTTTGTTGTCAACCGCGATTTAAAAAAAAACCTTTCTCAGGAAGCTGGGCTTTAATGCACACACAAGATGTACACAATTTTTAGACAAAGCTTAGCTTATTAAATTTCTTCTCTCAAACATTTTTGTTTGTTTGTTAATATTTACACAAAATTTATCCTACAAGAAAATACACTTGCTTAAAATACATTTGAGGAATGCACCAGTTTGTAGCATACAAAAATCAAAGGAACACATCAGATACACATTTTACAGAAGAAAGTAAGTCGTTCCGCAATCGGGACTTTTCTCTCCCAGCCTCTTTCGGCCACATTTTCAAAGTCAAAAGCGCTGAATTTAAGCGGCAAATAAAATTTTAGAACGCCTAAAAAATTAAACCGGCGGTCAAGTGGATTTGGAAGATGCTGCCTCAGCAATATCCGAACTTTCCCCCTTCAGCCCCTTACGTGCCGCAGGCGACACAAGGAAGAGGGCGCGTTTCGTCGCCAACACTGCGTGCGTAGCCGCCTGAAATAACAATTCATTGGTTATAGAATGATTATTTAAGCCTGAATAAATATTCACAGAAGTTTTAAATGCTCAATAGGCGGCTAAAATAATTCAAATATGCAAATTTAAGGCACATTCTAGTATATTTCTTAATCATTATTCAAGAACGTTATTACATGCAAAAATTGTTCTTAAATTTGGACTTCTTCACTCTTTTCCGAATTAGGAGAAAAATAAAGGATTTTAATATCTACCATAAGAAATGCAAAATCTTTATTTTTAAGTCTTTGCAAAATAAATTATTTTCATCACTTGCATTACTTCCCAAAATTTTACTTTCTAAAAAGAAAACTCACCCTGAATTTTCTCCTTGCATTGAATTCGCGCAACTTCTTGATAGTCCGCGTCATGTGGAAGTCCAGTGGAGTGAGGCCCCTAATCCAAGGGTGTTTTGCAGCTTCAGTCGCCGTCGGACGCTTTGTAGGGTCCACTTGCAGCAACTTTTTACAATGAAATGTATCATTTTTCACTTAAAAATCAATCAAATTATTGTTACCTGAGTGATAAGATCTTTGGCACTGTCCGAAATGTCATCCCACCAAGGTGAACTGTATTCAAACGTGCCTTCGACCACTCTCCGACAAACGGCCAGTTCGCCAGCCTCGTCCCAGAATGGCTCAAACCCGCACAACCTGCAGAAAAGTTTGAAAGCTTTAAATTATCTCAAAACGCGTGTCCACTTTGCATATTTTCATCGCGGCAAATTTAGAACTTCCCACTCGGTCTAAAATTATGTTTTGGGGCCTTTGAGCAAGTCAGCCACTTAAAAGAGCACGCGGTTCAGAGGCGAATCGATAATGCGAGTGGCACGCTTGACACTTTGAATGCGAAACTGTCGTGATGTAATGATAATCAATTATGATTTGCGCGGCCGAGTGACGTGAGCGGCGTGCCGATTTTCTTACATAATGTACGCCACGACGCCCAAACTCCACAAGTCCACCGACGAGTCGTAATTCTTTTGCAAAAGCACTTCTGGCGCTGCAAATATAGAAAAAATGCAAATCAATTTTACAACAAATTGCCAACGCGCAGGCCATGGCGTTTCCCGAGATGAAAATCTGGTTTGTTATTACTTGATGATCATTTTATGCTGAATATGTTTGTTTTGAGCTTGAAAATTTGAACATAAAATAATTTTTTATTTGAAATTGTTTTGATATTATGTAAGGAGTTTTTTTTTAATTGGGAATCTCTTTGTTAAAAGCCTTATATCTTAATTAAAATTAATTTTAAAAATATAAATAAATTAGCTTTGAACGGTCTTTAATTTTTTTGTGATACTTTTTTTGTTTTAAAATTGTTTTATTAGAGATCTTGAATACTAAAAAAAACACTATGGAAGGAAATGAGAGTTTTGATACCGCAGTAGCCAACGGTACCGCACAGGGTGGTCATGCCAGGGTTGTTGTGTGTCACCACCATCTTGCTGAGGCCAAAGTCGGCCAGTTTGATTTTTGAGTCGTCGTCCTCCGTTTCGTACAAAAGATTTTCCGGTTTGATGTCCCGATGGACAACTCCATTAGCGTGCAGGTACTGAAATCAGATATAGACGTCACTCACCAATGCTTTTAATCCCGCTCGTTTTCTAGCTAGATCGATATTCTAAATAAAAATACAAGAGTGCAGAGGCCTCTGAAATTTCATGTGTCAGCTACAAACATAACAAATTATTCAAAGGGAGGCGTAATCTCTTGTTCTTTTTTTTATAATGCTTGCAGGAGGAGTGCGTTGTAATGTTCAAGCTCCATGTGGAATGATAAGTGCTTTTTGACATATTCAAGTTGGCTCATTGTCAGAAGGAGGAAAATCTTTTCGTACTTGAATTGACTGGCATTTTTTTATATAATTAAAATCCAATAAATTAGAGTAAATAATTATAGACCTAGAAAAATATATTTTTTTAAATAATTATTATTACTGTCATTTATTTGTCTACATTGCTAAAAATATAAAATTGTCAAATTCAATTTGAAAAAAGTTTAAGGCAAGGATTGGATCCAGGGAAATTATAATGCTTATTTTGAAAGGTCTAAATTTGAAATTGACTTTAAGCTAAAAAAATTAAAATTTTTGTGTAAAAATTTTGTTTGTAAGTCTTGTCCAATACTTATCACTTTTTTAACCAAATATGAATATGTTTTGAAAAGTAATTTCCTTAAATTATAAGAATTTGTCAGAAAAACCTCTTTTGAATTAAGTTAGTTTAAAAATGGCTAAATTTTGAATATTAATCATAAATAGAATTTATACTGTGAATCTCTAAAATATTTTAAGTTCTCTGCAAACCTTTAATTAATTTAAAAACTTTAAATTGTTAGAATAATGTAATTAAATTTAAATTAATTGCTTTAAAGGGCTAACACACGTTTAGAACTGAAACCCACTTGAGATTCTTTTATATTTATGCGTATGGCTTCCAACAATAGTAAAAAAATTATAACGAACATTATAGCTTCCAAAGTTTCCAGAGCGTCAAAACCACAAAAATTTCTACCGCTCGAGGAACTTCGGAAGTTAATAACGCCCAAGCCAGGTATAAAAGCATTGTGCATTTATAACAAATATTTAACATGAAAGGAAAAACCAACTAAAATAAAATGAGCCACTTGAATTGAATTTTAAACCAACAACAATAATAAATGGTTTAATTAAATTAATTTTTCACAGCTGTTAAAATATGAAGAACCTAAATTTGATATTAAATTTTGCACTTCCAAATAAAACGGCTCCATAATAAATTGCAGACAAATTTCACGCTGCTGCATCACAAGCCCTTAGGCGAAATTTGCCATAATTGGCAGTTTTATTCATAATTAATTGCTCCGCGCTCGTTAATGACGCTTAATCGTGGCGAAAAGTGCTGACATCACACAATTAAAATTCCTGCCCAAAAGAGATGGGCCCTTCGGGAACAATCTCTCTCGCACTCGAGCGCGCAAACGTGGCATTCCTCGCCTGACCCAGTTCGTCGCCTGGCCAAATGTCACGGCGTCAAATTTACACAAATTCAAAGAAGTGTACCTGGAGGGCGTCGAGGATCTGCCTGAGGGCGCACGCGGCGTCCTGCTCGCTGTAGTGGCCGCGCTCAACGATGCGCTCAAACATTTCGCCGCCGGTGACCAACTCGAGCACCAGTTGGATCTCGGTGCTCGTTTCAAACACCTCTCGCAGTCCGATCTGCACAAAATTTTACATAAATTATTATTCAAAAAGAAAAATGTGCGAATTTATTATTTATACTAGATCTTTTATGTAATCATATGTAATAAAGAAAAATTCCAATAATATGTAAAATTATTTACACAATTTAATAAAAATAACGAAATTAATTATTTCATTATTATAATTCGCTTAATGGCTGAAATTGGCTGAAATCAATTTGAAAAGAATTAAAATTAACAAGAGATTTTAATTCCTGCCATCAAATTTAAATTACTAAATTTAATCTTTAAGTGACGTCAGGTTTTATTTAATTTATGTGATGTAAGTAATGATTGAATACTTGTTCAATAATTTATTAGTTCAACGAGACTCACAATGTTGGGGTGACGTAGCTTTACCAAAACTCCGATCTCTGTTTGCGCAGCCCGCCGGTTGAGCCCTGACTGAAATTATTAATAATTTATTACATTTGGAGTTTGATTTATTCGCAAATGAGGATGTGCGTCATCAGAATTTAATAAAACATGCCGTTTGTTTGACTGCGTTGTGGCGCAACACCATAACAACTCTTAATAAATTTCTATTCAATTCAAAATTTCATTTATAATTGAATAAGGTGGAGTAATTAATTCATTAAATGGGGGCATTAGTCAAAAACTTCAAAATACTGACCTTGCGAAACACCTTGCAAGCCCATTCCGTCCGACCTTTGTGCAGGCACCTGTACACAATTGAAGATGCCCCCCTGCAAAGCAGACACGAAAACTAATCAATCTGAATTTATGAATTGCTTGTTTCAAAAAGCAAAGATTAATCACCGCCCGGCTAAAACTTTGAAGGTCGAACAAGGAAAGCCTAGTGCGCAAATTGAGACGTATGTTAATTTGTTTTACACTTCTAGGAATTGCGTTATATACCGGAGGCGAATTAAAATTTTATTATTCAAAGAGTGCCAATCAAGGGCATATCCAATTTATTCTATTCTTAGCGTGAAGAGGTGCAATAAAATAGCCGCTCGTTTGATCATCAGAGAGGTTGCATGACTAACGGGAGTGCATACACAGACCTCCCATTGTCTTAAATTGGAATATTACTGCTGCAGCCCCACGGCTCATTTTTTTTTTTGCTCGATCCACTCGAGACTGATCTAAATAATGCAGGGTGTTCTCAAAGAGCGTTTATTTGAGATAGAGTCTTTTCTTTTATGCGTCAAAAAGTGCCATGTGAATGAATGTGCGTCACGCCATTTATCGCGATACTTTTTTGTCCCTTGTGCAAAAGAGTGTCGCTCGGCGTGCGGTTTGGAAATTCAGGCTCTCCAAGCACCAAACCGACCACAGCCCACAGAGATGAAGAACATGATAAGTTGTGAATGGCGACCTGTCCCGAGTCAATTAAGCCCGCGCTCTCCTCCTTATCAGGCCAACATTTCGTGAATAAAACGAGGGCTATTCGAAAAACAGAGGTTGATGTTCAAACCGACTTTTCGTTTGTCCATCATTTACAATTTTTATACCTGGCCGGTGCGTAATTTAAGAGGCCTTTCTGCGCTTTAATTCTGCGTGCGTGAACAAATTTATCTCGCGGTGCCGTCGGCTCCTTTTTTACTTCGGCAATGAAGCAACAACAAGTCTGGGCTTTCTTTTTCCATTCAATTCGTCTTCCAGCACACTCATCCGGCGTGAATGCGCCTGATTTGTAATTCAATATGCAGACGCGGTCATTATAGGATCTTGAGATTAGAAATTGGCGTTTGCTCCAATGATCGTTTCTCACAGTCGGAGATCAGCTCGATGCGACTCAATGAAAATTTTCATGCTCCGTTTGGTCTGAACAACTTTTAATCAGTAAGCTCGTAAAAAAAAAACTAATCTTGTTCAAAATTAGTTCAACTATACAACTCTTGGTAATTGATTGATGATTTTGTTCTCATTGTCATCTATCAATAAGTGAATAATTATGTCTAATGATTTTAAATTAAATAATGGTGACTGCAAAGTTCTTATTTTTTTTAACATTTTGGTTCATGGCACTCCAAATTAAGCTTTTAGGCAATCCAGTGAAAATTAGATAGTCCGTTTTATATTGATTGAAATATTTGCATGCCATGGCTTTGCCTTTTTCAATATTATATTTTTCAAATTAAAAAGTTATCAATTAAATTCTTGGAGTATTTATAATTTATTGATTTGAATCATCTTCTTATCTGGCCCATAACTTAACTTTCAATTAAAACTGCAGAAGTGTCGGTAACAAAAATCTAAAATCTCCGTTTTCATTCGAGAGGAAGGAAAGTTCCAGGTTGCTTTGGCTGATATCACAAAACTATATCTAGTTCACTATGTGTTAACTGATGATGCTTTGATAATTGATAATTTACAGTCGTGTTTTGCCGCGGCAACAAGTGCATTGTCTCTGCACATGTAGATATATCTCTATGCAAAAGGCGTTGGAAATTCACCTATAGCGCGCAGCGGGCTCGAAATAAAAGTGTCAAGACAAGGTCTGCGGGTCGTAAATTAAGAGCTCTCTTGTTTTAATTGCGCCAAGGCTCAGTGTGCGCTCCTCATTCAACACTGGAATGCCTGCAGCATTTTCTTCTTCGGCAGGAAATCGCGCGCTTTGTGTTCGTTATGCAACCGGTGATTCTCGGAAGATCGAGCTTGCTAATATAAACAACTTTATATTCTTCCTCTCGAGTTATTTATTGCGCCCAGCCGGCAATCCCTATTTCGGAATCTGGGGCAATTAGAAAAATAAAATAAATATGACTTTGTCACATTAAGAGCAATTGAATTTGCGCTTGGAGATTAATTAGTGACGTTGAAGCGAGCGTTACTGCAAACGTGGATTGAATTATTTTCTAATTAACGCTGCGAGGCGCTTTCTTGCAACTTTTATTAATTAACTGCAAGGAAATGTTTTATTTATTTATATATAGAATTGATGCCTTGGCATTGTCTGATTTTATATCAACTCTCGCTTTTTCCAATAAAATGAAATAAATCGGCGTACTTTTGTACTCTAAGAAATATATTTTAACTTTTTATCCGGTGCAGTTGAAAAAAAATCAGTTAATATTTCCTAGCAAAAAATACGCGATTTGTTGTATTTGCAATTTTTTTTGCCGAATAAATTATCAAAAATATTATTGGTGCACAACCTGGCTCCTAAAAATTGTTTGTCATTCGAAATGATTGTTTTTCTAGGGTAAATATTGTGCCACACGTTTACTACAATGCGCCACAGCACTCCTTTGTTTACACTCGAAAAAGCACTCATCGGCAAAAAAGCACCCACTCTTCGCCTGCCAATCATCGAACACCTCCGCAAAAATTCGCAAGTGGATATACACACGCGGTAAAATTGTTATATATTCCATTCAAGGGGACACCGACACACACACCAAAAAAGCGACAGTAAAGTTTCTACTTCAAAACGGGACACCGAGTTGCTGCTCTGCTCAATATCAAAAACTTGTGGGGCTTTAAAGCTTTGCCAATCCCAATTAACCTTCAAACAGTGGCACCAGCAGCAACAGCAGTCAATCAATTGGACTTTCGCCGATGTAATTTAGAGTAAACAATGCAAGACGTAATATTTTGCCGGGCTTCTCCGTTTCCAAGACAATAAATAGGCGAATATTGCATCGGAAATTTTATGAGGTCATTCCTCCGCGTACAATATCAGTTTTGTAACGTTTTGATTGGCAATCCTTTTATCTCTAAAAACATTTGATAAGCTTGTGCATGTAGATTAACTTAGATAAAAAATCCGACATTCTTCTCAAATATTAATAAAAAAATGTAAAATTTATTTAAAATGTACCTTCCAACAATGTCCCCTAATTTGTACTCATTTTCGAGCAGTCTCTCTTTCTCGGCCTCGGCGATCCAGAAGACGTCGTCGTCCTGCTCGCTCATGCTGGTCGGTTGCCTACCCTTGAGGTGCAGGCCACCGTCTGTTGACGACTGAGGAGCCGCGGCTCCTCCGCTCTGCTTCGGATCCCCACGCGCACCGCCAGCGAGCGGGACGCCGAAACAGACCGCGCGCCGCGCCAGTGACGCAACCGTGGTGAACATCGACCCGGTCGCGTCCCTCAATGGACCTGCCTTTCGGCTCCCGCGATTCATACCCTTGCACCCACCGCACTGCACCAAATGCCACCCCTGCACTTGTGTGCTGGCGACCTCGATTCGGCCCCTCTTGCCACCGATACATACATATTATGCACTTAATTCAAATCCGCGACATGTGAACCGCGCGAATGCGGCGGCGCTCAAAGACTTTTCCTCCCTCAAAACAAACTACTCTTGAGGAACAGACGGGTGAACAAGAACAGCCACTTTTTCAATAAAAGTTTGCCCAACGAGGAGCATTAGGTCGGATTCGTTTCCCAACTTGCTTTTCCAACGCCAGGAGTTGCATTTGCCAACTTCTCTTATTAACTTCCTGCAAGGAAGTTTATTAATTCCAAATCTTTTTGTTGCTTATTTAGCAACACCAGAGACACAAATTTATCTTAATTGTTATATAACATTTACAATTTTCACATACAAAATACAATATAACTTTTTAATTTAATTTTTGTATTAATTAATAAATTTTATATATTTTATGAAAATTTATCGTAAAATCAATGCAATTTTATGTGAAGGGTGAGTTATAATTTTATTGAATAAACTTCTCACGTAAAAAAAATATAAATATTAAATTGCATACTAGACATAATTATACAAATTTGTGCTACAGGGCAGTCATTTGTCCTAACACTATTTTGTATGCACAATCGTAGTTTTGTTATTAAATAATTATTAATTTTTTATGACCTCTTTCTCTCTCTCTTTAATTTAAGAAAAATTTAGTACCTTCTATCCTGAAATTTTTGTAAAATTTACCATGCACGTTATGTTGCTAAAATTTGTGGAACGAGGACAAGTGCAGCTCTTTCCTTTTTCAAAGCAGTTCAACGGATTGAATTGCAAAGCAGAAATCTGCATCCAGCATCTCCGCAAAGGCTGGCCCATTTCCAAATGTTGCCGCACACTCATAACGTCATGACAAAAGCTTTTTTCGTATCACCTCATTCTGTTCCGAGAAAAGATTTGCCCCGTCTTACGCAAGAAAGCATGAAAATTATAAAAAATTTCTCGCAATTATTCGAGATGAAAACAGATATGAATAGAATAGATCGCTTTTCAATTAAGATGCAATTGGATTTTTTAAGCGTAGAAGTTCTGCCATAAAAATTTACCTGTGAAATTGTTACAGGGGTTGGCGATTTCAGTCACATTTGCTCAATTTTCACCCCGGAGAGATTGGTTCTGCGAGTGGATACTTTTTAAAGATTTCCCTTGAGACGTAGCAAAAAAAGAGGGTTGAACACGAGAGTGAGCTCAATTTGCTCAGTCAGCTGCTCACTTGACCCTTTTCTCGGTCCAATTAATTGAATTATATCAGTGATTAAAAGGGGGCAGTTATTTAGAATGATCTCTCCCTCGGGCAGCATTCGACTGCATAACTTAATTAGTCTACCTTGAAATTATGTAAAAATTATTTAATACACCAACGGCGCTGAACCAAATTGGATAACGAAAGTTGTCTGACGAGTTGGTCAAATTCATCGATCGGAATTTTATTAAAAGAGCAGAAAGTTTCTTCTTCCGACGGGCACGTTCCTGGCAAACAAACGAGGTGACGATAATCACGCGTCTCTAACGATTTGTTGGTTTTCGCGCTGAGAAAGACCACGCTAATTGCTCGATCAATAGTGTCGTGTGTTTGCGTGATCGGCCTGGTAGATTAATTTGCACCTAAGAGAAATGTCCGTGCGGATGAATGAATGAACGAATGAATCAGCACAGGAAGAATATTGATTTGTTTTTGAACAAAAGTGGAGCCGCAAGACCGCACACATTTCCTATGAATTTTATTTCAATTGGTGGTGACGTTTGGTCTGACCGCAAAAGTGAATAATTAATTTCATTTAAAATAACAATATTTCTTCTCTATCCTTGATTTTGACGTTTAATTTAAGATGATTGTAAGTGACAGTGTTATTGCTTTGTGGTTTTTTAATTGAAAAAGAAATAAATTGCTTCTAATAAAATTTCATGCTTTGAATCATACTCAAGTCTCAAATTAGAAAAGAAATAAATTTAAAATTGCAATAAGCGTATCTTTTAAAAAAAATATTTTGATGGAAGTCTACAAGTATCAAACGAAATTATAGATTAGCTGTTTGGAATTGTCTAAAAACAGAATATATCTCAATTTGTATTACTTGGAAGCTTTGAAAATTATTTTTACTCAAGATCTGTTCAATATTGCCGAGAATCATTACATCAAGATAAATTTGCACCACCAATTTCATCAATACAAGAAGCAAAATCATATAACGGGCAATGAGGCACAACTTTGCGTTCCAAAGATCGCTCCAGCTCTTAATGCAATTCACTTTTATGTGCGAGATAATCGTTGAATACGCGAGTTCAGATGGTTAAATATTTGCATGTCTGCGCGCTAAACCTGTTTGCAGCGGTCGGTCCCTTGAGACTTTGAGAGCTCGGGCTGATTGATTGATCGCCACAGGTGAATGGCATGATTGCGTTCGTAAATAAAATTAGTCTCCGGGTCGCAGCAAGTACGTACCTCGATGCAAACGAGCTCCACGTGCTGCGTTCATTCAGTGTAATTAGAGTCGGCACCTTATTTGGCTCTAATTGACCTTAATTAACGACAGCCTTCGAAAATTGGCTCTAATTTTTTCAAATAAATAATCGACAAAAATAATTAATTATACCAAAACTTGAAAGTCATTCGATTTTTTGCGTCGCGGTGAGGAGGCGCCTTTCTTTTGAATGAAAATCTCCCGCCCCGCGCGCGGATCGTGAGTAATGCCAGTGGTATTAGCATCTCATTGAATAATTCAACTTTTTCTGGGGCACCGTCTCCGCCAGACAGAGTGGTGTTGTGGATTAAAAGGAGTGCCGGTCCATTTCGCAGGTGCAAAATCCCCAGCGCGAGAGCGGGCCCTGACCCACAAAACTCTTTAACTCTTCACCTCCGATTGCAAAATGCGATTGTCAAATTTGACTCCATCTGCATGTGAGAGACAGCCAGATAAGCAAATGTGTCAGCCATTAAATCTCGGCATTCCAACAATGCACTTCACTTAGTCTATCTTAATGTACTGAAAAGGCGATTGCAAATTTATTAAAGGGTCTGACAACTTTCAAATATTTTTTACTCTATCGAGGTCTAGATAGTTCTTTTCATGGAAATTTCAATGAATAATTTTGAACGAAAACTTTCTTAGTGATCAATGTTTTTTTTTTTTTTTTTTATTTTTTTTTTTTTGTATGATTGTTGCAAAAAACCTCTGACTCTTGAAAAAGTATAAAATAAGGTTTTTATTTCTTGCCCAAAAAAATTTTTCCTGAAAGAAAAGTTGCGCCAATAGATTTATTTTTATTATATGTTTTTAATGTTTCCATATCTTTCAATTATATTACAGTAGGAAAAAAATTTAACTGTTTTGAATTACGACTCAATTTTAAAAGTGCGAAAAAGTATACTAGGTGCTAAAACTTCAACCTGTTTCAATTGCGCAGCTGTTAAATTTTAGCGGATTATTTTTTGTTTGTCGTTTCATTCGTGAAGCGTTTTGGCAAACCGCGGTGAGTCAACATCTCGCAGAATCTCTCTGGCGTATAAAAAAATGTTTATGCGCGGGACATGCTGTGATTTAATATCACACGCGCTGTTGATTTAACGACACGTTCGCGCTCAAGGAGCCAAAATAATAATAATAAATATGACACAACCTTCTCCGCCGCGTCATAAAATTATTTTAGCACAGCGATTAATGGTACGTGCGAACATCTGTCCCAAGAGTTTTTTTGTCAGCTTAATTGAATTGCAAGGGAGACGGATAAATTAATTAATGTTGGAAGCAGAAATTTTTGTGTGGAGAACGTCGAAGTCGCGATTAAAAAATCAACACTCGTAAGCGTTGAACACGAAGTTTCGCATTCTCCCGCCAAAAGCATTTTGAACACCGAAGGCAATTTAATATCATTTTAGTCATGAAATTTTTTACTTTAAACCTGTAGGATTGTAATTTGATCACGATTAAATTAGTTGAAAATATATATATTTATTTTAAATTAAATAAATTTGTACAGCTTTAAATTGTAAAATCTAATCTATATTAAGCAAGATTCGAAGCAGGATCTAGACGTCTCTGGTTTGTTTTGCTCGCTGCACTCGTTCAGTCTGGGACACGAGACTGTCCGCGTAGACTTGCCTGTTCCGTCGCAGTCGCACTCCGTCCACGCACCAACCGTCCACTGGGAACAAGGACTCTACGCAAATAAAAGTTCTTCATGAATTGAATATAAATTTTTTTAATTTTTTTAAACTGACCACAATGCACGGTTCATAGTCAGCTGGTTTCTTTCCGGGACAGTGCTTTACGGCCACTCGATGTCCAGTTTGGGAAAGGACGCAAGTGACACCTCTTTTCCTTATTCCATCGCCACAAGTTTTTGAACACTTAAATAATTCAAAAAGGGATTAGTTGTACATTCGGCTGATGTTGAAAAATAGTTCTACATTTGGCTTTCGTTGAAAAATAGTTCTACATTCGGCTTTTGTTGAAAAATAGTTCTAGATTAGGTTGATGTTGAAAAATGGTTCTACATTCGGCTTTTGTTGAAAAATAGTTCTACATTAGGTTGATGTTGAAAAATAGTTCTTTCTACATTCAGCTGATGTTGAAAAATAGTTCTACATTCGCCAGATGTTGAAAAATAGTTCTACATTCGCCTTTTGTTGAAAAATAGTTATACATTTGGCTTTTGTTGAAAAATAGTTCTAGATTAGGTTGATGTTGAAAAATAAGTTCTACATTCGGCTGATGTTGTAAAATTATTATTGTAATTATTTCCAAAGATTGCTTAAAATTTTAATAATGTATTTAAATGTTATGTCAGCCCTTTTAATATATTAAAATTTTGAACTATTACGTGGGTCCACTCTCCAGTGTGCCACCTAAACCTCTTCTCGTCTCTGGTGTGGTGGCTGCGAATTCTCGCCTCTGCCCTTTTTCGATGCCTCCTGATTGGTCTTTGGCGCACCGGTCGCGTCGTGGAGGCCACTCGGATGGACGATTTGTTCTTGAATTCGTCAAACGAGTGAAACCGATCGCACTTCGGCAAACCTGGGCAAGGTTCTTCTTCTTGGGGTTTCGTTTTTTGATCGCAGTCCTCGTCGGGAAGGGCTTGGAATTCTGGTCCCTCCTCAATATTTCGCACGCAGAGCACCGTCCTGTGACGTCTGGTGATCCAAGGGCCACAGGTTACGGGACAAAGTTGCCACGGACCACTCCACCACCTATTGGTTTTAATTGTTGCAGCAAAGTATTATTATAACAGAGTCGAAATTGGATTTTAAATAATGTTCTCATTTCTTAAAAGTAAATAGGCTCACTAAAAAAATTGTTTATCTTGTCAAAATATTGGCTAAAAAATAATAGAAATTTATAAAACAACTTTTGAAATAAAAATTTGGGGTTTTACCTTGCTGGACATGGAGGAAGGGTGCACGTCTTTGTTAAAGAATTAGGAGGAGGACCCGTTGATAGGCACTTCACACTATCAACTTGGCTCAAGTGACGCTCAACACATTGGGGACGAGCGATCTAAATTTTATTTCACGAAATTTTTTTTTCAATATTTATATATTTTTTACATAATATAAAATTAAAGTATTTTAACCTTCATAGAAATTTTATTTTAATTTACCTGCATTCCACTGCCACAAGTGACTGAACACGCAGACCACTCTGGAAATTGCCAGTGGAACTCGGACGCTCTTTCTCCAGGTTTCCTGCGCACTGTGAATTCATATCTGACACCCAAGTTTCGAGCCTTCCCTGCGTAAATCACCTGTCCAAAATAATTTACAATCGGTCAATTTTCAAAACCATTTTTGCTACTCACATAAATGTGAAGAGCTTCATTAGTGGGGCCGCGAAGAGTCAAAGTCTCTCGATGACCCCACCGTTGGTAGGTCGCGACCGATCCGGCCACAGGAATGTCTTGACTTTCGCCTTTGCCCAGTCTAACAAAGTTTTCATTAATTTTTTTAACACACCGCGGTTAATGGGAGTCTTTTTGATATAGGAAGTTTAAAAAAATGTTGCTATTAGTGGTTCCGTTTTTTCCAATTATTCAGTATTTTTTTTTTACTAAATTTAAAAAAAATTCAATTATAATAATTAATTTGATGTAAATTTATATTTTAGTTTTGAGAAACCTATTTTATTTAAAGTATGCAGCACGCATGACTGGCGAGTGTAGCAAGTTGCCTACCCTCGCTACTGACCTGCGGCCGTCGACGTAGAGTCGTTTCTCAGAGGCGCCGAGAGCGATAAACGTGCGGGAATTGGCCGTCTCCTCTACGCGAATGTTGTGCGACTCGGCCGGAACGTCCGCAATCACCTGCACACCTGCTTTCCGTGAAATAAAGTGGGATTACGCGGGGCTTAAGGTATGCGAGAAGCACCACTCGCCTTTGCCTTCTTTTCTGCCAAAATGGTTGCTGTGGGTGATGCACTGCGAACCGTCGCCATTGCAAACGCCGCAAGCGTCCTCCTCAGCTGCAGAATCCACTTTCCAGTCACAACCCACCCTCTTAATTTTTACAACAAAAGAAGAAGAAAAATGAGAACTCTTTTAAAAGAAAATAATATTCTGTAATTATTAATTATTTAAAGTTTTCTATTCAATCAAGCCATCTTACAAGATTGCAAGAATTTTTTGAATTTTTTAATTGGGATTATCAAACTTATGAAAATTGATTTAGTGTTAAAAAGTTTTAGGTTGTCATAAATAAGCAAAACATATAATTAAATTTGAAAAAAATTGCATTTTTAGCATGAAAATTTTTTAAGTCTATTGAAGAAAGAAATTTGATTTTTTGTTAATTTTTGGTGGCACTGACATTTAATACGAATTATTATTATTATAATAATGCATAATGCAAATTAATAATTTATTAATATGCATGTTGAATCACAATTACATAATTTGCAAAAATTGCAAAAATTGCAAAGGTCTGTAAGTATCGATTGAACTAAAAAATTTTAACGTCTTTCTTTCACCAGTCTATAAATTTTAAGTTGTATAATGTTTAAAAAAGTGCTTTACAGCTTTTAAATTTAAATTACTTTTGCATTTCTTGAAAACTGAATTTATTAAGCTTCTTGCAATAGTATTATCAGTATTAAAGTCCTCATTTTCTCTTTTCAAAATTAAATTCCTACCCTGCATTTTCCCTCTATGCACATGTCATTGGAGGACGAATTGCACGGTGTTCCGTCCTTGGCCGCAGGGGCAGCTTCGACAATCAAGCTCTCGTTTGTGCAAAAGAGCGCACAAGGCGATCCTGTGGAAAAAAAACAATGGCTACTTTTTGCAATTTTCGTTTGAACTTGACATGATGGTACCTCTATCAAAGTAGGGCCGCCAATCAGGATCAAACACGGCGCACTGCTTTCCTCTGAAACTCTTTTCGCTTCTCCAGCAGGGCTGCTCCAAAGATTAATCGTTATTTTTTTTTCTCAAGAAGGAAAGTCAATATTGAACCTTGGTGTTGCAGATTCGATACCTCTTCCTAACACCTGTGCAGTAGAGGCCGCCGTGAGCAGGTCGCGGGTGGTCGCACTCCCTTTCAGAGGAGGCCACTCCGCCCCCGCAAGTGCGCGAACACTCGCTAAACGGGCCCCACTCGCCCCAGCCACCGTCAACCGCGACCGGACTGTCCCGCACGTCCACACATTCGCGACTCATGCACCACTGAAAATTAAAATTAATTGGTTTGAAGAAAATAACTTTAATTAAAAATGAAAAGAAGAATGATTTTATGTAATAAGATGAAGGTCTCATGATTGACATTATTTTCTCCGAGAAATTGAAAAAAAAATCATATTTTTTTCTAATTTTTCTATCATTAAATGATGATGAAAACTAGCATTTGTTGAAAATGAAAACAATATTAACTTCTCATTTAGATATTTTATATTTTTCACCTTGCGATGGCCGCAGTTTGTTCCGTCAGCCGGCGGTCTTAAGGTGGTGGTGCACGTGTCATTGACGGTGCACCACAAATACGAGCAAAACTAGAACAGGTTTATGATGTTATTTAATTTTAACTCGAAACACAATTTGCTTTACATCCTCTTCTTCTGAGCACACCGACGTTGCCAAAGAGCTGTACTGCAGCCGGCACTGGTGGTCTGCGTCATAAAGGGCGCCGGCTGGCAGGTCAGGTAGCTCCGTCGGACCCTCAGGGTTCGTTGGCAAATCGTTCAAACACTCTCCGTCTCCCTTGCTGAGAAGTTACAAATATGCAAATTTTTTTAATTAGTTTAAATCGTTTGGGAAAACCTACTCGAAAAATCGCGTGATGGTTTTCCTGCTGCACGAAGACCACTCCATACTCGTCGTGTCGACGTCAAAGTTAGGCGTCATGATATGCAGGGCCGTTCCATTGCGCGACAAACAGTCATCTGCATTGTTGCTTTCCTCGCCAGCATCATGCACCATGCCGAAACTTGCAAGATAAATTAAAGAAAAGTCATTAAATAAAGTTAAGTTATAACTTTTATAAGGAATTTAATTTAAATTGATTATAAAAATTAATACTAGAATAAAGCAGAACAAAAGTGAATAATGGAAAAAGATATATGTTAGGAAAATAATTATTAAACTAAGTTGCTACATAAAATTTTTATTAAATAAATTATAAAAAGAAACAATAAAATTTTATGTAGAAGCAAAAGATTAAAAAAAATAATTAAACAGTATAATCATGAATGCACTTGAGATAAAAAATTAAATAAATATAGTACTTTATTAATAAAATAAATTAAATAAGATAATAAATAAAAAGCAAAGATAGTTGCATATTAAAATTTTATATTAAAATAAAATTATTCATTACTTATGACCCAACTCGTGAGCGACGGTGTGTGCCACGCTCAGACCGTTGTCCTGATTCACAGAGCACGCCCTGCTCAGGTCGCACATGCCGCCGACATGAGCCACTCCTAAGGTTCCACATGGCTTGTCTGATTTTGAGCAAATGTCTACCCTTAAAACGTCAATTTTCTATTATAACAAATTCTATTTTGCATAGACATTCAGACACCTTGTAAGCAAAATCGCAACGTCATGGTGATCAGGATGGTCGTCGTCAGGGTTGTTTAACTTCCTTTGCCACGCGCAAAAACTATCCAGAGTCACGTCCGCGTTCGTTGTAACATTAAAAGATTGGCCGTTCTGAAAAAAAAATCAAATCATTTTCAACCTCAAATTCTTCTGTCTTAAGGTCCCCTTATTAATGAAAAGACAGATTCTTAACTAATTACTCTTCAGTTTTTTTTATAAGTAAAATAAAATTGCAATATACAATTGAGGAGTCTACAGGCATAAAAATCAATAATTTCATAAAACGACTCTCATGAGTTATTGCTAGAGCCTCCTTGAATATCAATGAAGTAATTAAAGACCTTGCAAATTTTAAGATTCAAAGTTTAATTTTGACCACCTGCAACAAATTTTCGTCTTCCACCCTCAATTTTGCGACGACGATGTTGACCCTGTTTCCAAGACTGGGAATCCTATAAAACGACGAGACCTGCATTGGAGGCAAAAAGTAAATGATGCGAAACGTGCATAAATCAGCAGAGCGCACCATGTTCATGACGGTGAGGAGATAAGTTTCGAGGTCGGTGGCGCTCTCCTTGTCATGGAAATCCATCATGCTTCGATCGGCCACCACCATCACCTCGACGTTTCTCTCTCGACTCACGGAAAACTCATTGTCGGCGTTTTTGGCGGAAGGTCCGGCCAAGGGACCGTCCGGGACGAGGCCGTTGTCCTCCAACTGCTCAAATAGATCAAGGTTGCGGCTGCTCCGCTTCAGTCTTTTTCTGCCCTCCGACTTTTTGAACACTCTAATTGGATCTAGAATCGTTCAATAATTCTATTCAGTTAATGAACGAAATTATTTTCAATTTCAACATAAATCACAAAAAGTGAACTAGGGGACCTTTCTGAATTTATTGCTAACAATAAGTTAAAACCAACGAAATATTACAGTTAGCAGTACATTGTTTTTTTCATGGAAACCAGTGGGAAAAGCCGAATTTTAATTTGAACTTCAAAAGATGAGTGCTTTTATAAGAATTACGCTAGTTGTAAGCTCTGTTGAACCAAATAAATTTATTAAACAGGTTTGATTATAACTTTAAATTTTATAATTTTTATTTGAGAATAAAAACTTGATCATCAGAAGAATTTATTTGGAAAAATAAACAACTAGTGGTTTTCATTTCAATCTTTTCAATTTTTTTTATAATAATACAGTTCATGTAAAACTTTCAAAATAAATATATTTTAATTTTTTAATACAAATTTTAAGCTTGTTAAAAATGATTAATTAATAAATACAATCAATATTGAGGAAGTCTTCAGAATTAAACTCTAGTTTAAGACGTTAAAGATTATTTTTATAATTTTGATTTTTTTTTTTTTTTTTGCTTCAATAACGCGTTTTTTTAATAAAAAGGTATTTGCTAATATTCAGCATACAAATAAATAAGCATCTCTCTAGCAATTTTTGATAAGCATCTTCCTGATTTGCAAACTGGCTTTGGTGAATGTGTACCTTCAGTGCCGCAGCTGTGGGTGCCCGTTTTGGTGGAAGAAGGTCTTTTGTAAATGACATGTTGATGTCCTTTCACACCTCCGTTCCTAATCGGCTCGATCCAGAGTGTTCCGTACTTCGCGGACCGCACCATGCCCGCCTACAACAACAATAAACCATTTTCGAATCGCGTATAAATTATACACAAAGCAGATCCACAAAGAGCAACAGTGTTATTAAAAAAATGAGTTTTGGTTTTGGGTGTCTCCTTTGTGTTTAATGGCCGCGCGTGTGTTTCTGTTTGTATATATATAATTTATTATTTAGACCGGACGGCACTATTTCACGCCGGCTGCCATTGATCTGCTTCTGATAAAGATATATTGCCAATAAATAATTGCAACGGCTCGTTTTTAATATCGCACGCGCAAAAAGTAGTCTCGGTCGCCGCGTTCATTGAATCGCAAGCGTCGTGACTCACCTGGTCGTGAAAAATTGGCTGCCCTTTCTTTCGCTACACATATTCGGGCATCCTCCCGATAAATGGGAGGCTGTAAATCAGACGGTGCTTTTTTTAATTTTCCATGGCTTCCTTTGAGAGACAAAGCGGGTGGGTCGACTTTTCGCTATCATTGCGCGGCTGATTGTGTTTTTTGATCTTTTTTCACCAGCACGCCCTTTCGTCCTGCTACAGATCCTGGGCGTTTCGCCGTTTTTCAAAAAGCTTTCGAGCCAGACGTTGTTTATAAGGCGAGACAAAGCAGATCTTATTTGCTTCATTAGTAGCCGCGCGCTCTCGTATTTATTTCCATTAGGAAACATCAACCTGGCTCCTTCGAATTTACGAGTAAGTTTATCGAGCGAATTATCGTTTAAAAAAGCAGACTAGAAACTTTGAGGGCTATTCAGTTTTTCAAGATTGCAAATTTAACTTCATAACCAAAGTCAGTTGTGGATTTTAATTAAGCCACTAAATTGATGAAATTGTTAAATGAATTTAGCATTTAAATCGTGATGAATTTGCTGAAATCCCTGCAGATTTTTCAAACCTGTTACTTTCATTTGAAACATCATGTTTATTTCAACAAATATATATTTTGAAAAAAAAAGTGTAAATGTTTGCTTACTTTTTAAATGTTTATAATTCTATCGAATCCTTACTTTATAATGATTACTTTTTAATGATTTAAGTTTCAAATTTTTTTCCCATTCGGATTGAATATGAGTAAGACCTTAGATATTTGTTTTATAGGAAAAACCAATAAACACCCATGGAGGGGCTGCCATTTTTCAATGCTGCAAACATCTCGGAAAACGCTTAAACGCGAATAAGTTCTTCAATAAATTTTATTTAATTTATAATAGTCTTTAGTTAATCTAAATGAAATAGTAAAACAAATTATAATTTAATAAATATTACGTCATTGTTTGCAAAAAAAGTTTCAAATAGAATCCAGCAGCTTAAAATGTATAAAATAAATTGGTGAGCACCATCTAGACCTTCATGCGCTCCTGATACCAACACGGGAAAATCGCTGCTTACGTTGTCAGTGACGAGTTAACTCTCTATTCTTAGGTGTCAATTCCGTCTAGAGTGGGGATGCATCGACCGTGCTACTCAAAACACTGCTCGTTTCTTTACGTTTTCATTCAGCTTTTCAATAAGAAGATTTACATATTATAGTGATTTGCTAAATAAAGTACACTACTAATTTCTAAAAAGCATTTTGTATCAAAGATTCTTCGTAGTCTATTTATGTCTTTCAAAAATTTTTTTCATCAATAGACGTTCACCGTAAGTTTGATGTGATGTATAATATAGGGTCAATCTAACCTGTACTTTTGTTTTGCCATTTTAACTGAGGTGATATAGAGTTGATTTGATGGTGTTTCAATTAATAGCATTCATCAGGCGCAAAAAATTGTTTGAGAAAATTCTCTTTTAAAGGAATATAAATTTTCGAAAAATAATTTCTCGATTTCAAACAACGCTTCTCTCTGATTTAATGGTAATTGCCTCTTCAAATAGTGGCAGTTCTCGGGCCAAATTTTAGCTGATGAGACTTTTTAAATTAAAAAATTTATAATTTTTAAACTTTTTCCTTGCAACAAGGAACCCGGTTTCAATTGTTTCAAATTTTGATAAATTATTATTGTTATTTATGTTAATTGCTCTAGAAAAATTATAAATAGTAGAATAAATTACACTAATTTTTTATTACATTTTCAATGCATTAGTAGGCAGAACCGTCTAGAAATAAATTAATAAAATTGTTGGCGAAAACAAATCTCAAAGAAAATAAAAACATCTTTTTTCCCGATATTGTGTTAACCGCGGACTGAAAATCGACTGACAATGAGAAGAATAAATAATAATAATCTTACTTAACATTTATTTTCATCTTGGCGAGATGAGAGATTTGAATGTGCCTCTTCGTCATCACTGGTGGACACGCATTAAACAGTCATAAGAGCAATCGTAATAAAATTTAGTCGCGCGATAATGACGAAACCATAAAAAGGGGTATCCTAATCGACCTCCGCGAAGTGTCACGCGCATTATAAATGGAGTGGTGCGCGCGTGGGAACTGGATTACGCGCGCGGTGGCGCCAAAACGAAAAGCTACCGGTGCCGTGCAGCCAGCGAATAAGATACATCGGCATTAAAATCCCCGGAGTTCAATCTCTCTCGCGGCCTCGGTTGGCGCCACCAATTTACTCGCCGAGTCATAAATACCAATGAAAATATTAACACTTGAAGTAGCGTTTCGAACGCGTGCGAGCAGAGTCAGTGCAAAAGCAGACGCGCCAGATTTCATTCCTGCGTCAGGTTATGAACATAATAAAAATAAAAGAAAACCCGAGTAAATAGTTTTCGCTGCTCTTTTCATTTGATCTCTCCAGACGCGGTTTAATTAAAATTTTTGAGACCGTATATATAAATAAATAAAAGTGGCGGCGGCGGCGTAGACTTGAATTTTATACACCTCCTGTGTATTATAAGTGTTATTCGGCGCCACCTTTATAATTCTAATGACACCAGGCCGTCGCGTGCAGAAAAAAATCTATGGCTATTTCAAAACGCAAAACTTGTTTTGCACTCGGAGGTAAATAAATAACAAAACGGTAGTTACCTTATTTAATTTTATAAAGTGTGTAAAGCTATTATCTTTTGAATCGTTCAAAAAGAACATGATTTAACGTATTTTGAAAATTTATTACGAACTCAACTCAATTTGAACAAAGCCTTGACGACTCTACTTTTTAATTTATTGAAACAGCCAAAAGCTGACGTAAGGCAAGAGTAGAAAATTAAATAAAGGCTCACCCCTTCTTTCAAATAAAAAATTTCAAGCTATGGAGAAAATACAAGATAACAAAGCTACGTTAAAATTTTATATTAATTTCTTTATATCAGAAATATTTTATTTTTTATTTTTTGTGTATTTATAAAAATTATTTATGTTTCAAATATTCCTGATTAATAAAACAAATTTAAATTAATGTAACATTCGAATTTTTGAAACTAATGTTGAAAAAATTGAATTACAGTGAAATTGTAAATAATATATAAATTTTTTCTTCGTTACAAAACTTTAATTGCATGAGCATTAGTGATAAATGCATGAATTTCCAGAAACATGTCATTTTATCGGTGATCATCCTTTTCTAATTTTATGGTTATAATTCCATGCATTTATTCTAATTTATCTAAATTTTGCTGTAAAATTTTTACTTTCTTTATGCAAAAATAAATGCTTTTAATGTATTATGCAACGAACTTTATAAAGTAATTTCCTTACATAAAGATATATTTACTTTTATTTACCATAATAAGACGCAAGCACCGATATAAATCAAGTTTGGCGAGTGCAATCTGCTTGAAAACAAGTTTTCCTTTGAAAATTTTTATCCGCAGTGGGCAGCAGAGGCTAATTTGCAATCGGGATTAGCTTTCTGCGTGCAGACGGCCTGTCTTTAATGCGGCTTAGGCTAATGTGTGGTGACAAATGGACACGAAATTTCTCCGTCGTGCAGATAAGTTAATCCGATAATCCTGCGGCGTGTATCACAAGAGAGTGTCAAATTCGCGGTCGGGGCAAATCAGATGCAAATCCTTTCACGATGATTTATTAAAAAAAAAATGAGGATAAACTTACAAGTCCGTCGCACGCCGAGAGGGCGACTTTGGAGTCGGGCTCGCCATGCACGATGCCCTGATAGTGGCAGGTGTGGAAATTTCCGACTGACCTGCGGCTCCTGCTGACCGGACGATGCACGCGCAGCCTCGGCGAGATGAACTCGACGCTGGGCCACAATTCGAGACGCAGCGCCGCAGAGTCGCGCAACTCGAAGCGCACCTTGTGCTCGTCGGCCGCCCTTCGCGACCTGCTGGGGTGCAAACGGTGGTGGTGCGTCACCTCGGCCGACGGCGACGCCCACGCGGCGTCCACTTTCATCGGCACCACTACCTCATATTCGTATGCTTCGTCTGAAAATATGCCTGAAACATAAAATTTAATTTTTTAATTTAACACTTTCACAGAATTTATAGCAAAAATATTGAAGATTTCTGATTGCGAGCTATGATTCATTTTGTATGTTAAATTAAACATTTCCTTGTATGGAATTGTTTTTGCAATCATTTATAACATGATTTTAATGATTATTACATATTATATAGGTTATTTTTTTTAAGTGCTCTACATTGTTATGAAAAATCAAAATTAGTATGCAAATCTAAAAATGTTTATTATTTTATTCGATCAAATTTTGAATCACAATGACGATGCAAACAAGAACAATTGTCAGAATTAACTTTGGAATTGATTAAAGAAATGAAAACACTTTCTACAAAATATTAATTGCATAGATGCAGTTTATAAATTGGCGACTGTGTTTTTATTTGGTTTAATTCATCTCTGATTCAGAGTTCCCTTCACAAATGTGATATTTGAAATGCCACAAACTTTCACAAATTTTATTTAAAAATGGCACTTGATTCCATCCTTGCATAGGTAAACGAAAAGTATCACTTCAAAATTGGTCACGCAATATTTATTTTTTTACAAACTGACAAGATAATTTGTAGATATTTTTGTTCGCAAGCATTTAAAGGAGTCAAATTATTTGCAAGCAAGGATTTTTTCTGTATAATTATGTTTTGGCCAATTATGCAAACACATTATTTAAATTGTAGAAATTAAATCGCAATTTGCTTAAAGAACGTTTTACATTTACACTCAAATTGTACGCTTTTACCACTTTTGGTAGATTAAAATCAAATTAAAAAATTATTGTTAAAATACACAAGGCTAAAGCACCTTTTTACGTTAAAAGTTCTAGAACAACATTTAGAGCAAGTTTGAATTGAATTTACGTCATCCTCTGAGCCACCGTATTCAGCAAGTTGCATTTTTTTAGAAAACGTTTTTCTTTTTAATTAATTGCCGTATAAATACGCCAATTAATCAGACAGAAATGTGAAAATGTAATTCAGCACTTAAGCTTTCCATCTAGCAACATTTTTAATCTGATGTTTCTCTCGCTTTGTTGAGTCGCGCGAGGCCGGCTGGCTGCAGAACTTGTGTACGGAGGCGGCGGCTCTTTTCTCAACAACGTAATTCAATTCTGAATGCAGAGCGAGCCGCTTTGTTTCCGCAAAGCGAGAGCAATTAGACGGGCAATTGCTGCATGGGCGAGATCCGATGTAATGCACGACGAGAAGGAACAAAAAAACATATAAATGCATTCCTTGTTTAAAATTATCATAAAATAGATTGTCAGAAATAAATCGAGACTGTTTATTATTATTATTATTTTTTTTTTTTTGCATCGGAAAGAAAAGAGTCCGTTCGCTGAATGAAACAATTTCTCCGCCAACAATGATGCTCAAGGAAAACCACTTTTATTGAAAATAATGAGTCGCTACTGCCACACAAAATCCTCTCACGAGGTCACCGCGCGTATGGACTAATGAGACAAAAACAACCGATTGGCACCTGACGTCCACCTCCGGGGAATGAAGAAAATTTATGCCTAAATTACAGGGTATAGAATTTTCTCATTTCAATTGCGTAAATATTTTATTTAATGGGAAACGAAACTGTATCGTTCGGTGAAAATTTTTTCTGCGAAAATTCTCGAAATACTTCAGAGAAAATATTGCAGACAAGAGAGACGTAAAATGGTCTGCGCGGATGAGAAATGTTTCAATTTTGCACCAAACATTTGCATTTAAATGGACCCGCATACCACGACGATATAATGCTTGTTGAGATTTTTTTAAAGATTTAACTTTAAATCCAGTTTTACAATATTTTGTTGAAAATTAAATTAAAGTAAACTTTGAGACAGAAAAAAGATGATTGAATTTTTACTTTTTAAGTCAAATTCTCCTTGATTGAGTTTTTTTAGTTTTTTTATTGTTAAACAGAAAAAATTTAAATATCTCTCCATGTTTTAATTATTCAATTTAAGTACAGTGAATTATTTCTATAAAATTTGTTTTATTTAAATAATTTTTGAAACCATTTTTCAAAATTGTCATATTTACAATAAAACATCTTCATTTAACATAATATTATTTACCATATCATTATGTACGTTCAAAAATATCTTTGAAAAGAAAAGATAAACATTCGTTTTTGAGAGGAGAAATATTATTTGCTGAGGTCAAGATATAATTATTTTATCGTCAAGATTATATTATTCGTTAAATTGTGCGCTCAAGCACGTGCTTTTCTCTAATGCAATTTTTTACATGGCTAAAGATTAAAGATTTTTTTTTAATTGAGAAAATTTTATTTTGGCCGTATACGGAACCATTCATAACAAAAATTAAAACGATGGATTATAATGTAAGTAATGTAATAAATTTCTATCAAAATATGAAAATAATAATAACTTTTTTAGTCAAAAGACGAGTAGACTATGAAACAGTTATAAAAAAGACGGCTTAAAATTAATTATCTCAAATAGTGAAATTCTTTGGGAAAATTATCAATACTTTGCAGCAAAGTTCATTGGCATTCAGATGAGTTCAGGATCAAGAGAAGCCTGCAATTTTCTCTCTCTCTAATTTGCATATAATGACAGAGGATGAGATTTATTATTTTTTGAGAGGGCAGTTTTTGAAATACCTTTGGCGGCGGCCGAGCCGATGAGCAGCAGAAGGAGGTTCAGGGTGCAGGTCATGGCACACCCTGAGAGGCGCTGGGTGTGTGGTGCGCGGGTCTCGACCCAGCACTGCGCGCCTTTTCTCCGTGCGGCGGCCGCTGGAGAGCAGGAAAGGCTCGAGAGCCAATCAGATATGGCCTAATCAAATGCAGCAGGCGCCGCCAACGAAACCAACGCCGGCCCGACCCACCGGCCGACAATGAGGCGACCGCCGCGTCAACATTAAATCACTCCTTTTATTTATACCTACTGTGTTGTCCGGTGCATGCGAGCACAGTTCCAATAGCCAGCTCAATTTCTTCATCTCTCGCAGCAGCTTCACTTTTATCAGAGTTTTTCATCTCAATTCCAATTTTCTGGCCCTTATATTTGGTCTATTAAATTATGAAAACATTCTTAACACAATAAAATATGTAAGAATTATACCTTTTTTGCATAGGATTCAAATTTGTAACCGTTTTATACGTTTTTCATATGTTATCAACGGGAAAATAATATTCAATTACAGAAATGTAATGCGCTTTTTTTTAAATTCAAGAACAATTATATATTAATATCACTTAACAATTCTTATAATAAATAATTTAATAGATAAATTAGCTAACAATTATTTAAATCAGTGAATAATACTCTCTGTGAGTTCACTGCCTATAGCATTGTTCACATGATGAGAATTATTTATTAGTATAAGAATGCATTTTTTTTTCCAAACTTTCGGCAGAAGGCCTCTTTAAAAAAAATTTTAATGAAAATAAAAATTTAATGAAGTGTTTTAAAAATAAATACAATAATTATAATTTCATTTATTAAAACAATAATATTAAATTGATATCTTAACTTTCATTATAACAGAATACTTAAGTTTGGTTCTATGACTTTTATGTATAAGTACTTTTTTTAAATTATTTTTAACTTTCTTTTAGAATTTTTTAAAAATTGTATGTAGCAGCTAATAGTTAATATTGTCTTCAAAAATTAGTGTGAAAAATTATAAATAATTTCTCATTTGGTTCAATATTTATTTTAGACAATCAATTATCATATCAATCAATCCTCACACAAATACCGGCGTAGCAATCCTGATCGTTCCAAATGCCGTTGATGGGCAAGAAAACGGCGCAGTTTGGCTCGGCACCCAACCAGTTCAAGATGTACGGCCCAAAATACAAGTCCAAATAAACTTCACCGTCGCAGGCCAAATCAGTCCAAATATTGAGAATTTAAGCTTTTCCTGGCGCAGCACAGTTTATATTTTCCTTATTGCGTGGAGTTAAAATTCTCTTCTTAAAAGTAAGTTAAACGTTTGGCTGTGTTTTCCTCTACAAATTTTATATAATTATGCGGAAAATATTTGCAATCATATTTTACTCCAGTATGGTGTCAAAATTTTGTAAGATTTTAAGTAATTAAGTAAACAACAGTCATAAAGAGGACTTCCCGAGTGTGAAAATTCACTACAAAAGTTTTTCAATGTCAATTTTTCAAATATTTTTACGCTGTTTTTCTTCCAACCACAATCATATGTTGAATTTCCTTATAAATTTAATTTTTAAGCACTTTTTTCTCAACGTTAGTTTCGGCTGTGATACCTAAAGAGATATTTAAAAATTTAATTTCATCATTATTTTTTTGTAGGAACTATAAGATTAATAAAAGAGAATTTGCATTGGGCAATATTTTGTATTTTTGACTTTTATTCAGGTCAAATTTGAATTTTGTAACCATAGTGTGTATAAAATTTGCCGAGAAATTTGCTTTTTAAAATTTATTCTGGTATTCTCTCAAAATATGTCAATTATTTCATATGTAAGTGATTTAAAATGAACTTACTTTGTTTCATAGTTGATTTGGCTTTTATTTTCTCGGTCGAAACATGCAAAATTTAAAAATTGGTAAAAGAGAAGATTTTAAGCCAATAAATAGGCAGAGTATAATTTATTAATGGACGCTTTTGAATCAGACCGTTTTCTTGCGTCTCTTTCGTAGCTGAGCCAATTAATCATTTGAGGAAACACCAAAGTGTAAATAAATCCACTAACAAGCTTGATTTTGTAGCCCTGGGAGTGCGAACTCTTTGCAGTACTATAACTTTAACTCCTGCTTTAAAAGCTGAAAGCTGTGCAACAGCTCCACTGATCGCAATCGCAAAATAGATTGCTTTTTTATTATCATGTACAGACGTCGAGATCGAATCGCATTTGGCCAATTTCCCTTGTCCATTACAGTCACTCAAACCAGAGTAAAAATGGCAACTTCAACCTAATTATTCTTTATCAGTGCTGATTGGTGCTGTTGAGTTCTTATGAAACATCCTTTTAAAAGTAAATTAATAAAAATTTAACTTGTTTGATTATTGATAAAATTTAAAATACATTTATTTAATTGGCTTATTGAATTGACTTATTATATTTTGAATAAAATAAGTATCTTTTCCTGAGTGCTCATCTTTATATTCATATGTCAATGTGAATCAGAATAAAATTTGTGTTTTGCATTGTTTAAACGAAATTTTATAAAAATTTTATTTCATATCGGTGTAAATAATTAAAATATTATTGCATGACTGTTAAAATTACAATATTGTATCAATCTTACGTAGGTTTTTTGTTTGAAAAAAAACATGCTTTTTTATTTCAATTTTTATTTGTGCCTTACCATTAGTTAAACTGGCAATATTTAAATTAGCTTACAATGTGAGATGCTATATTTTGCTCCTTAAGATTAACTTGGCGAATAAAGGAAACTTTATTCACTAATTACGCACATCTGAGGTTGCTTCAAATTATTTTCTAATTGTTTCTAAGTCATTTTCAGTCAGCAAACCGTTTTCACGGATTAGAATTTTCAAGACATAAAATGCTTAGATTGTTAATACATAATTAAATTTAGAATAGGCTAAATTGAAAACAATTTTGACCGCTTGTCAAGAAAACAGATTTTTTTTTTACAAAATTGATAAAGTGGTCCACTTTGTACACAAGTTAGGCTGCTGTAATTGAATTTCCATTTTATGATAATTGATAGAAAATTTGCTGAATTTTCACAAGAAATGAATTAGCAGTGAATTTTGATATACTCAGGCGGACTAGAGCGGAACCCTGCGTCACTTGTGCAACTAACTAATTGAGCAGACAGGGCTCGTTAGGCTATGGCAAGTAAGACAGACTTTGCGATGAGCGAGATTAATTAATCGTTGATGATGTTTAAATAGAAAACCCTGATTCAAATCGATCTAACATGATAAAAAAAAATGTTGCAGCACTTCAATGAAAGAAATAATATTATTTAATCTTCTTGGCCAACGAGAAACACACGCTGGATTAGGAACTTTGCTATGATTTTCTCGAGTGTCAGTTTGCCTCAAAAGAGATCCTGCATCAGCAGACTCCTCTTGAGGGACGGCGGAAGCCCCAGAAGTGGCACCCCGTGGGCAGTTCGTCCTGCCAGTCGGCGCCGGATCGCGCTCAGGCAGCTGTACTGCAGGCTTGGCGCATTAGTCCAGTACACAGAGACCACTTCCTTGATGCGTTTGAAAATCGGCCCAAGCACTTTTGGACACCTCGCATGTCTGTAATTAAAAACAAAAATGACAATTAGTAACTCAATCATTGAAACAGTTAAAATGACTATTAAAAAAGTTGGAGCGGAGAATTTTTTAAAGTTTCGTAATAATGAAATCAAATATTCAATTTATGCATAATAGTCATGAGTCAACAAATGTAAAATTTATTTTGCAGACTTTTACTTTTAGGAGTTCAAAATTTTTACTTTGTTATTTGAGCCATGCAACAATGGATTAAACATGATAGCTAAATATTCAACTATTATCTTAATTTTCTCAACTTCAAAAATATTTTTTATATTAAAAATTACGAAAGTACAATATTTAATAATTTATAAAAGAGGAATATTGGGATATTTATTGTTATAAAATTATAAATTTATTTAATAATTTCACCATTGTGGTGCAGAAAACTATTTTTAGAGATAAATAATTGCATAGGCTTGATCGTGTCACGTCACATTATGTTATTTTTAAATTATAGATCATTTAAATTACAAAAGAAACAATTAATCATCGGTAAAATAAAATAAAAATATTAAAGACCCTCACCTGAACATGACCCTGAGGACGTGTGCCTTCATCTGCGCAGGTCGCTCGCCCATGACTCTGGCCAGCATCTCAAGGGTGAGGTCGCAATTTTCGAAGCGGCGCCTGAGGATGAGGGCGCGCAGCAGCCAGGTGAAGGGTGAGTGGTCAGGGACGCCGGTGCCGCCGCGGTGCCACACGCTGGCGCCGCTGTTGAGCAGCAAACGCGTCAGGGCGGCCGAGTCGTCCAGGTGTTGCACACTGTGGCTGAGCAGGGTGCGGCCCTCAGGGTCTGTCTCGTCAGGGTCGGCGCCCGCCTGCAGCAGCGTGGCCGCAAGTTGCATCGCCGCTTCAAAGTCACCCTTGCCCAGGGCACCGCGCACCACCAGCAGGGACGTCGGGGCCGAAAGTTCCGAAATTTCCTCCTCCAAGTCGCAAGTTGAACATTCTGTTGATGTACATAAAATTAATTAATATGATAATAATTTTAGGAAAATTTTCAACGTTTTTTAACTTTTTAGCAAGGGTTTTTAAATAAATTAATTTAATCTTCTCATTTACAGTATTACATTTTTCTTGGGGATTGAATAAGATCAAACCATCAAAAGTTCTTCACACTTTATATTTTTACGTCTTCCAATTTTTCATTTCAATCAAATTATTTGAGCTATCTTTGAACAATTTTAGTGAGAAATGAGTGAGATTAATACTTTTTTAATAAATTATTTGTAATGGTTTGGTTTTATTTGTGGATATTAATGGAAATTTTTTAAGTTCTTCTATTGAAAAATAATCTTTTTACTAAGATATGAAGAATTAATCAGATTAATTATTAAAATTTCTCTTAAGGGAAGGGTGAAAAACTGATTAAACCAATTATAAAAAATTCTTCTTAAAATATTTTTGACAATATAAGAATTGAAATTTTACAATTTGTAACTTTGCTTATTTAAATCCGGCACTTCAATATAGAATCAGTACCCTTTGTGCGGTTAGGATTTGCAACAGATCGTGTGGTTAACCCAGGGAATTGATTTGAAAGTACCTTTAGCCGAGTCGTGGTGGCCCAACCACTGTCCTATCCGTTGGCAGGCGCACGAGTCTGTCAGTGGCAGCGCTTTGAGGGTGACGATCATGGACACGTCGGTCAGGGGTTGCGGGCTTGGCGGTGGCGAGTGGACGCACAGGTCCAGTTCGAGGCATAGTTGGTGGTTTAACGAGAAGAGCGACGATCCTGCTGACCCAGCACTTCTCTCGTGCCTGCGAAAATCAAACAACAATGTTACTTATTTATTTATTTATTTATTGTCTTTTTGAAAATAAATTAACAAATTTATTCTTCACATAACTTGTTTTTAATATTTTTGTTATAAAAATTTGTTTTACTTTTCATAACTGCTCAAATATTTAAGATAGTTAGATTGAAAATTGCAAAAAAAAAAAAATTTCCAAATAAACTGTCATGACCAAAAAAAAATCATTCTTAAAGATCATTTTTCATACAAAACTGCTTTCGAATATTAAAAATATTTTAAATTGTTAATAACAATCTTTTTATCAAAAATAATTGAACTCTGAAGTGATTTTTAATTTCGTTGAACTATTTTCATTGTCAAACTTTATCAATATCTGCACTATTTTGAGCCGCATTTATAATTTTATGTTGGTTTTTTTTCTCAATTTTTCCAAATTTTATGTATATTGCTAATTTGGCAATATTTTAAATTTGAATATCTTGAATACTTTGTAAATTTCGTTTAGTAAGTCCCAAGCGAACAAGGTTTCATCTAAAATTTTAGTCTAAAAAAATCACCAGTCTGTTAATTTAAAGAGGTCTTTCTTCTTGATTGGAAGTATTATTTTCTGATATAGTTACTCAAAAATGACTTCATTTAACATCATTCATCACTTCCATTTATCTAAAAGCTCTACAACTTGACGAACTCCTCTCTTTCACCACTTCACGAGAAAAACATCACATTTGTGCAGGAAGCTGCACCAAAGGGAGCAATGAAGCGACGCGCAATAAAATCACAGAGTTCATTTTCATGCACCGGTTGTTATTCCCGCGAAAAGTGTCAAGTGCGAGGAGAAAACGGTCGCACAGAATTGCTTCTTTGTCGGATGAAATTTCAAGCCACTCTGTTGGCAATTAGTGGAAAGAAATGAGAGGCTCGTCGTTGTCGGTGGGATTGGCCTATGATTCTAGCGGAGCGCGCGCGCCGGCCTCGCGAGCAAGAGTCACTGACCAGCCCAACACTCGCGAGTCATCGGCCTCGTTGGCCCCGCTAGTCTCATCTCTCGCTCTTGTGTGTCGCTCCTCTTTTTGGCCTAGCTGCCAGCTATTTATCCAAATAACACTGTACAAAAGAGTTTTTTGGGCGTTTCACGCGGAAACGGTCGAATTATGCTTGTCAACGCGCACCCATTATTCATTCTGTGCGTTCCGTACGGAATGCACAATTACCTTAACTATTGAAACCTCAAAAATATGTTAATTACCTGTGACGAGTCGGATAAAATTCGAGTGGAATTGTCTAGGATCCCATTGCAAATATATTTAATATTGGTTTATTTATTTTAATAATTGGACCTAATTTAATTTCAAATATTTTTCGCACCAACATGTAAGAAGGAGGATATTGTTATATCATATTCTCATATTATACCAAGGATAACGGCAAATATACAAATTTTAATTTCGATTTTTTAAATTTAACCAAAATGAAGAAAAATGCTAAAAATTTTAATTTTAAAAATTTATCTGTAATTAAATAAAAAAAAAATAATAAGAAAATGCAAAATTACTGTAGATTATGTTAAATCAAAATGAAAAATACTACGCGATAATATTTATTTTATTTTATTGTAATTTAAAACTGTTTATCAAAAGCTTTTTTACACAAGAAGTGACAAAAAGTATTTTGTTGAACTGTCTTTCACCAAATTTCAATTTTTGAATTAAAATTTAGAATTAAATTTAACTTTTAAAATCATAATTTTCTACAAAAATTACTGAATCAGAAACAAATTTGCCATTTAATTTCTGAACATGAGCCAAACAAAAGGTTTTTTTTTTTAATTTTCTGAAAAGCATTTTACATTTTTCCAACCATTAATTTTATGAAACTAAATAAGCGCATGTTGTTTTAAGTTCTAAGCAGTGCCAACAGGTCTGAAATAAATAACTTCAACTTTATTTTTACTACTTTAAATGATAATTCTTTTTAAATGTATTATTCACATTTTTTATGCCAAATATCATTTGGCATTGAAAAACGACAAAAAGTGGTCCAATATTTCAGGTCCTTCCCTATTCATTCCTCAAAGGTCTTTAACCTGACCGAGTCGCCGCAGCAACTATTTGTAAGAAAAATGGTTTCCAGGGGGCTGATTGGAATTGCCGCCGCTTTTCAAGATTCGGCTCGCCTCCTTTTGACGCTGGTCAGTGACCCTCCGAGCAGGCAACACGCATAACGCACCCCCTCTCTCCCCCAAGGACTCTGTGCATTTTATTTCCCTCTCGTACCAAGTTCACGAGAGAATGGGAAAAAAAATAATCGCCGCGAGAAAACAGCCCCGGCCATATACCTGCGCTGACAAAACAGCACCCCCGATGCACGGCCTTTGTTTGCTGAGGCAACGAAAACAGCTTTCGGAGAGGTCAACGTCTCGTTAGAGGATTTTGGCCTCGCGCTCTGGCGGAACCCCAGGCAGGGAAGAATTCATTTCGTGTGTTGCGACAACGCAGTGATTATTGCGGGCCAATCGAGCAGACTCGTTGGTCACTCACCTGTCTTTTCCGCTACAGATAAAAAGTACTCAAAGCTTGTAGTCAACAGTAGCCAATAAAGTTCTTTCTTACTTTGATAAAAACAATTCTTTCTTTCTGTGGTTAAAAGTGCTATCAAATAAATTTATATAAATTTTTACTTTAATTAAAATATTGCACTATTTATTAATTATTTTAAAATTTATTATGTTTATGTAACATATTTTACTTTTATTGACAAATAAAAATTAATAAAATGGTTTCTCAAAAATAACTTTGTTTGCTTTATTTCAACAATTTGAAAAACTTTAAAAAAATAATATATTACTTTAAAATTATTCTAATTTGCTCCTCAGTATGAACGAATGATCCTCCTACATTCTTTCAAGACAAAAAACTCTTTCTACTGTGCGGTTGAACTGTTGGAAGAGACTTTGAACGAAAATTGGCGAGGCAGGTGAACTTTGGCGAAAATCAGGTGCGCGCACTTACATTATATACAAAATATGTGCCAAACTATGCAATACGGCGATCACCGTTAGGCGTTCATTCACCTTGGGTATCAAAACTCGTTGCATTCTCTTAATAAAGAAAGAAAGAGCTGCTTGCTGCCTTCAGATCATTACGGTTTAACAGTTGCATGAATACCGCTGCACAGTCGCGTCTTCAAAATCGCGGTCGGACGTCAACCCCGCGCGCACGCCGCGCGGCTGTAGAGCCGCGCCGCAGCTTCCCAATTTCTGACCTTTGCCTCAACTGTCTTGACCCCTCGCAAAATTCAATGACCGCCAATTGACTTCTTATTGCAAAAAAAAAATTCGGTTATTTAACAAAAAATGCTCTTTTCTTTCAAATTATTAGATTAAATAAATAAAACAATATTTATTTATTTTTTCAATTCAATGTTCCAAAAAATAAAAATCTTGTTTGAGTTTGATTGGAAAACATAACATGCAATTTTAAAAATTATCCCTTTCATCATTAAAACATAATGCTGTTAATTTTTCATATTCATTTTAAACAAAAATAAAATTGTAAAAGAGAACAAAGAACTGATTTGCCCTTTCTACTAAAATTATTATGTCTTTCAATTACTGAAATTTATAAAATATATTTCAATTTGTTCGTATTTTGCGTTTATTTGGTCCCTCTTCAATTCCTGAACTTTTTTGCAAGGAATAAAATAAGTAAAATTTGTGACAATTTCAAATTTTTCAATTTTGATCAGTCCTACCTTCGAGACGAAGGGCTGAGCCTGAGGGCCTTCATGGCGATGTGTCAGTCCGGGTGCATATGAGTTGTTTTCTGTTCCTTTTTTCCGGTCGCTTGTTGCGGGCGTGTTGCTGTCGCGAGTGCACGGCAGAGACTAGCGCGATCCACGCTCGGGAACATGTGCCCCCACTATGTGCGCGCTCATCTGCTTGCCGAGGCTATTAACACTTGGCGCGAGCAGGTGTGTGTTTTTCTCGCTAGGCACAACACAATCGATACAAGTGGTAATAACTTAGTGGAATCAAATAATCGATTCTCTTAGATGAGTGGCGCATCAAGCTCGAGTTTATTGCAGGTCAACTCGCTCTGCACAATTAAAATCAGAAAAATAAGGTATGAATCATTGTTAAGCTTCTCTAGCTCGGCTATTGCGGAGGCGAACCCAAGTCGTCGCTTTTCCTCACCTCAAACTCTGGGATTTTGTAACGATGGTCTGAAAATTAAAAAGAAAGTCCAGATAAGGTACCAGATAAAAGGCTATTTATATTAAAATATGCTGGAAAAAATTTGTGATTTTCATTCAGCGGAAAGAAATTATAGTATTTAATTTTTTAACTAAATTTACCGTTTTAAGCTCATTTGAGTGATTTTTTTTTTAATCGGATAGAAAGTTTATGGAAAAACTCTCAAATAAAAATTGTAGCTTTTGTTTGTTAGGCCAAATGATTTACGTCTTTTCTTCTTTTTTTTTCTGAGCTGTATTTCCATTAAATTAGCTGAATTTAACTTTATTCGGAACACATTTATTTAACTTTATTTTTGCTTGAGAATTTTGCACGCAGCTGAAAAAGAACCTTAAATTTTATTTCGTTAATTTTTCTACCATACTTTTCTTAATTTTTCTAATTTTCTAATTTTAATAGACCAATCACCTAGAAATAAATTCAATGAGCGCGCACGGCAGCCGCTCCGTTTATCAATTCGACTGCCGAGCGAGCGCCGAGAGAAAAAGAGACACTCGCTGCTTGCACGGCGCTCCTTGCCGGCGATCAGCTGAGGCCGCGCGACCTTTTTATTCAACTGGCTATTTTCTTGATTTTCTCTTCCAACTCAAAATTTCTATTTAAATTCCATTCTTAATTTTAAGATTTTAATTTCCCAAATTTTTTCTCTTAAGTTTCCCAGAATTTAATTTCCCAAATTTAATTTCCTTTCTTTTTTCTTTCGCCAGAGAATATATCAGCCGCGGCAAATTATTTACACAATTTCACTTTAACATGCAAAAGAGATTAATTTCGCTGGCTTTGAATTTCCAATTTCGAACTCGAGCGAGTTAAAAATTGAGAATTTCTTCCAGCCGAAATTCATCTTGGCAGCAGAGTTTTGGCAACTCAGCCTCGCTGGTGGTTGCTTTTCTTGGAATTCCTCGGCCGTGAGAAGAGACGCTGCAGAACCCCTTTCTCAGGTGCTCTCCGCGTCAGGGGGGTTGTAAATTCTCGGCCGGCTCATGTTCGGCCGCTCACTCGAGCGCAAATAATTCGTTTTTCGTGTATTTTTCTTAAGAGGAAGCTGACCGCGCTCTAATCTTCCTGGCGACAGCATTCATAAACGCGCGTCTGCCCCATTGTACAACAATTATTTACGCACCCTCAGTTTGAGCTGCTGCTGCTCACACTCTTTTCTCCTGTCAACCGCCCTCGCTCGGCTTATTTATTTCTCTTTTCTATTTTTTCGGCAGTAAATTATTTTCTTAAAAAAAAATCAACTCGCGAGAAAAAAAATCAATTCCACATTTTAATCCATGCTCTGCCGGGGCAGAGCAGCGTCAATTGTAACTTATACAAAAAGCACTTTAGCTCTTTTGTTATAAATGTGACAAATATGACAATTTTCTCATCCCTAATTTAGTTATTACTTGAAAAAATGGAAATTACGAAAAACTTTAGTGCATTTAAATTAAATTTTTAATTCTTTAATGAAACTGCAAACATTAGATCTTAAAATTTATAAAAATACTAAAAAAATTCATTTTTCAAACAAATAATGACTTCCTATTACAAACAAACTTAAATTTTCAAAAAAAAGTGAAAAAAAAGGATCCTTAACTTATAATTCCAAATTTTGATTGTTGGAACAAATTTAACTTACTGGGATTGAACATGATTGTGCCAACACTGGGCAGATTCTCGGTGACCTCAAAGATCCGGAGCACGGAGGAGGCGATGAACCGCCTGGCCCTGTTCATTTCCTTGCGGAGCTGCTCGGTCGTCATGTCTAACTTGAATTTGATAAAAGGTTTCGGCTTCTCCGCCTCTATCTCTTCAGGCTGACAACAAAAATGGACGAAAACCGATCAGTGATCAATTTTAATTAAAACATTCTTGACTTCAATTTTAATTAGGAGTTTTCTATAATAAAAAAAAAATGACAAAAATTTACCCACAGAGATAGGAAAGGTCAAAGGTTTCGACTTCAAGGATAAAAACTATTGAAGAGTTCAATTTTGACAAATTATTTATGGGGTTGCTGGCAACAAAGCTAAAAAAAATTTTTTTTTTAAATTTTTACTTATGAAACAAAACTCCATTTCGATTGTAAATATATAAACAAAATAAACTCAAAAATTATTATGACCGCATGCTGATTTTCAATGCAATATAGAAACAAATAATAATTATTCTACAGGGAAAGACAATTTTAAACTAAATATTAAATGGGTTATTTAATTAATCCCCTTAAATATTTTTACATTAAATTTATAAACTGTTAAAAAAATTTAATTAAAAAACCAACCTGAAAGCTGAGGACAAGTTTGGTCCACGCGTCGATGGAGACGAGCGTTTTCTCACGTAGCCGCCGGTACATGAGCGAAGTGATGCAGTTGAGGAGACGCACCATATCGGCGCTCACCCCGTGTTCGGCGCTCAAAAGAAAGTCCCACTGCTTCTGACGCAGCCACATGTGCTCGGCGCACCGAAACACGTAGCTGCGGTAAACCATTTTTTTTTTTAATTTTGTTAAAAAAATTTCCCACGAAAATGTATGTACTGGACAATGGTTTTGCGCGCGTTGTCCAGAGAATTGATCACTTTTTCCTCCAGCTCGTGCAGGTACAGGGGACGGTTGTCGGAAATTTCCTGCACAGGAAGAAACTCCAGATTTTCCACCCTATTTGATTTTTGAAATTAGATTTTAATTTGAATTTAACAGCAAAATGGATAAAGTTTAGAGTGAAAGGAAAATTTATAAAATTTGCAAAAGGTAGTTTAAGCTTTGAAGCTTTTATCTTTCTAACGAAAGGCTGACGCCAAATACCTTTTAATGTGTTTTTTCAAAACCAATTGGCTTTTTATAAAAGAAAAAGCTATTTTAATATTATATTTAAAAAAATCTCATTAAAATTCAGAGAATAAATGAAAATTCAAAATTACATTGTGTTCCAGATGGGGTGCATGGAGAGGACGACAGAGGAGGCGGTCATCAGACTATGGGAGCAGAAGGACTTGGCCTCAAGGAAGGACTTCCTCCAGGGTGCCGGACCTGTGATGACCAGGTGAGGAAAGGGCGGGGGCAGTTTTTGGAGGCCGAGGCGTTCGCGCTGCCACGGCTCGCGCAGGGCCTCCTTCAAAAGGGCCTCGCGACTTCCGCGGTCCCAGTCGCTCTCGGCCCTCTTCCGCAGCCAAACCAACAAACTCTGTAGTCTTTGATGATTTTTTCAAAATTATATTAATATTACTTATATAAAAGATTAAAAAGAGAAACCTTTGGTCCGATGTGTATTTGGAGTTTGTCTTCTCCAAAGCCCTTTCCCAAATGCGAGCTGGCATTTGTTCGACGTCTTTGTCATTGATTTCCTATTAAAAATAAATTGTTGTAAATTATAATTTTATTGTACATATTTCCCCAATGAAATCTTTTCATCTGGAAAACTAGATTTCTTTCAAATAATTCAAAATCGAAAACATAAAAATGTGATTTTATACAACAAATTTAACGTTTATTTTCTTTTAATCCCTTCCATTAAAAAACAAATTTTCTAAAAACTGACTGTTTTTCAAGAAATTGTGACTAAAAAAGCTTATTTCACTGGAAAAAAATTAAAATATATCCAAATGTTTTGACCAAAAAAATTGACAATTTTCCCATTCCTAAAAAAATTGCCTCATTTATATAGAACTCGATCAGATTGAGCTCTTCCTCGGTTGGCTCAAACTCGATGTCCTCTTTGAAAAATTCCAAGTTCCGCTGGATTTGTTCCTCTGGAGTTTTTGGGTCAGGATTCTGCCACTCAGTGCCTACGTCGATCTGAACCAAAAATTAACAAAAAAAATCTTCCACTTTTTAACATCACATACGGTTCTGTGCAAAAAAGCAGTCAGGTCTTTTCTGTACCGACTGCCAATCAGTTCCGAGGGCATTTTGCCGCGGTTCTCGGGCCGCTAGAATTCAAAATTTCAGTTGAGAATTTTCAAATTCACACTCACTGTAAAAGATACATACCTTGACAAAGCAGGAGGTGACGATGCCCAACCTGTCCATCAGGTTGGGTGGGCCGTCCTTCTTGTGGAATTTGGCCGGCGGAGTGAAATCAAAATCTTGGCCACTCATGATGGTCCAAGCAAAATTCTGAGCGAAGAAAAGTTGCAGTTGTTCTCAAAATTTATCAACAATTGACTTTTCGCAACTGAGTTTTTGTGTAAACAGAAAAAAACGTTGAAATATTTCAATTGTTGCAAAAATCCAAATTCCTTGTGTTGGCTTTGCTGTTCTTGTTTTATTTTTGTAAATTGTATGTTATGAATTATGAAAATTGTCCTATTATTTCATTTATTATTTTTATTTTCAAAAATTTTAAGCTAAACTATATTTTTCTTTGTTATCGGCCTTGGATAAAAAATTGACAAAGATTTAATTTTTGCTATTCATTTACTTTAGATTATATATATTTTTTAAACTTTCTTCAATGAAGTCATTTATTAAAAAAATTAAAATTTAGGGTTTTGTCAAATTAATATAATGTTATACGTTTTGTCAGGATATAAACATTTATTGTTAGTGCACATTCTTCCGATGCCTGGCAGTCTTTTCTAACAGACGAAGCAAATGAAAACATTTACCGCAAATCAAAACTTTTATACACGTAAACGATGAACAACAAGCTGCGCGTGAAAACTACAACATTTACCTGAAAGCTAACGTCTAACGCCTTCTTTGTGGCCTCTGCTCTTATATTTAGATGTGTTTGTTTAATTTTTCCACTTTTCATTGACCATGTATTCGCCTATCTCAATATAATATAATTCCTTTCAAATTCCCAAGTTTACAAAAATATACGAGGCTCCTCGCAGAGATTACATTTCATAGATCATCCTGCTGATGCTGTGTACATTCAAGTATAATAATGAATAACTTTGATCTAGTCGGACTCGGAATGGATATGACAAGTGACAATTGTTGGTCTTTAGAAAACCTTTAAAATCTGCCGTGACCTTTGGCCTCTTGGTCGCCTCCCCTGTAGATCCGCAACGGGGTGTACGAGCCATTTGTTGTTGCAGCTGAAAAATCAATACATGTCGAATAAATCTACAAATACTCAATGGAAAAAATAAAATTTTAAATTTTGCTGAGCTTGCTCAATTTAATATTATTAATTTAAATTTATTGAGTTTTAATTAATTTATACCTTCAGCTGGCAGTTGACCGCTGCCGGACAAAATTTTCTTCCTGCCACAGCCAGGTCGAACGCAGCAATAGTAAATGCAGAAGTACAACCAGCCAGCAATGGCCGCGACCACGCTGCATCCCTTGAAGAAGTCCCTTGGATGGATGCCGTCTGGGATGCCAATGGTACTTGAGGCCAACGCGCCAAAGAAACGGCCTGAGAATTTTTATTACAAAATATTTTTTCAATCATGAGATTTTGTGTTTATGGGCCCTGTTTTGAGGAAATTTTTTAAACAGGCCAATTATTTTGAAAATATGTGATTTTGGGTTACTTTATTAAGTTCACATTGTTTAAAAAAAGTTTGATCCTCAATTTCTCCTATGCTATTAAATTTTAATTTTGTTGATTACCTAAACAAAAGTGCGCCAAAACGATGAGAGCCTGCGAAGTTGCGGTCAGGTGTTTGGCTGTGAGGTTTCGGGCGTACAGGACCGCCGTGACCCACATCAAGCACAGGGTGAAAACTTCAAAAGTCTCAACCACAAAGAACGTCTCCAGGTATTGATAACCTGATGAAGTATTTTGTTTATTGAAATCAATCATTTTTAATATAAAATCTATTTACCAAGGAATCTGATGATGTAAAAAACAAAAGCTGCAATAAAAATGTTGGTGTAGCCACAGTAATCGATCAGAGTCTCTGAGTTCCACAGCAAGGGCATGGTGAAGACCAAGCCTAGTGCCACAGTCAGCCCCATCTCCCAGGTATATATTCTGTATACATCCTGGAGGAACCTAAACAGAAAAACATTGGTTACATTTTCCAAAAGGTCAAATATTTTGTATTGGACAAAAGCAAAAAATGAAAAAAAAGTTATGGCTCTTTTAAATGTTATGTTAGTGCAATCATGAGAAAGAGATTGATTTATTTCAAAATTTTATATTACTTTGTACGATTTTGTAGAACTGACAACCAAATCCACTTTGAATATTAGCTTAGGGTTTATTTTTTATTCATAATTTGTTATTTTATCTATTTTGGGATATAATGTTTTGTAATTGATGTATTGTTGAAGGTATATTATAATAGCTATGCATAGCAAAAAATAAGAATAGTTTTTGATAATAAGGATAATAATATAAAAAAATCACAAGAGAAAATAAAATAAATGTCAAAAGGGTATTAAATTCAATTTTCAAAATGAAAGTTATATTTCTTTAAACATATAATTATGTAATAAATCAAATTTTTCGCTCACCATGGAAAGTAAGTCTCGAGGGCTCCCCAGAAGAGTCCAAGGAGAAGGAGGACAAAGAGGAGAGCGAGGGCCTCGCCAGGGTGCGTGACCCTGACGGAAGGTCGCTCTCCGAGCTCCATTCTCCGGCTGTACCACACCGAGGGCAGTTTGACCCAAGAGAGGGCAAGGGCGGCAAGAAGCGACAGCAGGGCAAACACCAGGATAGGCAGGGCGGAGGGCGTATCCTGCCAGGGGGTGATTTCGAATTTCACCAGCAAACTGACGAGGGGCGCGACGACGATGGCGCCCAACGCGCCAAACGACAACTCACGGCCAACGTCGCTGTTGTGGGTACTCGAAAGGACAACCACAAGCGTGTCGGCCAAGGGCAGCGCCGCCACTGGGAAGATGTCGGCCACTGACCGCGCCAGCAGGTAACTCCAGAAGGTCACCTCGGGGTCAGTCAGTGGAAACGTTGCTGGGCAGATCTGCAACAATTTTTAAATAATTTTTTTGACAAAAATATTAGTCAAGATATGATAAGGATTACTTTTATTTTTTGTTAACATAAAAAATTGAAAAAGAGTCTCTAAAAGGATTAATTTTGTATTAAAATAGTAAAATTTATGGAAAATAGTGAGTAAAATATACAAGGCTTTTAATTCATTTATTTTCTCACAAGTCAATAAATGAAAAAAAAAATTAGAAATTATCCTGTATTTTAAAGCAACTGTAAAAAGTCTAGTTTAGGAAATTACCAAAACTTTATGCGAGTGTAAGAAAAAAAGCGAAACAATTAATTATTCTTAATACACTTTTGCAAATATTTTTCAAATCAATATTTTTTTTCTTCTCTACCTCTATATCATTAATTTTCATAATATTACTTGGTTTTACATAATGATTTTTATCATTTTAAATTTTTGAATTTAGCTATTGATTTTTTTAGCTTATTATTCCTAATCAAAATCCTACCCTTAAAATTAAAATATTGAAATGCAAGAACTTTTTAACTAGAAATGATTTTGAACTGTTTTTAATTCTTTTCACCTGATGTCCACCAGCCACCCTGTCCCACAGACTGCTTGTGACGCCGCACTTGACTACGCAGTCACCTCTGCAATACAAGGACGAGTAACTCTCGTTGCCCAGACTGATCTTGATGTGGCTCAAGGGATACTCGCAAGTGCTCTCCATGCTTGCCACCTCCGGCAGACTGATGTTGACCAGCAGCGTACTTGTGTGGTCCATCAGATTGCAGAGATTGTTGCTGCTGGACCTGTAAAATTCACACAAAAATTATTTGTATTTTTTTTTTCAAATTCCAGCACTTACAGGCTATGGTTGAAGCACAAATTTGGTCTTGGCTCGCCAATGTATGCATTAAGAAATGGATCTTTCTCGGTTGGTTTGTTCTGGGGAACACCCTCAAGGTCGGGTTGGTCGTAGTCATCAGTGGGTGCAGCGGTTGTGGTCGTCGTTGTCGATGTGAGACGCCTATTGTAAGCTTCCCCTTTTTCGCCGCAGTCGAATTTGCAATTAAAAATCTTCATTTCCCACGCCTGAAATTAAAGGGGAAAATTTATTACAAAAATTTTACAAATTAAGAACATTATTTGCATTTTCTGAAGCAATAATTTTCCAAACATTTCATTTTATTTTCAAATAACTTATTCAGTCATTTACTGTTGGTAAACTTAAGAAAAAGAAAATTTGTTTGCATTGAAGTTTCTATAAAATATTTCTTGACTCTTGACTAATTTTGGCGTGAAAGGTGAGTTTTCTGAACAATCGAAACATCTTTGACATTGAGATTTATACTTTGTAACATGTTTTGCATTATCATAATAAATAATTTCCAACAAAATCAATGCTGTAAATAATAGCATTTTGCAATTTTATTCCTTATATAATATCATGAAGTAATAAGACCCTTTGTGCAAATCAAGACGCGTTTTGCAACACGTCTTCTCCTTATCAAAATGTATAACTCGGACGTTCATTTACAGGTTTCCCTTCCTGGGTGGTTTGGCCATAACATCATGATAATCATGAGCTAATTCAAAGGGAGCATCCGTGCATACCAAGTTGGAAATCAAGGCATGCACCTGGCTGTCAAACAAACGTAATCGAGCCCCGGCCATAAATCACCTTCCGCCAAATTCATTTCCGCTCAAACCCAAACAAGCGATCGTCTCGAGGGATCAGTTGTAAGACTGCCGCTCCAATTTCCTGATCGAACCCCTGGGAGTGAAAAAAATAAATGGAAACTCACTGTGTTGTCAGACCAGCGCGGGCATTGTGAGGAGCAGAGCTCCTGCACGATTCGCGCGCCCTTCGAGTTGCACCTGAGCTGCACATTGGGCGCCGCGCTCAGGGTGGGACCCTGGAAGTTTCCGTTTTCGGAGGTCAATGGCACCGCCAGCAGTAGGCAGTAGCATGCGGCGCCCAACAGTAGGCAACCAGTCAGCAACACCTGCTGATTAAAAATCGATTAATTCATCCACCGATCAAACAAAGCACACACATTTTCAAGCTCAATCTAAAACTGAAATTTTATACAAATTTGTATTTCTTAATTTCAAAAATTAAATGAAATAAATTGGAAAAAATTATGAAGTTAAAAAGTGGATTTAATTGAAATTTTAAAATATGGATTGTTTAATTGCTTATGAAATAGGATCGCAGACTCATTGTTTTAAAAACTGATTGAATTGTTTATCATTAAAGCAAAATAATTTCAAAGGCTATCAAACTGATATTCATACTTGAAGAATTTGTCATTAAATGGGAAATTTTAGTGTATGATGTGTAAGTTTATTATTGGGTCAGTTACTGTCATGAAGTTTTTTTTTTTTTTAAATTTTGATAATTTCAAATTGGCTAATTTCATGAGTATCATTGTGTATTTTGAACGCATTTTGTAATTTGCAATTTATAATGACAAGTTGAACCTGAATTCCCCTTAATCTTAGATTTTTACTTTTATATCTCAAAAGAATCTTGCCTTATCTTACAATTGAAATAAAAATATCAATCAATATTTTCTTTGGCATAAAAATTGTTTTAAAAAATTTCTAATTCAACCACTTTTCACAATTTGAATTTTCGTCACGATTATTAGATGCGAAATTCAAATATCATGTTCTCTTTCAAATTTTACAATCCGGTTCAAGAAAGCGGAAGACAAATGAGCTGTCAGATACAGCAGGGGAGCTAATTTGCAAACCACAAAACCTTCTCAGGGCTATTAAATTTAATGATGAAGGGAGCTTGAGCACCCCTTGCTCGGAGAGAGATGATTAAATATAATCCCAAAATCGATAATTCCATTGTGGCGCCCCAGGCCTTTTGGTATAAAGAGGCGTGAGAGTGCGAAAATCACATCGCTCGCTGCCTCCGTCCGTTGACAGATACAAACGGCCTGGGGTTGAGGGTGAAAAAGGGGATGAAAAATGGAGACCAACCTTGTGCTTGCCGAGGCGGTCAGCGGCCGGCCCGACGATCAAAGGGCCCAAAATGGAGAGCAGAGGGGCGACGGTGGCGATGACGCGCGAGTGCTCGTCCGAAAGGCCGACCTCTCGCATGTGCAGCGGCAGGTACACCACCAGGCACGCCAGTCCTGCAATTCGATCGACAGGCAAGGGTTAACGCCGTTGACAGATGAACGGGGGTGGATTTGTTTAATTGACTCTCGGTTGACAGCGCAATTCAGGCTGATTGGACGCGCCCGGCCGGAAATAAAACAAAAGCAAGCCTTTGTCAAATCCCATTTGGCCTCTGCGTGTTTCCTTTTGCCGGAATTGCGTGCTTCTTAATTAAAAACGCTGTTTGCTAATGGCAAAGGTTTTTTGAATACACAAGGCTTCCATTTGAATGGAGTGCAAAACTTTTTTAGCTTTAACCTAGAGGAGAAAACGATTTAAAAAAAAGTATTCTCTAATAATGAGAATAAAAAATATTTTGATTAAAAAACGGAGGCAAACATTATTCTCAATTTTTCACCTAAAGTTTTACTATGGAATTAAAATAATTAGATTTAAAATTAAAGTGAATTATAGAACAAAAACCCGCAGGTCAAGAGCGTTTCGTCACATAACTAATTAATGTTACTAATTACTAATGCCTCTGAAAGTTTGTAGTGCTTTCGTCAAACAAGTTTGTCTAAAACTGATTTTGGCAGGGGTTCTCAGTTCTCACAGCTTATCGTCCGCAAGAAACTTTGGCATTAATTAATCCCTCTGCTAGTTTGAAACAAGTTTGGGGCTATTTCTGACAAGAGGCACCAACATCCGTGAGAGTAATTATCGTTCCCGTTGTGATTAACTGGACATAACTTTCACAAGCAGAAGTGTTAGACTTTATAAGCAATTATAACAGGTGCTCATAACTTCAGCCTCAAAAGTGATCTAGTTCTTTAAAATATTAAAAAAATTTATTTAGGCTCAAAGACGTTTTTCCAATTTCCGATTTTCATTCTGGCAGTGGATCTTTGCGAATAATTTCAACCTAATTGAAAATATTTGAGTTTAAATACAAAATTTTTCTTATTTGGACTCTAAATTAAATACATTTTCAGACAATTCCTTTTACAAATTTAATAAGAAGCTTCAAACGAATGATTTTTGTTCATGAAAATAATTAGTTAATTGAGTGAAGTTTGTGCATTTGAGAAAAAATATAAATAAAATTTAAATATCATTAAAATATATTTAACTGAAAGAAAATTTGGAAAAAAATTTGAGACTAAAACGTTGACTTTTTACCAGTTTTTTCACCAGTTTTTGGAATTTCTTATTATAAAAACCGATAAAAACTATAATTTTATAATTAAATTTAGGGCTTACCTCCAAAAAAGAGAAAAAGGGTAATCCTGAGGGGCACCAATGGCCAGTTGATGAGCTTGGATGCTCTCCGTTCGCCGGGCTCCGGCCTGGGGGTGTTTCTGGATGTGGACATTTCCTCGATGGAGGCCGACAGCCCCCTGGACAAACACGCCTGAGTGTCCCCGACCATGCTGCTGCTGGTTGGCCGCCTCTACATGTTTCTGCTGCTGCGAAAAAAGGCAAACACTTGTCTTGAAATTGACGAAACTCAATCCAGCGAAGGGACCGAAGCGAGTGGCTCTCAGCTAAATAATAATTGTCGAGAGATGTAATAGATCGTTTTCGTTCATACGGGAAGACGCGGTGGAGGAGGAAGGGGAGGAGGCACCCGCAGGCCGTAAATTTTTGTTACGCGGAGACAGCGAGAGCCGGGCCAAGAGAGAACCCAACCAAGATCGTTTCGTCACTAGCTGACCACTATTTGTCTCAATTAGAAAAGAAGTAACACGAGCAGCCGTTTCGATTAATTAACTTTGAAGATCAAATTGATTGATCAGAAGAGAGCCGCATCATTCATTAGAGGCGCCAAATATTTCGTTGCCTTAGTTATTATGGGTGTTCCCACAAAGCAACCTAGGCAACTGAGATAAAATTATTTTATAAATATCAATTCAAGTAAATAAAATAAAAATGTTAGAAACTAAAAAATTCAATGACGATCGAGACAAAAATTTTTTTTCCTTTTTAATTGTTCGGAACTCTATGGATATTTTCCTATAATTGCATCACTTGTCAAGCAGCAATTTTCAATCAAATAAATATTGAATTATTACGTGTTTACATTAAAATGACGTTTTCCAGATGAAATGCCAAGGATTTTCAATCTACTTGTTATTTTCTCTATGCGCTATAATTGATTTGTTTTTCCCAAAATCTGATTACCATGAAAAGGCGCTGGCTTACAGAAAAATGCCTATAGTGTGCAAACTGTGAAAGCAATAACTTTTTAATATCTTCATTCGTTATCTGATGATATCATAATATAATATAATGAATTGCAAGAAAACCAACGACAGTGTGACTTTTAAATAAATAAAATTTAAAAATACACAATAATGCATGCCTGTGAAAATAATTGAGAGAATTTTAAAAAAAGCTGTGGGAATTGTGGGAAATATTTTATATAAAATATATTTTCTGATTGTGAGAGTGTAGAGGTCCAATTATAAGATTTTGTAAAAACCAGGGCTGTGGTTGAATTCATTTCCTTTTTCTCTCAATTTTTCGTTCCTTTATAAAGTCTGAAAGGAAGTGAATTGAATCTCTCGAATGACGCACAAAAAGTATCAAGTTTTTCCTCTTTGCTTCAATGCGCGGCGGAGCACAAAAGCAAACACGCCGCTTTATGAAAGCTGCACGCAATTCCAAAATTAAAGAGCTTATTCTTTTGAATCGGCAAAGCTTTTCTATTGATCGGCGGCAGTACAGCACTGTTATTCGCTATTCCCTCGCGACGACCGCTGCTGCTGAATGTGAACGTTGGTTCTCACGCATGCAAATAAGTATGCCGGATTATCTCACGAGATATCAAATGTCCGTGCTGGGCTCACAATGTTACCCATTGGAATTCGGGTTATTCGTCAACTGGAAAAGTTTCAGTCAAAACAAAACCGCGGTTCCAGGAAAAAAGGAAACACATTTCCAAGAAACTTTAATTATGTCGATTGAGACTAAACAAACGATGTTTTATGAGGGATTAGTCATCTCTATTCAAATAAAACGATGCATTTAATAAACGACGCGTCTTTCTCTTTTATGGTGGTTGCGTGATCGTGAGTTGTAAAGAGCGAATTGGAGGTGACGTGCAAATAAACGGAATCGCCTCCTGTCTATATAATAAAACCAAAAGAACAAAAGATTGATTGCACTCTCTTGTGAGCATTAATGCATTTAAATAACGCTTCATTGCATTATAATATGTCAGATTGGTGGAAAAAAAATTACGTTTGAGGCTCTGAAGTTGATTTTTTTTTTTATCAAATGCTCTGAAGGAAAAATTGAATAGATAATTTTATTTTCTAAATTTATGCATAATTTCTATCTCAAGAAAGTCTGTAAAAATAAAATTAACTCGCTTTTTGCCTCAAATTTTCGAATCACAATCAAATTGTTAAAATTAGCTTTGGTTTGAATGGAAAAGAAAATAAAGTTTTTTTCACTATTTCCCAGTCACGAGAATTGCTCTGCTTTTAAAAGTTACACAAATGGAGCAACTAATGGAAAAGTTCAGCTTCCGCCCGAAATGTACTTTTCGTGTAAAAGCTTTGAAAAGTTTGATCAACGTCAAAACGAATTCACGCCCCAGCTGTGTTTTTTTACACGCGGCGTGAGCGTAAAAATTGTCAATTTGCTGTTCGGAATACGAAAATAGACCCAAGATGAGTCACGTGCGCTCGGTGAAACAATACACATAAATTTCAAACGGTTAAATTTAAATGCAACCCGTCGCTGAGAAGGCCGCTTCGAACATATATTATGTACATAGTAAAAAGTTTTAAATTTATCACGCCTCTGATTTGCATCAATGACTGACTGACATCATCCCAGCTGCCCTTTAATAAAACCAGGCAATATAAGACGGATCACGTCACTCCCTACTCACTCCTACGAGCAAATCCCTTTAAATTGAAATGGAAACTTGTGGCAATGACGTTATGCTTTTTTTTAAACTTGACCATGTTTTTAAAAAGGGAGGCAACCTGAATTTGAGTGAATTTGAGCACAGCATTATTCTACACTTTGTGCAAAAATAGTAATTCACATTTGAAACATTTGCCCTGGAAAGTTTGATTTAAATACTAATAGAAATTAGCAAAAATAGAGAGAGAAATTTTTTAAATTAATTAATAAAAATTTTATGTTTTAATTAATTTACCAATAATGGTAGGGAAGTCTATTTCTCCATCTCCTTTTTATAGAAAAATTTGAAAAGAATCAAATGAGCATTCTTTTCGTGACATTTAAACCGTCCCTTATTTGTGAGTCACAATATATTTGTAAGTCGCACAAAATTTACACGGAGAAACATGCTGGCATTTTACTGAGAAGTATAATTATTCAAAAAATTCAAATGCCAATCCACAGATTTTTCTCTTTCATGAATTATGCATTTTTTTCTTCATATATTTTTCTCTCCTCGTTTCAAGTCAACACAAAATTCATGCATATGCACAGTGTGTAATAAGAGGTGTGTTCTCCGTTATCCACACACGAAGCAGTCGAAATGAGCAGTGCTTTAAACTTTTCACTCTGTAAAATATGATACATGGGGAGAGAAGCGGCAGTCATCGTATATCGTGGTGCGCGCTTTTTTGCTTTGCGCCGTTCACGCTCCAAATATACAAAAGCACTCGCTGAAAACACGACTCCGACTGGCCATTCGTCCTTTTCAAAGCCACGAGTGTTTAATACACACACATGCAGGGATAAGAGAATGCGAGAGGAATAATGGCGAGAAAGGCTGCTTGCTCTTCGTGCAGAGGTCGGAGGGCAGATTAAAATGCAGATTTCAGACGACGGCGGGGCCATCGACCAATAGACGCCGCATTGTATTACAATTTTAAATGAATTCCCTCTCGTTGCGGACATTTCATTAAAATATACACCACTCTTTGTACGTATGTGTAATCAGTAATGAATGCTGCTCAACTGGTTGTGTTTGCCGGCCGAAATTTCTGGGAAGACAATGACTCTGCACTTGATTGTGACCAAGTGTTTATGTGAATGCTGACGGAGAATAAAATATAAAGTAATGCAGCTAAAAGTTTATAAGGTCACTTCAAATATAATAATGCGATGAAATTAATTGCTCAATTATTTGGTGTAAAACGCAAAATTTTGTTCGCTCTTCCAATTCTTATAAACTTTGTTGCTTCCATTTCCCAGTTTTTTCATTTTTACTTTCTATATAGAAATTTGCATAGACATGTTATTTAGGTATAGTTTTAAGAAATATATCAAAAAATGATAACCTTTTTAGTTAAAAATTATGATATTAATTTATCTTAATATAGCAAATGCATTCTTATCATGTTTAACATCCATAAATAGCAAAATGCTTAATAATGAGAAAAAGGACGAAACAACGCTAGACGACGGATTCATCTTACGATATCCCAGGTGTTTTTTAGAGTACTGTATCCAACATTATTATTAAATACAAAATTTAGTTAGAAGACAACAAAGATCATTAAATTCTTTATAATTAAAATAATTTTATTATAACTACAGATATTAAAAATAATTATTTAAATTAAATAATATATATTCAAAAGAAATATATTGTAAAACAGATTATTGTGATATTAATATATTACACGAAATGTTTTAAATTATTAATTAATAAAATTAAATGCATGCAATAATAATTTTAAAATAATTTAACACCAGTTACAACTGTTCATGTTTATTTTATCCATGTGAGTGCCAGTTATAATACCTGAAATAAACTGCGATATTCAGTAAGAATAATGATAAATTGTAGATTTTTTTAATTCCAATGCTATTTTTGGGTAAACCGTTGTTAATAATTAATTTTGGAAGTAAAATTTAAAAAATTTCAATTGATTTATAAATATCTTATGTTGGTTTCTTGTTAAAATGCTTTTGCTTTTTGTTGTGTTTCTCTACAAGTTTAAAGTGAAATAAACAATCGATCGTTATTTCTATGCTCTTATAAGGTGCATGCGTCTTGCATATAAAAATATCTAATATAATAACGTCTGGTTGCGAACAATTGCTGACCGACGCAGCATCGGCGCACAGGAACCTGTTTATGTGCCAGTTGTTTGATTTATGCCCTTGACATTGATTGCGGAGCCAATTCGGAGAGGAAAAGAAAGAAGCTCCCAAGAGGGCCGCAAATCGCAGGCAGTTCTTCTTTATTGCATACGCAAGCAGCGAGGAGCTCTCATAAAAATTCAAGCCATACAAAAAACCGGCGCAGAATATAATCAGAATAAGGAAGGTTTTTACTGCCGAAAACTTGCTTCAAAGATTTCGCAGGCAATTAGCATCAAAAGCTGCTGGGGTACATTGACAATTCCTTTTAAAGAGATTTTTTGCCGCGTTTACTTTTCCAGTTAAAACAATGCGCTTCGTGCAAGTAAAAGAGCGAGGCACGCCCAATAAGGGAGGTGAATTTTTTGTGAGTTGAAAATTGCCTGACTGCAATAAGAAAAATGGTTTTCCTGCACGATATCTCAGCCGCCAGCCCTGCTAATGAAATTAAATAATAGAGAATGGAGAAATTTCAGGGATGGGCTCCCCGATTGAACTCCTTTTTCTTCCCATTGTGCAGTGTTTGTTGTTGCAAAATATATATGAAATAAATACAAATCTTTTGAATGTGCCGCTTTTTCACTTTTCTTAGAGTTTTATGGCTTGAGCGAGTTAATCACATTATGTTAATAGAGGAAAGAGTGGAGAAGCCTGAAACATTCATTTCGCCAAACGCAGCATTTTTTTCTGCTGGAAATCCATATTATTGCAAGTAAGGCTTGAAACTGCCCGTGTGGTCACTATGAGACAAAAAATTTGAAGCGTTTCACTTTCTCAGCGCATAATGTGAAAAAAAACTCTTGTTTTTAAACAAGTTTCGTTAGTTCCACCTGCTAGTTGCAGCAACGAACGGCGTGGACAGACAGAGAGTGAAAAATGGGAAAAAACCACGCGTGGCTAGCCAGGCGTGCCTTGATATGAATTAAAAAGCGAGTATGCATTTTAACGCAACTACAACGAGAATCCCGGCAACAGGAAAAATAAATTTTCAGATAAAAATATTTGACGTGGAAACAGTGCTGGATTATTTTAGATTAAATTGCAAAAAAAAGGCATATGCATATATAATAATAATAATTATCGTTACTTTGTAAAATTGCTTGAAAAATTTGAGTAATAATTTTAATCTCTTAAAAGCGCGGACACGGAAAGAGCAGTGTTTCGAAATTATTGGCAATGTGACCCTTTTTTTCTTTGCCTTTTTTTGAACATACGTGTATAATTGCCACACCGACAAAGGCCCCCCCGGTAGGCGAAGTGAGCAAGAATAACACAAGGAGTTTGCTCATTAGGCGCCGCGCGCACTTGAGGCTGCACTTGTACAGATTCGCACGCACCCGAAAAGAAGAAATACCTAGCGAGGGGCCACTCCCTTGTGAGGAAATCCCAACAAACCTAAAGAAATTTCGGACACTCACCAGACAGAGTCGATTCGTATTTTGGTACTGCTTGGAGTGCGAAAGCGAGGGACGATCGAGACGCCGGTCGGTCGCGCTGCAGCGCCAGTGCCAAAAACAAGCCTCGTCGTTCTCCAGGCAACCAACGCAGCTTTGCCGATAATTATTGCGATGGCGCACTCGCGACCGACTCGCGATGGCCTGCGCACTTCGGCTTTGGTGCTCGAGCCGACGCAGCCTTCTCTCCGCGCTTGCCTCACCTTTTCAAGGTCTTCCCACCTGAACACAAAAAGCATGTAGTGGCAGCACCTGCCCAACACACCGGGCCCTCCCCTTAATAATTCAACCTTTTTTATCCAGGTGCTGCATACTTCTGTGTCTCTCTTTGTTCGCCGCGAGTAAATATTTTATGTATATATGTACCGCGCTCTCTTGGGGTGGCTTTTGTGCGGGTGGATGTAAAGCAACAGAGAATTTATATCCTTGGTCCTGGCAGATTTATTGGTGGCTCGGGACACTTTTTGGGGCGCTTTTGAAATGACTTTAATTCTGGGTTCAATGAATTTTATAACACTGCAATAACGACAGACAAGGACAAAAGTATACTGCTGTACAACAATTTAATTAAATATTTAAATAACCATTGTTAACTTCCCATTTTCATACCCACTGAGCTTTCAACAAGCCACAGTAATTTTATATTATACACAATATTTTATAGTGAAATTAAGAAAAAAAAAATTCAAACGATAGATTTCTGCTCATCAATGAAAAAAGTGATGTTATGCTTTAAAACAAAAATTATATCGCTAATTAACGAATTTATTTTTAATCAAAAACAGTAATTAATAATTTAATTCGACCAGAAATTTAAAATCTGTTCAACAAGCAATTATGTATTTGAAAAATAATTTAAATTTTTTCCAACAAGACCACAAACAAAATTTTATTAAAAAAGTTACCCACACTAATTATTATAAGTTTAATTTTTACAATAATGTCAATAATATTGAATACATAAAAAAAGTTTAATGTGAAATTCACGGCAACCAGAAAGATAAATTTTAATGTCTATTTTGATCGAAAATTCATAAATTAGCCATCTGGTACAAAAGTAAGAATTGAAGATTCTTTTATTAATCTAATAATAATACAATTTTCCACCATACAAATTAATTGGTATTTTTTAAATTATTTTTATTTTTAGAAGTAAATTGTGCGTTATTTGTATTAATAAAATAGTGATATTATTAATTGTAATAAACTATTACGCAGCTGTTATTGTATACAAAATTTATGTAGTGCTAAAATCACATAACTAAATAGACATTATCATAAAATTTTTCAAATGAACTTTAAATACGTTTTTCTTTTTTTTTCTCACTAAAAATGAATTTTATTTTCAAACAAGTTTTTAATTCAAATTTTTAAAGAATATCATTCTTACCAACGAAAAATAATCTAGCGCAAAATATATTTTAAAAGATATATATTATATATTATTATATATTATGCTTGCTTGCGGCGCTTTTTGGAATCAAAGGGAACGCATGCGTGTTGCTGGCATGAAAAGGGGGCGTGTTGCCGTACACAGATAAGCAGAAAGCAGACACGTAACCTGCGAAGCTGGATGGACTGAATTTTGGAAATTTCACTGGACATTCGGGTTTGGAGTTCGTCTCAAAATGAAGATCCCACTGGCCGCCGTTTTGGCCGCCTTCCTGGCTGTTTTCCTCGTTTGCCTCGTGGGCCCAGCACTCGCCCAACAAAAAAGAAGAGAGGTCAATTTTTGACATTTTGCAATTTCAGTTCCGCATCCCTTTTTATGTACTTCCACCTGATTTTAATTCCTGCTTCAAATTTTCTTCCATCAGATTCTACACATATATTTAACTATTAATTGTTAATATTAAATTATCAATTTTTATAAAAAAAAGTAAAAATATTTGTAGTTTTGTTAAATAATTTTTAAAATAATTTTGCCGGTTCTTCATTGTATTTCTGGAATATTTTTAGCAGGGTCTCACGCTGTCCGAAAAGGTGCAGCAGTTGACTGAGATGAGTGCAAAAAGGTCGATCCTCAGGTTCAATGGCCACAAATTCAAGGACTTTGTCCGGTCTACCCCTCGCAATTACTCGATGATTGTCATGTTCACCGCTTTGGCCGCCCAGAGACAATGCGTCATCTGCAGGTGCTGACCTCAAATTTAGTCCGTTATCAGAAAATATCAACTTTTTAAATTTCAGACATGCCCACGACGAATTTGTGATCGTGGCCAATTCCTTCCGTTACTCGCAACACCACTCGAATAAAATGTTCTTCGCCATGGTTGACTTTGATGAAGGCCCTGACGTCTTCACCAGTGTAGGGTTTTTTGATAAATAAGTGGAATTTTTAATGATGTTTGCAATTATAGTTGAATATGAATACAGCCCCAGTGTTCATGCATTTCCCAGCCAAGGGTAAGCCAAAGCACAGCGACACCATGGACATCCAGAGGGTCGGATTTGCTGCTGAGGCCATTGCAAAGTGGATCACGGAGAGAACCGACATTTCGGTATACAATTTTTTATAATTTTCTCTAATTATAAATTATTTTAAACTAATTATTCCATTAAGAGCAAAATCATTAAATGAACTTCAACATACTAATTTAATGAAGAGCATAAATTATTATTTAAAACAATTAAAAAAGTGCGAAAAGTTCCGAAAATGTAAAGTAATTAAAAAAAAATTGCAGATTCGAGTCTTCCGTCCTCCAAATTACTCAGGAACTGTGGCCGTGGCGATGCTATTTGCATTTGTAGCTGGTTTCCTCTACCTGAAGCGCAACAACCTGGATTTCCTTTACAACAAAACCCTTTGGGCCTTTGCAGCAATTGTAAGGAAAAACTTTGAATTTTTGTAAATAATAGAAAAAATGGCACTTTTCCCTTGATATATAAGTTGAATATGTTCGTCTTTTTTAATCAGGTTTTTACCCTGGCCATGACCTCTGGCCAAATGTGGAACCACATTCGAGGACCGCCGTTTGTTCACAAGACCCAATCCGGAGGGGTTGCCTACATCCACGGATCCTCCCAGGGTCAACTGGTGCTTGAAACCTACATCGTCATCATTCTCAGTATGATCTCTAAATTTCTGTTGATTTGAAATTGACAAAAATGTTTTTTTGAACAGATGCTGCAATTTTGCTGGGTATGATTCTGGTCACCGAGGCCGCCTCTCAGAAGGGAGACGTCCGAAAAAGGAGGATTCTGGCCATCGTTGGCATGGCCATTTTCACAGTGTTCTTCAGTTTAATTCTATCAATATTTAGAAACAAAGCTCATGGATATCCATATAGGTAAAATATTGTTTTTTTTTATAAGAAATGACTAATATTAATTTTAAAAAATTTGCAGCTTCTTGTTTAAGTGATTCCCGAGAAGATGATCAATTTTTTGTGTTTGCCCGAGCAAGTGACGCGCATCAGTGATTTGTTGCAATTTTTATTTTGTATGGTTTCGTGAAATAAATGAGTGGTGAGTACCAAGTGTTAATTTTCAACTTTTGATTATTCTTTCTTTTGATCACAATCATTATTAAGTATACCGCTACGCGCAACTTACAAAAATTTGAACGCAGTCCACTCTGTTTAGACGGCGAGTTATCTTTTCACAAAAGAGTAAGATGTGCTGTCTTCAAAAAAATTAGATTATCTTGAGGAAGCTTTTTGCACTGCGTGTAGAGAGGAACTTGTGGAAATTTATAATTACGTAAGCGTGACTCAAGAAACTGCCATGGAAAAATGACACCACTTTTAATTAAACAATTCAACTAAATGGAAGCCCTGTCCCTTATTTTTTTTTCTTTTTAACACAAGCTTGAGCAATTTATATTATATATTTAAAAAATATTACTCAAAAACTGCACCTCTTGGAAGCCGAACACAGAAAAATATTTATTTTATCATTGGTGTCAATTTTGCACGTCCTCGTCTGAAAACCTCTATGGCACTTTTTTCTGCTTTGTCTACCAGCACAATTATAATTATGATAATTCAGTCAATTTGGGGGGAAAACTACTGCAAACTACTGACCTGCCGTCTGCGGCAGTAGCCCGCCTTGTTATTCTCCCCCTTCCCACCCTGAGCCTCGAACTCTCTCTTGACCCTTTCGATGATGTCCGCAATCAATTTCTCCTCACTCTGCTGTTCGGCGTCCCAGTTCTGCTTCTTGAGCGGCTCCACAGTCTCGGTCACCACCACACCTTCACTACCCTCTCCTGGCGCGTCCTTGGGCCCGTCCCGCCACTTTTTCCAGCCACCCTTGTGGCTGTTGTTGATGTGTCCGAGATAGCCCTTCTTGGTTTTGAAGTAGACAAAGCACTTGCCGCACCGGAACAGGTTGACGGCGTGCAGCCGGTACTTGTGGCGGTACCAGTGCGTCCGGCTTGGCACCGACTCGCCACACCACTTGCAGATGACCGAACCGTCCGTCTGTATGACGTACTCGAGCAGCTCCTGCTTGGACAGCGGACGCTGCTCGGACGGCGACGTGTTGTTGTTGTCCTCACCAGAGTCATCCACCTCGCAGGCGGCTGCCGTCAGGAAGTGAACGCTCGCGTCCCACGATCCAGACGAGCAGTCCTCGCCTGAAACAGTTTCCAGAGCAAACGGACCACTTGAGTTTTTCGACAAAGTGGAGCGATTGTGGTGGGTACATCGAACATAGACACAAAACTTGCTGAAAATTGTAAGAAATTAATTAGAATCCGAGCTGTAAAGTAAAACGCAAAATAAAAGAGGAATGATTATGGAACCAACATTTTTATTAATAAAAAAATTATTCTTTGTTACATTATACAGAGATATTCAATAAAGTGTGATTTACACGTATGATTTTTCTTTGTGGAGTAAATTGAGACACAACATTTTGGCCACTTGTCCATTATTAAATGAAATTCCGATTTTGTTGGAATTATTTTTTCTGTGGACAAACAGCCATATCATTCATTATGAGGAGTTACAGAACTCATGCGTTATACCATGTAATATAATATATTGTTTAAAAATTGGTAATACAAATCGAAATTTTTGAGGGTATATCAAGGAAGACCTGCAATTTTGCATTAGAATATCAAAAGGCACAATTGAGCTTGGAAATTTCTTGGTTTAGTATCAAATATTAACATGAGTATTAATGCAGAGCTCAAAAGTCATTATTATAATTTTTTTGCTAACTCCACTATTGATTATCAGTCAAGGTATCACATCTCTTGATATGATTTTTGGAAGAAGAAATAAAATATTTAATAATTTCCGGGGATGAATGCAGTAAATAACTTTAGTCTCTATTAAATATAATATATGTGCCTGGATACATTTCTGAACTAAAATCAATGAGGCGAGAAATTAAAAAAAAATCAACAACTAAAAACATGAAAAAAAATATCCACAAAGAAAATAATAATGAAAATGGAAAATGCCTATTCAATAATAATTATTTAACAAAATCTTTTTATTGCTGTTGTGACCGTGTCGGTGAAAATTTCAACGCCTCCTTAAAGTCCCTAGCGAGGCCGTCTCGAAACAACTTATAGGCCTGTGGTTATACAGAATATGCTTCTTGTTGTTTAGCGCGTTTGAAAAAGTCCTCCGTGATAAACATTTAATTACAAACATCAACTCGATAAAATATGCAATATCTGTAGAACACATATATACCGCTGGGCAATGTTAAAATAATCGCTTGTGCAATCAACCCCGTCGCAAGGGGTTGCCGGTCGGTGACTCAGTTAGGTGGTTGGTCTTTGCCGTGTTTCTTTTATACTCTGATCAAGACGCAACATGGATAGACAATTAGTAATTATTGTTATGCAAATTTAATCCACATAAGGTTTCTCTTCAAGTTGTACTCTAAGCAATTCACAATATTCCCGTCACCAAAGCTCTAAATTAGCACTCTGGAGGGCTTGGATAATATGTTTGGTTTAAATTTTGCCGACGCCAAATATTCGTAAATAAATTTGAACCCTTCGATTTTATATTCTGTTGTTACCCATATTTGTAGAAAATTTAGCAAAACAATCACATCTCTTTACTTGCAATCACACATTAGTATAACAATAATAAAGCCTATCAAAACCTATGTATCTACAGTGTCTGCTGATACTAAATAATTATATTTTTTCCCTTAAAATTTTGCATCTCCTTTTTTTATTTATTGGTGCGTGCGATTTTATTTTCTCCCTTTAATTACAGCATTGAGGCAAAGTGGTCTAGGACCGGTTGTTAAAATAAATGGAATTCCTTTCTTTCTCTCTTAGAAGGGTATCAATTAATATTCTCTACACACTAGCCGCTGATTATCCCACTGATAATTATGTACAAGTCACAGACTTGTATGTTAGTAGTCGCTATCCACACGAAGATGTACATGTAATTTGAAAAAAAAAATTATATATCACTCCCTGCACCAAAAACAACTTCATTTCACACAACGATAACACAAACTTATTACAAAAAACTCTTTGGCTCTTTGGATCTTCCTCTCTGATATTGCCAAATCATTCGTACTTTAGATTGGGTCGATTCAATCTACCTAAATAATTTTACTGCATTCAGAATGCATTTTCTTTTGTTGGACTGCTTTTATGCATTCACCTACTTGAAGCAAATGAATTTTATTCAAGAGTGACATCTGATTCGCGTGCGTCCCTAAACTGAACACTCATCATCAACAACTCATATTATTTTATGATCTAATTAATCCGTTAATTACTACGTATGCATCTATTTAAGCCTAGCTTACACAAAACTGGAATGTCCTGAATACAAGTAGTCAATAAGAAGCATCCATCCGCAAGTAAACTCTATAAAAGAAAAATTAAATTTTCGCCTGTGCTGCTAACACATTCTGGACAGTCTTTGTTTGACGAAGCAATAATTAAATTCGAACGGAAGCAAATAAAAGCTATTTGTCATTTCTCTCTTTCGCGCACCCAAAACGATCAGAGTCCAAAATGTGCATCGAACAATTATGATAAATTCAAGTAAATTTATCTCTAATGTAAAGATTACATAAATCCGATAATATTTGTCCCCATTTCAGACCAACCTTGCGGTAACTAACAAATACGCACGAATCGTAAAAATATATATATAATTTTTGAGAGCAACTCTGACCTGCTCTGTGTAAAAATTACTTGATCACAAAACGAAATTTCTCCAATTTATTGGTGGTTCATTCACTTAGTGACTGGGGCCAGACTAACCAAAACAATCACTTTTAGTTCGAGGGACTGAGAAAAAACAAGATGATAGAAATTATATATTTAAAAATCAAACGCATTCGCACAATCATGTACGCTGTTTTAAGAATGTTTGAGCCTCACCACCAAAAGAAATAAATCTCTCTCTGCCGCGAGTGTTGCACAGCGTCCGTGATAATCATTTCTTTGAGAATAAATTATAATGCGGGGGTGTAATATAGATTGCTCTCGGGGGGCTTGTGTGTGAGCTAATTCAAGGCTGCAGGAAGAAGCCAATCGGGACTATGCAATCTTTGGGCATGAAGCAGTCATGCACAGTTTTCATGTGGTTCTTCATCTTGTCAGGCCTGGAGAACTCCTTGCCGCAGACCGGGCACGGAAACACTTTCCTTTGGTGGCCTTCGTGGTAGAGGAAGGCGTGACGCTGGAAGCTGTACTTGTTTTTGAAAGTCTTGACCATGTTGGCCTTTTCACATTCTATGCACTTGTACACGCCCTCGGAGACGGACGCGTACCGGAATAGGTTGAGTCCTCGCACCGACATCTCCGTCAGCTGCTCGGCAGCCTCGTGCGCGCTCGACGTCCTCCTGCGGGCGCGCCGACGCACGTTCTGTTTGGGCGTGGGCGGCGTGGCCATCAGGTCGCCACCCATTTCTTCCTTCTTGAGTGACCACGACTCTCGGACCATCGGGTCTCCCATGCCGTTGTCCGCATCGTCCTTGATCATGTCCATAGATTCTGCAATTCCAAAGAAAAAAAAATTAGCAATTCATTCTTTCTAAAACACTCTGGTAAAAAAAACTGCGGTTGAAAAATAATAAATTAGGTGAGGGTTAGTGCATGCGGTTAGAGGAGAAGAGGTCGCGGAAATTATAGTAAAAATTAGCGAAAGAGGCGGATCATAGTTACCTGGCTGCAGAGTTAATTTATCCTCGCACCAAAGTTATTGATTTGCAAAGAGGGAAGGAGAAACCTCAGCAAGAAATTATATAATATGCAAGTTTGTTTGTTTTGCCGTTTTAATTTGTGTGTGTATATGAGCAAAGTTTTACAAAATACACTTTATTCAGTTACATGTAAGTGGACCACTGTCGTTTGTAAAGCTATCTTATAAAAAATAGTATAGTCATCATCAATGTATGTACAATTGTCAAAAAGTGAGCACATCAAACGAATAAATTAAAGTAACCTAAATTACGAATGAAAATGGCTCGTCGGAGCTCGGGAAAAACTCCTCCGAGTATACTTAGAAAGAACGGAATGCAAATGTGTTGAGACAAATTGGAGATTGTCTCCCGAACTTTGGCCGACGAGCATACTAATGCGACGAAAAAAATCGGCAATAAATTATTATGAATCCAGAGTGGGAATCTGGACTAGAGCTAAGTGTTCTTATGCATGTGCCTGTGCTTGAGGTGCGAGGCGAGATTGTCTTTGCGCTTGAAATTGGCGCCGCACAGCAAGCAAACGTACGAGCGGTGCGAGCTGTGCATGTACTTGATGTGCCGAGAGTAGCTCGACTGCAGGGTGAACTGCGACCCGCACAACTCGCACGCCCATTTGTGTTTGCTGCTGCTGGACACGTCGTTGAGCACAACCGACGTCTCCTCCTTGGTCATCCATTCGTCCTGCTTGCCGTTCGCCTCCGGGGTCCACGATGAGTCCAAGTTGGTCGTGCCGGGCGGCATCCACGTCGCTGTAACCAAGAGCACCGGAGCATGACACTTCGGCTCGCGGCCGACTGACTAGCTTTCAACCAACTCTACTGCAACTCTGCTCTCACTCTACTATATGTGTGCTTCAAAAGAAATAATAAAGTCGGACAACAACAATAATTATATCAATCAAATATCAACACCAACACCTTCTATAATATTTCAAACAGAAGAATGGAACTGAAAAATAAGTTGGATCAATCGGTAAAATACAACAAGGCAAATTTCTACTCAAATTTCGTGTGTCTACTTCAATAATTCACAACAACTCAGCTAACGACAAAAATGGCGACGGCGGCGCAGGGTGGATCGCGGGAGTGAAAAATTTTTGCGAAAAATCAAACGTTTTATTTCTCCTTAATAGACTTTTAGACTTTGCCTTACAACATGACGCTCCAGGCTGACTTACAAAATTCTGGTAAAATTTGATTTTTTGGTTCATAACCACATTCCTATCTCGTATGCAAAATTAGGATCACAAATGTGCACCGAACTCCTAATATGGCAAGTGCTAAATCACAGATACATAAGGCAGGCCTGTTCGAGTTCTCTCTCATCTTCTTCGCGTAACAATAAGGTTTCGTAAAAATTCGCCGCTAGGGCGCTGGCTGCAATTATTACAATAGTGTACAACGTTACAAGTCGAGTGTCGAGTGTGGCCTACTTATAATTATTAATTATATATATTTTTTAGTTCCTCTCATATAAACTCGTGAGTTTTACGTTTGGTTTTTTCTTTAAACATCTAAATCTCTTGCTGTAGCTGCTTCTTCGTGTACGCCCCAGAAATATTCAAAACAAACAACCCAGTCGGAAAACAAAGCGCCCGCCCACCCTCCCTCCCGAGCAGGCATCAGTTGTGTGTATATCGCACGTGCGCCTGCATATTGTCCTTGCGGGTAAACTCCCTGTGGCACAACGGGCACGGGAACATTTTCTTCTCAGTCATATGCGTGGTCGAGTAATGTCGCTGGAAGTTGCCAAAGTTCGAATACGTTTTCAGGCAGATTGAGCAACGGTAAATTATCTCAGATTCTTGGATGCATTTTTTCTTGATCTCGAGCAGCGCGGCTCGGTTCAGGGGCGGGCAGTCAAACTTGCTGTCCAGCGGTTCGGGGGAGGACGAGGGCGCGTTCGGGACCTCACTGTTGTCGCCCGAGTAAATTTTCATGGTCAAGTTCATAATCTCGTCACCTGCAAATCAGCCCGCCATCAATCAAAATTGTCTGACCCGAGAAAAGCACGGAATAATTGATTGCAAATGCCTGTGTCAATCAAATAATTTTTGCAAGGGATTGTTAAAAAATTACCGAATGTCAAAAATTAAAAACATCGGTCTCAAAAATAAATGAAAAAAATGCTGACTGATTTATTGGCAGTTAAAGAAGTTCAAACGAACAGCAGCTATGCATAAAACTACGCTTATTGAAGCCCAAGAAAACTCTTTTGATTGGATCATGCTCGAAGAACTAAATCTTTAGTGATTTTAGGATGAATGGCCACAAGGATCGATTATTACTTTGAAATAAGTCGGAATGATCGCAAATAGACTCTATCTCTGTGTTGCAACGTAACATTGCCTACCAAATCCCTTATGAAGAGGCATTGATTTTAGAGCAGGCATTGCAAGCACAGAATATTTCACTGAATACATACCTTTTTGGCTTTCGTTTCTCTCTTCTACACTCCTCGAGACCGCACGCATTTCGCATTCAATTTTCAGACTCGACAGCAAATTCGTTAGCTAACTCTCCGGCGAGAGCTCACACTTCCACGCGCGGCGCTTACTTACACGTAATTCAATTCAATTGCAACGCTATGTCAAGAGATAATAATTTTGACTCGTTCTACCACCAATGTTATTGTATGTAATATATAAGATTACTAGAGAAAGAGAAGGAAAGGAAATTTGAAAAATAAAAACATTGAAAACTCAACGAAGAAACACCTTCCTGAAATAAAAACAACAGTTTTGAGTTTAGATGGTTGTCGTCCCCCCTCTAAGAAAGTTGCCTCATAAGAGATCTGGTCGGGTTGTTACAACCATACATCTTGTACCTTGCAACTTGGCAGTTGCAACATTTTTAAAAGTAATTAGCAGCACTAATAGGGCTGCTGAAAAATCCAGGCAAGAAAGTAGTGGTGCTATGTAAAGATGGAAGAAGCAACACAGATTTTGAGTTAGATCAAGAGGACAGGGCACTTTTTATCGAAGCCAAGTTGAGTGAAGCAAATGACTTACAAATTACACCACCCCATGCAAATGAGTATTATGGTTTAATGCATTCATTAGTAAAAATCCAAATTAATAATAACCACTTCACAGCGGAAACAAACTGATTGCAGAGAGTTAGTTGTTGCCAATTTGTTTCAGCAGTGTGAACCGATCATTAGGTCCACCAATACCACCACCATGTTTCACACACAAGATAATTGGGTTTGGTGCTTACCTGCACCGAAATTCACGCCACTGCCACTTTCGTCCGCGTCCTGAGAGTTGCCATAAGTCTGTCCAGAGTCTGTAAAAATAGAAATACATGAGATTTGCATTTTTTTTTTTTATTAAACCAGGAATAAGTTTGCATAAATTCGACTAATAAAGAGGTACTTTTCAAATAAATTTAAACCCTCAATTTTATTTAAAACACGAATCATACCTTGGTTCGAGGGTCCAGCAGTTGGTTCTAGTTCATCTTTAATCCTTTTGCCACCAACGTCCTGAAAGCAGAGGAGTTACATTTTGACAAATAAATTATTCATGAATTTGCCTTTGAAAATGAGTCGTCAGGGGATCGTGATGAAGAAATGCAATCTTGACCAGACACCAACAGATCGTGCTGACCAGAGACACTGCTTGATGGACTTGATCTTCCGGATCCTCCGTGTCTTTCCTTCTCTACTGACTCTTGCACTCCTATGAAATCAAAAAAGCTAATTAATTTTAGTTTAAGGTTAACAAAAGAATTATTGCTTATTATTTTTAGATATTTAACTCCCAACTGGGATTATTTTAAATAACGCTAATTAAAAATTTGAAAACTGAGGCAAGGGTACAACTACCTCGCTTGCGCTTCCCCGAGTAAGACGGTGACATGTGTCTGGTGTGCAAGTGCTGGAGGTTCTGGAGGGGCGATGGTGAGCTGGAGGGTCTTTTGTGGCCCATGAAGTGGTGAGGGCTGGGGTGTCTTTCAAGCCGCTCGTCGGCCAGGTTGCCAGGTACGGAGTTGAGTAGCGAGGAGGTGATCCTGGGCAGGTTGCAGCTCTCCTCGTTGACCTCCGTGAGGCCTTTGATGCGCAGAGACTCGGCCACCTTGAGGAAGGCGGTCAGCCGCTCCTGGTCCACGGACACTTCCCCTTTGTACATAAAATCGAGCAGCGACCTCATGTCGGCGTAGGGCACGTCCTTGAGAAACACGATCGGGTGCTTGTCGGGGTTGTTGACGAACAGCGTCTGGAAGTAGGGGCTGCACGCCGACAGCACCATCTTGTGTGCCTTCAGGTACAGGCCCTCCACGGCCAGGGTCACGTCCACGAACGACTCGTCCTGCAGCAGCTGCTCGAACACGGACAGCAGGTTGCTCTGGTGGTTGTTCCACCGCAGACAGAAGCGTTGTGACGAACTCATGGCGGCTCCTGCTTCAGGACTCGGCGGGCAAATGGGGCGAATTTCGACGGCTTTTGGGTTCTTCTCGGCGCAAATTAATCAGAACGTTTCACTCGGGCACACAAATCTGCAACAGAGAAACAAATTTTATTAGTATTTAAATTAAATTCCAGCAAAATTTAAATATTTCAATTTGGTTTTTTGGGTCACGCCTAGACAGTGTGTTTAGCTTGAAGGAAGGAAGCTCCAATCTTATATTTATTTGGATTCTTATTATTTATTTAATTTTTTAAAACAAAAAGTTTCATTATTCTGAGTAAAAGCCAAAAGAGTTGACAATTACTCTACCAAAAATAGATATTCATAGGGGTAGATTAAGTCTTTTGACTTTTATTTAGACCAGGTTGATCGAAACCTGTTGATTCTCCAAATTTGAACTATGGAGGGAATTTGTTTTACTGCGCATTTTGGTGCACAAAGCAAGTGCCGGTTGGTGCTAAAAAGAACTTTTTTCAAAGGACTGAAATTTTTGTAGCAGCAGCTAAAAAGGCAACTCGCACAATAAAAAGCTGCTCAACACCCCTCGCACGGCAAAAGGCAACAAGAGTACAGTCGCTTTTATCTCAAACCCTTTGCGTTCCTTTAGTAAAAATTTGAATTTTTCACGTCCCGTACTTGTTTTTTTGGCAGCGCCTACGTGCGGAACTGGAAACGGACGGGCGCGTGCTGGCAATGATCAAAGGGAAATATTAAAATGCAGTAGTTGAATTTTAAATTTAAGAAAAAAAAATGAAGAAAATGCCTGGATAATTTAGTGGAGAATGTATCGCCCTTTGCTTGCGGTCTTGGAGATTGAAAAAAATATGATTTCCTGACATTTACATGATTTAGGACTAATTACCATTTTATAATTTAGTCTGAGACTTTTCTCAAAGAAACGAAATAAAAAAATATCATGAAGGTCTTTTGGCTTTTTTTTTGTCAATCTAATAAAAAACGGTTAAAATTTTGTAGTTGAAATTCGCAGGTCATGAGTCAGGAAATTGTACGAGTAAAATTTGCTGGGGCTTTCCAGCACCCCAGAGGATGTGGAGGAAGGGCGCAATGTGCTCATTCTAGATGATTCACCGGCGTGTTTGCGATTCAAAGCAGCAGCAGCACAAAACGCAATAACTCGAAACGCCCGCTCACATCAGCCCCAAGGTCTCGCTCGGCGCGCTGACTGGCTGCCCTACCCCGACGACGACGCGCATCAAATCATATAATGGTGGTGCGTCAAAAGAATCGAGAGGCGGCTGGGCAGGCGGGCGGGCGGAGAGAAAGGGAGCGCGTTTTAAATTATCATTTGTACATATGGTGTACAACAAAGTGAACGGATGGTAGTTCGGAGCCCTGCACGAAAGAAGGGCGCTCGCGAACCCCACTCGGAACCCCCTAGCTAGAAAGCAGCGGCCAATTAAGTATGGCGATGGAAACACGACGACTCGACAATCCCACTCAACCATGAATGCATGGTGTTTTCTTCGCGTTCGCCACTTTAATTACCCTCTCGGCGCAGAAATGAGTAGAAATCTCGCAACCGCCAGCGAATATTATTATTTCGTTCTGCGCTTGGAGATTTTACAAGAAAAAAAGTAATAAGAACTATAGAAGGAATTTGATCACCATAATAAATTTAATAATTGAAAAAAATCAAGCTATCAATTTATATTAAAATTATTTTTTAAATTTTCAAAATTAAACTTTTTTAAGGGTAGTTTTTTTAATTTTAAATATTCTAAATTTATTTATATTTGCAGTTTGCGTAAAATTAATTGTGATTTGAATTTAAACTTGGCTTTTACTTGATGGGTTTTGTGAATTATTATTGTTTAAGAAAAACACAATATCTTGCTCTACATGTTAAGGCTGCGGGCTGCAGCAATAATTCAGTTGTGAAATCACTTTGACAAGAATATTTTCAAAAAAACTACTATATTCCGTGAAAAATTATTTTAAGTTCCATTTTTACAAAAAACAAATTATGCCACAAAATTTGACAACTGAATTAAAATTTTTTCAACAAATTAATTTTAATATTTATAATAACAATAAAAATCCATAAAACCAATCGAGGAAAAGCCGACTTCAAATCACCATCAATAATCAACCCTTGATAGTGAAATTCTACCACAAAATCGTAGAAAATTATTAAATCAAATAATTTAAACCTTTTATAATTAACAATTAATTCACTAAATAATTAAAAACTAGAAGAAAAATAAATTGTTAATTAAATTAAGCAGGAACCTCACAAAGTGTCCAGCGATGCAAAATTATCAGGGCAGTTTAAAAGAATGTTATTGTCTCGACGTGTAGATAAGAGGGACAAGCACGTGCTGCTTTCCTCAAAACAGACTGGAAACTATTTCAAAAGGAATAAAAAAATGTGCCCATAGAAATTGAAAATAATGTACAGCGAGTTGATGCACACGAAAAGCCCCGACCGCGTCGTTGAATAATTCAAATATCCGCCCGAGAGGAAGTGAGGGGTGGACGTGGCAACCCCTCTCGAAACGCGGCGCCCACTCGACGGAAAATATAAAATTCCCCTGTATCAGCATCGGGAATTAATAAAAAATAAATTATAAAAAATTGAAATTAAAAAAAAAAAAAATAGTTAAAGTGATTTATAGGTAGCTCTGGTATGGCCAGATAAACAGGTGGCCGTGCATTGATATTTGTTTTGATCTCTCTCTGTCGCTTTTCGGAGGAAAATTAGCGCGCGTTTGTTTTGTGCCGATTTGCGCAAACCCCGTTTGACGGTGCGTGTGGCCGCGCGAGAGAGGATCGCTGGCCGAAAACGAGGCCAGCCGAGGGCAGCCCGCGACAACCACTGAGGCCGATCCGGGTGCGCCCCGCCGAACCAACACACACACGTCCCGCTATTCGGAGAGACGTGCCCTCCATTCTCACGCGCGACCCTCGCCCGAATGTAACATGAAAACGCGGCAAACACGCAGCGACCCAAAATGGGCGCAGGGGTTCGTTTGAATATATAAAAGAGACACTCACCCCCGAGGGACACGCCCCTTTTTCAAATCAAAATCCGGGGCACAGTCGGGTCAGGACGGGCGGGCGCGCGCCAAAGTCGGGCCGACGAGGAACGCGAAGGTCGGCACACGTAGGCAGCTCTCACTCGCAATCACACCCTGAAAACCCAGCCCTGTCAGCCATATTGCGAGTAGGCCGCCCGCCTCCCACCACAGAGCCCCCTCCCGCCCTCCCTCACCCCTGACTTTCCAAACTGCATTTCCCACGCCTCTTTTCCGGCCCGTTCGGCCCCGATTCGGCATCAGGGGCCCTTCCGAAATTGAAAGGCCCCCGATGGCGGCCCCCGACCTGGAGAAATCGTGTAAAATAATTCAGCTGGTCGTCGACCCCTAAGAGTACGCAATAGGGGCTCGGGTGTAAACGTCACGAAGGCGGCCGTTTTGGGCGCGCGTGGCCGCCCCCGGGGGTCGCGGGGCCGCGGCTAATTTGTTGCCAAATGTAGCGCGCCCCGTATTTACCTTGTCAGTATCATTTTGCGGGGTTTTCAGCGAGTATTTGTCGTCCTGTGCCGTGATCCCTGTGACGCTCTCAGGACGCCATGTCAGCACGAAACTGAGAAAAACGTAATCTGGCGACGGCAGCGCCGAGTGGCGGTCACGGGGTGAAACTACGCACGTCTGCCTCGCTCGCTGCTCGCTCGCTGCGGCGGCGGTGGACGGCCGAGCCAAGTACAGCGCGTTCAAATTTAATGCTCACCCCACTGGCGGAACCACGGGGGAAGGGTTCAACCCGCATTTTGTGGGAAAAAACAGTGAGCACTGGAATGAGCCGCCGCCGCAGCCTGCCTGAACGCAGCGCCTGACTTTTCGACTCGAGCAGCGTTTTGCCTCGTTGCCCGCCGCCGCCGCCGCGATCACGCATTCATTTCGCAGCCAGAACAGGGGCTAATGGCCACGAATATTTGCAATTTCCTCTCGGCCTTTCAATTCCGCGCCCCAAACTTGATTAAAGAGGTGAAAATGGGTCCGATGACTTTTATTGCCCGCAGGCGCAAACTCTAATGGAAATTTGGCAAAACTGACGAAATAGTAAAAACTTTCACATTATTTTATATGCCCCTATATTTTTGCATAGAAATAAAGAAAAAATAATAATTATTACAATTATAATTGTTATAAAAGTCAAATACACAATTATATTAAATTTGGTGATTAAAAATTTCATCCTTGGCTTTTTTTAACAAAATGTACAACCTGATTATAAAATTAAATTTAAAAAATATTTAATGTATATAACATTTTAAATATGAACTTCAAAATTTTAAAATTGGCTTATATAATTTTTTAAGTTAATTTTATTTTCAATTTAATTTTTTAAATTTAATTATTACTTTTTTAATATTAAACTAATTTTCTGATTTGTTATAGATTAAAATTTATTGAACGTTCTTAGAAACTATTTTTTATAAAAATTTCCACCTTCGGAAAATGTAATTTTTTACATTGCTTTTTTATTCAATAAACAGCAAGCACCACACGAAAGCCCTTGACGCTTAAAAGCTGAAAATAAATAGAATAATTTTGAAAATATGTTTAATAATTTTCTGCGGCGTACGTAATTAAAAAGCCCTACATAATCCCTCCGTGCTTTGCTGGCAGTCTCGATTTGCCGGGTTTTTACCACAAGTGGGACGGCGGAGGTGCTCACACAATATAAAAAGCAGGGCTCGCTGGCAAAACATCCGCACGCCATAATATATACCCCTGCTCTTCCCGATTACGCCGACCGACATTAATTTTCGCTCGCGAGATTTTTGTGACAAAATGTGCAGCCATTTGCCATGTTGGTGTACTTTGGTGGTATATAAATTTGTACAAAAATGCGCACACATTTTGCCAATTTTCGCACTCCATCGTCGGCCGGAGAGACTGCTGAATAGCGAGTACCGAAACAGGCAATCCATTCGTGTTTTACATGTGCAAAATTTATTGGCGCTGCGCCAGCCGAGCAACCCTTTTTCGCGCAGAGTCGGAAAAAAATGGAAAACAATATAGCAGCACATCATATTGGTTAGCCTCGCACTTATTATTATATCGCGCACATTCTCTGCACGGCCCGAGGGTAAATAAAAAATAAATCTATATTTTTCGGCGCGGCAATAATGACGTCTGCTTTTCATTCTCCATTATTCAAGAGGAAAAAATGAGCACCCGGCCGGCCGCGCCAAGCAGCAGCCGCTTTTCATAATGGAAAATTCCTATACACCCGGGCAGAGAGAGAAAGGGCAAGTGAAATTTACTGCGAAAGTTTCACACGGAAAATTCAATTATTCAGTCAAACAAATCATTTTCGCCCTTGTTTGGCCGCGCGTATTATTTTATTTAAAATATTGCGGTGGTGCGCGCTTCTCTACTCCCTGCGCCTAAAAACTGGACTTTTCAGTGCTGGAAATTTGCTGTAGTTGATGAGGAAAAACGCCTCCCGGCTGAGCGAATTTGAATTCAAAGCAGGTATGGAATGCCGTCGGGTCCTTCACTTACAATTGCGCGAAAAATTACCATTTTTAATTGTGAATTTGTAATTATTTTTTCTCTATGGCGCGGAAGGTGCGCGACAGTGTCGCTCCCAGGGATGCGAGTCCGGTCGACTTTTTGAATGCCTTGTTTGGAAAACTCCTATGCTGGTATTTTATGGTTTTGCGTGAGGGGACAATAAAGGACGGTAGACGTGATGTGCATTATTTTGCATGAGATTTTGACGACTTTTTGAGAAGTCAGGCTGCACACAAGTAAAAGTTTGCGGTTGTACAACATCACAGAAAAAGAGCAAAAGTTAAAAAAAAAATCAGAGCAGAATCAAAGGGCTCTTGAAAAAGAAGGAAAAATCTTTACCAAAAGAAAAATGAATGCATAACTTTCTTGTTGTATTAAAGAAGATTTGAAAATAAATAAACAATTTGAAATTTGAAATTCAAATTTTAAACAGGAATTTATTGTGATGGAAAAGTGATGTTCATTGAAAAATTAAATAAAAAATTTGTTCAAATAGGAAGAAAGTGTGAATATTTCCTTTCTTAATTATTTAAATAACATTTCATGCAATCTACAACACAGACTTGTATCGTTACTAAAAAATTCATTGTTCCTTGCATTTCATACTTTTGCTATTAATTTTTGTTGTTGTATAGTTGCTCATTAATTATAGTTAAAGATCTTTGTGTCGTACTACTGTGCAACGCTCCTGTTCTGTTTTTGCATCTAGAATTGAGTCTCCCGGGGTTATTATTTACAAAGTTAAATTACACAAACTCGCATGCCATTAAACTCCACGTCGTTTTTGTGTGACAAATTCGTCTCAAGAGTGAAGAATTTCGCGTGTTTTATCAGCCGTGTGTGGGAATAAGCTTGAGAGTCGTGTTCTCCGGCCGCCGAGCTGCACTACAATTTCGAAAATACAACTTCCTCTTCTGTAACTACGCGAGCGAGCTACAGGAAATATCCCCTTTTTAAGAGCCCCGGTTTTATAAAACACAAGAGAGCAGCAGCAGCACCACCATAAAAGTATATATAAAGCGAATTCATTGCGCGCGCCTAAAATATGTATAATAAAACAATAGCCACCCCTCGCGGCAATGATGACACAGAAGGCTCGTCCGTCAATGCCACCCCTCGACGGCCCCAATCGAGCCCAGCTGCCACCTGTGCTACAGCCGGGCTCCTCTCTCTCCGCTGCGCTGCCGCTTTTCATTGCGACCGACATTTGTTTGGCTCTGCTAATAAATGCAAGAGATTACACTCACAATGCCCGCCACCGCCGCGTCGACAAAAGCCAGCCCCGAAACAATTGACGCCCTGCTGCATGTGCTCGCCGTGTTCTCTTGGTATTAAGTGGTGAATTCACACACACACTGCACCCCTTTCGTTTTCATTAAGTCCCTGGCTCTCTCAGGTGTGCGGCTTTTTGGCGCTTTCTTTGCCCGCTAATTGCTGGAAGCGACTTTAACCAAATTCCTCCTTTCTTTTTAACTCAAGCGCGCACCAACACGAAGCATAAAACAGCTTTTTCGCTAGAGATTTAACAAAGACGTACTTTTAAAAAAGAAAAACCGCCGTGGTGATGACTTTTGCTTCATTAATTTAAATATATCTAAGCCCTCCTTATGACTCCCTCTCCCTCTCTAGGGCTCGCAATGAAGATTTAAAATTGCTTAATACATTAACGAAGGGAAAATTTATTTTTAATTTTAGTGTGGTGCTTTCTGGTCTACGAGACAGTGAGAAAATTTGCTGCATTTTTTATTTCCTATCTTCATTAAAAAACTTACTCATAAATGATATAATTATGCAAAGCCAGAGAAAACACAGATTTATTGTGAAAAATTAAAGAATATTGAGCACCAAAAAATTATTTATAATTTAATTAAATAAATTAACAACACAAACTTTCAATTCAAGTAATGTGTAATGTATTATATTTTTTATACAAACAAAAAATTTAATAAAATTTGTTTATTGTTAAAAAAAAAATTTACTAATAAATGTAATTCACAGAAATTTATTTTAGTTAATCTCTTTTTTAACAATTAACAATGCAAATAGTAAATTTTTTTTAAATGAAAATTCTAATTTCTAGTTTGATAAATAAGTATAAACATTTGATTTCAACTGAATGTAAGATAAATTTTCATTTTTCAACTGGGTTTAAAAGTTAGGACTTTAAATTTTTCATCTTCAATTATTTTGTTTTTAAATAATCTTATTTCCATGAAAGTGCTTCTCTCTTATAATCGAGCACTCCTGTGGTATCATGCGCCTGCACTCTATACTGGATACGGGCGTAAAAAGAAGCACACGTTGACATTAAAAACGTTTTTCAAGGCTTGTGTTTCACCTACACACACACATGTGAGCGAGTTTCGCTCCACCAGCAGCGCTATACTTATATTCACCCCAAAACACTCCAAGGGGCGTTAATGCATTTCGGTGTTTCTGTCAACGGTGCGCGCGGGCGAATGCTAAAACTAGAGCAGCGCCAAGGCATTTCGCATTCTGATGCGCGTTCTTCGAAAAACGCCTCCGAAAATAACCCTCTCTCCCCCTTAAAAAAACTCCACTCCACGTTTAAAAAACCCAATCAATTACAAAATTCGATGCAACAAAAACACCCCATTGTGACGAAAAATGCAGTGAAAAATAACAAGCGAATTAATTAGTATTTTCGTGCTGATTAAACCCAACCACACAATTTGCCATCAACTCAACAAGCGACGAGAGTGGCACTTTTGAATTCTAGCTATCAGCCGTGAAATAATTTGGCTGCTGGTGGCGCGCGGGCGGGTGATCCGCTCGCGATTTGCATAACAATGATTATGTATTGCCCGGCTTGGACTGACCAACCATTCAGTAGTCAGACAGGGATAAAATTCGACCGTTGTAGTACGAGGTGCAAAGAGTAGGCGGTAAATCATGGTACATCAAAAAGGACGAGCTGGCGAGCGCGATATCTCTTTTATAGTTGCAAATCACATTATCAAATCAATACGTGCACCCGAGCCAAAATAAATTACGTTGAAATGCTCGTCGGCGCGTCAGCCTGTTTGTATGTTCAAGAGAGAAAAAGCGCGGGCGAAATGATTAATATGCTGGCCATCTGACTCCATTATAGTCTTCGCCACTACAA